TTAATAATAATAATAATTTATTCTCAAATAACAGTTTGTTACATGAGGCATGCCAGTTTACAGGCAAGATCAAGTTTTTACAAATGATACAATACCCACTGTAGTAAATTACTTATCTGGGTTGATAACTAAAAAGATATGAATGTAGAGGGTTTTAGTCAGTATCAATGTTGGCGCGCTTCATGGAAGTTGCGTTGCGACGTGCGATTGATGGTCAAGGATATTTCCATTGGAGGTGGGAGCCTCTAGAAATCGCGATAATATGTCCCTTTGGAATATCTAAGGCTTTAAGGATGGTGCAGTATGAAGTCACTCGTTCCATATCTCAAGGGGGCTGAAAGAAGGAGCAAGTAAAAGAAAGGGCGAGAGGCAGAGCAGCCAATGTTCATGAAAGAATATTTAAGATATGGCTACTCAGTCTAATTTTCTTTTATTAGAGTATTTACTAAGCAAAGCCATTGTAATGGGTTAAAGAAAATAAGTGTAAACAATGTATGAGTGGATAAACAGCTGACAATCTGAGGTGGTTCAGAAAATAGCTGAGAGTATGGGATTATGTGTAGTTATAAAATATAGTGCTAAAAACAACACTATGATACACAATTGGCTATCTTTTTTTGTTGAAGCTATTACTTACTTACTTACTTCCGCCTGTTACTCCCAATGGAGCATAGGCCGCTGACCAGCATTCTCCAACCCACTCTGTCCTCGGACTTCTTTTCTAGTTCCATCCAATTCTTGTTCATTTTTCTCATGTCTATCTCCATTTCCCGGCGTAATGTGTTCTTTGGTCTTCCTCTTTTCCTTTGACCTTCAGGATTCCATGTGAGGGCTTGTCTTGTGACGCAGTTGGGCGCTTTCCTCAATGTGTGTCCTGTCCACTTCCAGCGCTTCTTCCTGATTTCTTACTCCACTGGGATCTGGTTTGTTCTCTCCCACAGCACGTTGTTGCTAATAGTGTCCGGCCAATGGATCTGAAGTATTTTGCGTAGACAACTGTTAATAAACACCTGTATTTTCTGGATGATGGCTTTCGTAGTTCTCCAGGTTTCTGCCCCATACAGTAGAACTGTGTTGACATTTGTATTGAAAATCCTGACCTTGGTGTTGGTTGACAGACAGTTGTTTTGAGTTCCAGATGTTCCTCAGTTGTAAATATGCTGCTCTTGCTTTGCTGATCCGCGCCTTCACATCTGCATCAGATCCACCCTGTTCATCAATGATGCTGCCCAAATACGTAAAGGTTTTTACATCTTCCAAATCTTCTCCGTCAATTGTGATTGGATTGGTGCATTCTGTGTTGTATCGGAGAATCTTGCTTCTCCCTTGTGTATGTTGAGACCTACTGCTGCTGAGGCTGCTGCCACACTGTTCGTCTTCTCCTGCATCTGTTGTTGCGTTTGGGATAGAAGGGCCAGATCGTCTGCGAAGTCTAGATCATCCAACTGCATCCTAGATGTCCATTGTATTCCGTGTCTCCCTTTAAATGTTGACGTCTTCATGATCCAGTCGATCACCGGGAGAAAGAGAAAGGGTGAGAGTAAGCAACCTTGCCGAACACCGGTCTTCACTTCGAACGACTTTGTCAACCGTCCTCCATGCACAATTTTGCAGTGTAATCCATCATATGAGTTCTGTATGATATTGACTATCTTTTGAGGCACGCCGTAGTGTCGAAGAAGTTTCCATAGTGTTGTTCTATCCACGCTATCAAATGCCTTTTCGTAGTCAATGAAGTTGATGTAGAGTGATGAATTCCATTCAATTGATTGTTCCACAATGATCCGTAGAGTTGCGATTTGGTCTGTACACGATCTATCCTTACGGAATCCTGCCTGTTGGTCACGAAGTTGGGCGTCTACGCGGTCCTTCATCCTGTTTAACAATACCCTGTTGAAGACTTTTTCCGGTATTGAGAGAAGAGTGATGCCTCTGTAGTTATCACACTTGCTGAGATCGCTATTAGAGCCTTCTTATTTTTTAAGTAGATTTTATAAGGTTTTCAGCAGGTTACGTATTTTAGTGAATTGTCTAGTTTGCTTGTAATAGGATTACTGGGTAGGAAGTGATGGTTGATATATGGATACAAACAGGGCTAAATCCGTCTTTTTATTGCAGATCGACCTAGCGTTGATAAGACATATATTAAACTAATGGTCTACCAAGTTAAAATGGGTGAGAGTACCTCGGATAAAGTCGTCGTAACCCTCGCGGTAGTGAGATGAGTTTGAAGTGAGGGATTGGATATTCTTCAATAGCCCGGTACTTTGATAGGTAGAGTTAGTGGTAGATGTATCAAATGAGCTAGTGAAGTCGATTGGGATGTGAGAGGGGTCTGCTGAGCGTAACTGGAAGGAGTTGGGACTGTTATTATACATGCGAGCCGTTTTTATGTGATAAGTTGGTACTAAAGGGTGTGAAAAGTTTCTTTCTGAGAGTAATTACAGTTGTGATCCTGGGGAATGTAGATAGGGTGTGGAGTGAGAAACTTTTTATTAACATTGTTATTAATGGTTTTAGGCGTCAGGGGGTGATTTGGGTGGTCAGTTCTCTGGTAGTCTTCGTTAGTCTGTGTGTAAGACGGCTTGTTACGCTGAAGCCCACCACCCATATTGCAACTAAGAGGTGTTGAAGGCAAATTATACGATAGCAGCGGGGATAACCTGTTCACTGTTCTTGGGATACCTATAGAGCAGTTGGGTTCATTCTAACGTGTTTCCCTATTCGGTATCATGAGTTTTGTCTTCCCACCCTTTATTTTCAGAGCCGGATTCTTTCGTTGTCTTTGTGAGATGAACTTACGTTCATTCAAGTCTACTTGTGGAATGTCTTTAGGAGGACAAATTTTCAAGTGTATAGGTTTAGTTGCACATGTGTTGTTACACGACTCACATTTTAGTATATTACTGAATGAACAGCTGGGATTAGTCATGTCGTTATGGTTTTTGGTGTCAGTTGGGGTCCGTATTTTATCCAAAGGTTTCTGATCTGTAGACTCATCTAGATCAACAAAGTGATCAGCCGTATGTGGAGTGGTGTCATGCATATTCTTCGTGTGTTTTAAACTATTTGCTGTGTTGCAAACTGTCTCTGGCTGATTATTAACTGTAACACTCCCATTCAATTCTATCGCTTCGCGTCTTCTTACACGACGTTGACAGGGCGTAAGGTCTGGAGTGACTTTTATATTTTTGTATGGAATTAGTGAGCTAATATTTTTGCTCGAATCAATGAACTGTCTAGCATCGTTACAACAGCCAATGATAAACAGGAGGCGGCAAGTTGATTTGTCTGACTTTTTTCTAAGGCGGATGACTTTGCAGTTAACGTTCGGCATACCGCATGCTCTAAGGCAAATATTCCTTAACTTAGATGGGTGTATGCGGTCGGGGAGGTTATACACAACTGCATTGTAGGAGGACATCACTCTCTTCGTCACTTCTTCAGCCACAAACTCCAAAATACATTCAGCTTTAGTGAGTTGCTCAAGATTTCTGTCTGTATCAAGGCACCATATACGAGTGAGGGGTGCTAGTTGCTCAAGTCTGTCGTTAATTTCGGATAGAGAGTTTTGTAGCTGACTGATGTCAGTACTATATCTGTCAGTATTTTCGTGTGTATGAGATGAATTATTGGTCTCTTTAGTTTTCGAAATTTTAGATTCAGGCCTCGGTAGAACATACTGCCTGGTAGACTGTGTTGAATTTTCCATTAACGTCGGTATAGTGTCTTGTATGTCAACCAGTCGTACCGTTGGCATACTGCACGTAGAGATAGAGGGGTTATAACATGTAGAAACAGCTGATGATAGTGACATTTGTGTACAATACGCATATTGTTCAGTAGTTAAAGTTTCGACATTGCCAGGTACTTAGCCGTCAGTAGTAGAGGTTACAGATTTGGACCTCTTATTTGGCTTAGAATTTGGTGAAATTCCTCTTTTACTGGAGTAATTGACCATGATTTGAAACTGGGTGAGCACAGAGCTGGTTGAATTAAATATAATATCGGGGTATTAGTTGTTATCAAGTATTAACATGGTTAATACTAGGATCAGAGACTATGAGTATATAATAAATTCCAGATCTATTTAATACTTAAGTCCGTGATAGAAATAATATTAACTGGTACGTGTCCGTTGAAAATGTTTTCAGGGTAAAATGTACCCGATGTACAAGATAGGATGTTAGTCTCCGTATAATACACCCTACAAATGAACTAATCTAAGAAGACCTAAACCACAGTTACCGCTTTCAAATTTCGCGCACCATCAAATTATAGATTAGGCAGTTGCATCACAACAAATCTACAGTTTTGGAATTAGGTCTATTATTAGAGCAGTACTAATATGGAAGTGGATCGTAATCCTACAAGTATCCCGAAGAAAAGCCGCATTAAACTTTTGTGATGTTGTCCGCCTCATTGTCGAGTGCTTCTTGAGATTCAGTTTCATCTTGGCGGCCAGCAAGTGATGATCTGATACTATATCAGCTCCTCTTTTGGTTCTCACATTTTTCATTGTCCTCCTGAACTTTTTGTTGATGCAGATATGGTCGATTTGGTCCTGCGTAATGTGACCCGGTGCAGTCCATTTGGTTTTGTTTAGGCTTTAAAGTGGGAATATAGTGCCGCCTATGATCAGTTTATTGAACGAGCATTCCAAGTACCTAAATAAATGGTCGGTCTGGTCGTCAGAAGAGACATCGACCTCATAACTTCCGAGGCGTCATGACTATTCTAGATGAAGACCTTCTGACTCGCAGGGCAGAGATTCAACGGTTTGAATATATTTTTTTCTGGTTAACATTTTCTTAGCGGGTTAGCTTTCTACGGGATGGGGTCGCTAACCCCACGCCCAACCCTCCTCCTTTATCCGGGCTTTGAACAGCAGTAGCCCTAAAGGGGCTCCAAGAGGAGTTATACTTTATCTACTATTTTGTCTAATATGTTTTGGCATGTACTTCTGGAATTGTTTAACGGTGTAAAATATTAATCACCCTCTAATGGCAAATTTTCAAATGCTATACTTATAACCCGCTCGCTCGAAACGCGACTGCCAACTCCGTGTTTCAATAACTAGACCATCTAATCTCAGGCTACTACTATCAATGATTGTTATAGATTGTCTTCATTATTAAACGCAGATGGGTTGTATGTACCTATGAAGTCTTCGGATCGCTTTTGATTTTTCTCTTTTCTCAAGATTCTTACGTATAAGCAGCTGTGGATACTTCTACAGTACACAAAGCACCTTAATACGGTACAAGAATTGAATTAGTTCGAAATCTCCTTGTTATTTGAGTTGATGAACTGATCTATTCGTGTGAATTATCAATGAACAAGTCTTCATCATCTCACATTCCACTCCCAATCCAAAGCTTTCTATTTTCGCAGACATGGTAGGTCGCAAATTAACTATGTGTCATATTTTTACAGTTCGTTTTTGCAGAAACCCTCGGCAAGGGACGGGGTCTGTACTGTGAGTAATGATTTTTTTTGTATTTAGAAGTGTGGATAGAGAACCTCAGTGATTCTAAGCTTTTACCATGTTTTTTGATGGGATTCCAGGGAATGTCATGGTGAATGGTAGTGTGTACTGTTTCACTGCGATCGCAATTCGAGCAGCTTATGAATGAATCTTACTGGTGAAAACTTAGAATTAATTCATGATACACACAAGACATTACTTTATAGTTATCTGATGTCATATTTCTATTTTTTAAGTAGCTGTTTGTGAGTGTGTGCCGACATGAGGCCCACTACAAGTACTGTTAATTACATCAAAAGAATCTTGCTTCAAAAATGTTAGTAACAATGCCTGTATGTAGTGAAATTTTTAGATTTCATCTGACCAAGAATACTAACTTTCGAAAACATGCTGAAGACAACTTATCTTACTATCTGTTTACAATACAAGTTTTCATTTTGTCACAACTTTTAATACCATTAAGAACGATTCAAGGCTTTTTAAATATATTGGTTACCCATCTATAGGATAGATGTTTGTGTGTAATCGAAAATTATGAATTATCGTTTTGCTGTCTTATAATGGGATTGGTAGAGTGAACACTGGGAATGAAAAGATGTTGGTAACTTGTAAATATCTGAAACCCTAGGACTAAGCCTCCTCAGGGCTAAAGTACGAGCGTTTGGAATTGCGACAAAAGTCTGGCGACTTTTAATAGGAGCCTCGAACCCATCGGGATTCGAACATGAAGATGGTGATAAATGTCACGGCATTTTTATAAGTGTAAAAGCTATTTCCATAAAAGATTTGAAAGTCATATTGACGATTTATCAGTGGCGGTTAGTTATTGCGAAATGTCATTAAAACATTTTAACGAAAATCACAAACTGTTCTCCTGATTTTTCCTTGGATATATAGCATTTTTATTGTAAGCTATTTTTTACTAAACATACATGAACATGATAATCAAATCAACTGAACAGCTTCTAAGGCGATCAGGATCTGCATTTTTTTGTGGCACATTACAAGTTGCTGTGAAGTTTACTGCCAATATTTCTGTCTTAATCCGATATTTTTTTGCCTTGAACTCACTACAATGAAAATATGTTTCAATCCGGTGGATTACTGGTAGTTAAAACTAAAATGTGGTTTTCCTGTGAAAAATCTGACTATACTGGCGTGAAAGTCCTTCTTGTAGCTCTCCGATAACTTAGAACTTCCATTTATTGTTTTTGGTTCCAGAAGTCTGATTGTCAAGTCACCTATCAGTATAAGGTTGGTAATAACAAATGGAATGTAGTTTGTAGCTTAGAGCGTACATTTTTACCTAGTTGCTAAACAGTATTGTTCCTCAATTAGAAAGACGATATATGTATATAACAACCTACTCTACTTTGATTCAACAAAAGTTTCGTTTCCTGAGTCATTTAGGGATCCTATGACTCATTAAGCTTCTGAATCTCATTGTTTGCCTTTATTCAATTTAATTATTTCGTGTATCTGGAAGCCCTGATTCTGCTTCCCGTGGCCTCGCTGATGTAGGTATAACATTGAGTCCTAGGGCAAAACTAGCTCTCTTAGAATGGATCCTAGTAGACAGTCGCTTGTACGCTGTCCAACTAAACGGAACGGTAAGGACTCGGGAAGATAGGGACACTCTTCGTCGTCTCTGCATACTCTCCCATTGACTGCAGCTCAGATGAGGTAAAAGATGAGTTATGCAGAAAGCTTTTTGACCTCCAAAAAGTTAGGCTCTTTGATGTAGCAATAGTGGCTGGTGACTTTAATGCTCAAGTAGGTAAACTAAGCGAAAAGGAAAAACACCTAGGTGGATTTTATGGTGTCGTGGTTCAAAGAACAAATAATGACGATCGTCTGTTGCAGCTATTTTCAGATAACCACCTGTTTCTAGCAAACACTATATTTAAGCATAAGGAAAAACATCTTTTGACATGGCGACCCCCGAACTCATCCCAACGTTGGACCCAACTATATCACATCGCCATCAGCCACGAATGGAGGGGCTCGATAGAAGACTGTCGCTCGTTCTGGAGCACATGCTTAGATTCAGATCATTCTTTAGTGCGAGCGCGTATTTGTCTGCGTCTTACTGGACGTAGGAAAGACGCTACAAGGAAACGTCTTAGGGTTCTACCTAATGATTGCCAAGCTAAGAATATATTTCAGAAACAACTAGAAAAAGTTAGGCAGCCATGTAAATGATGCCCACCCCAAAGCAGCTTGGGATTATATCCGAAAAGCTGTGGAAACTGCAGTGATATCTCCTAGTACTGTAAACCACAAGGTTACGTAGAAACAATGGATCTCAGTAGCATCTATCGCACTGATAGATGCTCGAAAACTGATTCCATCTGGCTCTGAGCATAACGAAGAGCGGAGTCAGCTTAAACGCAAGCTGATAAAAAGCCTACGCAATTTTCGTGAACAGTGGTGGGTAGCGAAAACAATAGAGATGGAAAAGGCAGCGGCAATAGGTAACAATGGACAACTGTTCAGACTTATTAAGGAAACTGGAATTAGGAACCCGACTGTTAGCGAAAAAATCTCGGAGAAATATGGACATATTATACATTCTCAATCCAGGAGATTGGATCGATGGGCAGAACACTTCAGGGATCAGTTCAACTGGCTTTCAACCACACTTCGGTTTCCCACGATCTCCAACTACCTGAATGGCAAGTTGATGTAAGTCTTTCAACTCTGAAGCGAGAGAGAGCAGCGGGCCCCGACAGGCTTACCCCTGGGATTTTCAAGGATGGTGGTCCAGTATTAGCAGTGGGATTGACTGAGGTCTTAGGTAGAATTTGGGAACTACACGCAATCCCATCTGACTGGTCTCAATCACTGATTGTGCCAGTTTATAAGAAAGGACAAAAGTCCTCTTGTGACAATCACAGAGGAATCAGTTTGACAAATAGTGTCTAAAATATTAGCTTCAATAATACTTCCACGCCTAACTAAAGCTCGTAAAGAGCAGACTAGAGAAAACCAGACTGGTTTTCGACCTGGACGTGGCTGTATAGACCAGATATCCACACTACGTCAGATCCTAGAACATAGATACACATTCAGACGCCCCACAATCGTAGTATTTCTCGACCTTAAGATGGCATTCGACTCTGTCGATCGTAAGGTTCTATGGTAGTGTTTGTCACTGAAAGGAGTACCAAAGAAGTACATCAACCTTGTAAAGGCTCTCTACTCGAACACAACTGGTAGAGTGAGAGCTTATGGCGAACTGTCATCAGAATTGATTACCTCAAGTGGTGTTCGTTAGGTCTGTTTACTCTCTCCAGTCTTGTTTAACTTTATCGTATGCATGCTTTTAAAGATGACACTTTCCTCATCTAAACTTGCAGGGGTTGAACTTCTACCAGGAGATTCACTTGTTGACTTAGAATATGCAGATGACATAGTTCTATTTGGTGAAGACGCTGACAAAATGCAGAGTCTTCTGACCACTCTAAGCAACAATGCAAGCATGTTCGCGATGCGGTTCTCCCCCTCGAAATGTAAAATGTTACTTCAGGATTGGGTTGCATCGACACCCGAACTAATGATAGGGAGTGAAGTAGTTGAAGGTGTCGACCACTTCACTTATCTTGGAAGTCTCATCAGCCCTTCTGGTCTGGTGTGTGACGAAATCTCAGCACGGATACAGAAGGCTCGTCTAGCTTTTGCCAACTTGCGTCATTTATGGCGTAGGCGAGATATCCGTCTATCAACCAAAGGACGTGTTTACTGCGCAGCAAATCGTTCCATCCTACTTTGTGGCGGTGAAACATGACCGGTAAGAGTAGAGGATATCCGTAGGCTACTAGTATTTGATCATAGGTGTCTTCGAAACATTGCTCGTATATCATGGGACCATCGAGTAAGTAACACAGTTGTTAGGAAACGGGTACTAGGTAAGGATGGCAAATCGATTGATGAAGTAGTGAAACTTCATCAGTTGAGATGGCTGGGACACGTGTTACGTATGCCCAACGACCGACTACCTCGACGTGCTATGTTCAATGGTATAGGAGTAGGTTGGAAGAAAGCTAGAGGCGGCCAAACCAAAACATGGCACGAGTCCATGAAGTCACTGACAAGTGGACTGAGTCATGTTGGTAGGTGTAGACTACCTGGTTGGGGACCGCGAGATGATAGCAACCGATGGTTAGAGACCCTGAATGACATGGCTCAAAATCGTTTGCAATGGCGCAGGTGCATCCACTCTCTGTGTTCTCCCAAATTCTAATCTTCTGAATTCTTCATGTCCCTTTCTTTTTTCTCTTATCAAATTTATTTCACTGGATTATACTCTTTGAATACCATATTCAAACCCTAATCTTCCCGATTACTGCTTATACTCTTATTACCTCTACCACTACGGGATTTGAATCGACAACTGCATCTCTGTGTTAATGTGGTGTGGCAACTCGAACTAATGTACGTACGTACGAAGTTCTAAGTTGTTACTGACTGACCGATTCCATTTAATTTCAATTTTATCTTACATTTTAGACATCTAAACGTATTCGTAAGTGTTTTTGGCCAAATATAGACACATATTTCTGTCAAGCTGCTAGATATATTGGGCCCTTTGGTGTTTGGTACATTGCTCATTGTTCTATCTCATTTTCTTACTCAATACTTTCTTCATTTTTCCTCTTCTTAATCTGTTTGTTACCAATTAAACAATTAACTTTTATATGATTAGTTAATCATTTTATCAAACGAGCATTCTTATGACAAATGCGGATCAGAAATGTTGTTTAGCATAAAAAACATCAATTCATTAACAGACCGAAAAACTAGTTCCTAAAGTACTGTGTAGATTTTGACCTAAACGGGAATAGGTCTCTAGCCTGTCTCAGGAAGAGTAGAAAGCTTCAGTAGGCAAGCAACCTTTTTCTTTATTCTGTTTACAATTATGAACTGAACCAAAACTAAATTTGGCACCACTATTGGCTTTTATTCATCTGACTCTTCTTTTATAAAATTTGTTTGTCAGAATTAGTAGTCATTACGTTGTATGAAATCTATGTTATAAAGTGTTTGGTGAACATTACTTACGTATTTTATGGATTCGAAATAAAAGCGATTTACCGGTCAATCACCGAACAACGACAAGGATATAAGGATCTTGAGGTGTTCAGTTGATTTCCACCCGCTTTGGTCGTACGGTCGGAGTTTTTGACGGGACCAGAATTCTTCTTGTTTTAGATGGATGTCAAACTTAATAATTAAACTGTTGTGTGTGATTACATGTTTAAACTGGGAATCTAATGATGTCAAAGAACAATATAAGACCAATCAATGTTTCAGAATAATTCCTTTTATTTGTCTTCAAATGTACAATGTCTACTGTATTTAAAAAAATTCGACTAACACAGTATAAAGTTTAATGTGTTCAAAAACATTTTGAAAAGTTAAATGTATTCTCGGCAGTGGCTAAAACGTTTTGAGAAATAAAATAAATAAATAAAAGTAGGTCAACAGGATTAAAACAGTAACAATTTGATTTTTCACTATCGATGTTTAGAGAAGTCAATTATGATGGATTTGTTATGGACGTTTTACGCTTGCTGCCATCCGTTTTCAATTGTGTACTTATTACACCTCTGAAAACTATCGAGTAAGCAGTCCTGTACATGTTAAGAGAAGACATGTTAAGTTAGGTGGTCGGTAACAAGTTTTTTCATATTTTATCTCACTAATCTAATCATTGGATATTCAAGAATATAGTTCGTATCATTACTAACGCTTCAAATTATATCAACCAACATAGATTTGAAAATAATTGTACTTATGATGCTGTATCACTAAAACAGTCAGACTCAATGAATCCAGCTGTTTATACGTAGTGCTATTGCAGGAAGTTATCTGGGGTTTGTTTACAGTATAAATAGCTCACAGAGGACAAAAATTCCAAGCGGTGCAGTCTCAAAAGAAGTAACAGGAAGCGAATGACATTGGTACAAAAAGTGCTTGCTATTATCTGCCCATAATGAACAAAATAAAACCGTAAATTTACAGTTATACAGTTCAACTTGGTAATTCAGAAACGTTTGCCCGTAATCTGTGATTGTTTTATGTAAAACCCTTCATTTTCTCTTTCATAGACATTTAATCCATTTAATTGGAGGAATTTTACTTTTGTTTGCTGATTGGCATAACAGCAAAATGCGGACAAATACGGAAACTTACTAAGTACTCAATTTAAAATCATCTACTCCATCGATGAGAGCCTTGGACGAGTGTCAGAATACAAGTTAATTGCACGGCAGTCCATTCTACTCTAAATTATTATAAGTCGAGGAAATAATAGTTTTACAGATATTCGGTCATAATTGTATCTAGATGGTTGTTTGTGCATCTCCAAGCTAGTAAATGGCGATAATAATAATCATTTAGAAAGTTTTGAAAAATAAAGAGAAGTAAATTGATTATTTACGCGTTCCACTTGTAGTAGCTGAGGTGTTCAGTTCTCATGCTGGACGTAGTAAGCCAATTTGTATCTCAACATGAGATGTTGATAGGAATAAAATTAAATAAAAAATGAACAAATACAACCACCAAAAGGATCCATAAGTTCCATTGGGGAATTAAGACTTACAATTTAAGATTCTTAAAGTGCGATGAATCAATAGCATGGTTTCACAGTAGTGTAGATGAATTTTCTGCTCATCTTTATTGACACAATGTAAACAACACCATAAAATTATCATTCGCGTTTGAAAATTTATCGTTTTTTAATTTTGTTGCAAGTTTCTTCTCTTAATGAACTGTTCTTTCTGAAACGGGACAAATTATCTCAAAATTAACCAGTGGGTTTCTTTCGCGATTTTACACGCTGTTTAATCTTTCTGTTTATAACACAATTATATGAACGAAGAATATTCAATTCATTTTCAATAATAATGAGAAATTATTGAAAAGAATATTCTTCGTTCATACACTTCTGTTTTAATATAATGGGAATTTTTCAGCGATTAAAAACTTTCTGTTCATGTTAAAAATTCATTTAGTTCCACTAAGTCTTGCCTATTCCTCCATGCCCATACGTTTATAAAAATGATTTGTGACTGATACTAGTAAAGAATTGTAAGACTGATAATGTTTTCCTTATAAATACTTATATACTTGTCATTAAAAAATATCCAAAGCAATTTCCATTTTGAATATAAGAACACTGAAGTTTTATTTTTCATTTTTAAAGTTCTTATATAAGTAATGAAGATGAATAAAATTTGTTTTGGTAGAGATTAGTTTTCTCTAAGCAGTTATAGTCTATTAATTTCATTTGACTGGGCTGTAGATTGCTACATTTTTCTTAAAAATTATCATAACGAATATATTAAGGAATCATTCAGGAAAAGAGCTGAATATTTTCCAAATATTCGTCGATGTTTTTGACCCAGAAATAAGTGTTCTGTGTTCTAGTTGAGCTTCAAGTTATTTCACACTAAAATATTCAGAATAAAGTTATATTACGCAGGCTTTGGCTTGTATAGAGAATGCTCTTCAGGATAGAGAATGCCTTCATCTTACAGTTATTTCAAATTGGTTAAATTCAAGGGATGAAGCCTAAGACGTTGCTAACTGGTTTCATTAGTAAGCGAGGTTTAAAAAAGTTAAATAATATTTATGTATGCATTAATTTAGATGATAGACGACTTTCTACTCATAGTTGTTAATAACTTATGTTAAAACAGTGGCATTAGGGCTCCTGGATAATACACAAGTACATTTTCAATTAAACATGATTCAGTGGTAGAACCATCATTTTAATTGGTATACAGTTTAGAAAACTGATTACTAGATATAAGTCATCGACTAATTTCACATTATGTCAAAGCCGATTCCGTACTTTAGAGTCATCCTCACTTCTTCAGTTAAGGAATATAAGGTGATCACTAAGTTAGATAATCGGACAAGGGAAATATTATCCCATCGCTGCTTCAGATTATCACTTGCCTGATCGCGTTCTATAACATTCAAATTGATATGAAGCATGAGAGAATAAGTAGCTTATGGGAGTACCAGTTAATTAATATAACCAACAGTGCATACAAATGAATACGGGCAAATATTTTATTGAAAAAATAGTACAACAATACAAATTAATATGATATTTAATCAAATCTCAACATAAATGTTGTGGTCTGATAATATCAATCATTTTGCATGTTTATATAGAGACACATAAAGAAAGTTTTTGTTCATTATTTCAAATAGTTTAGCTGTAGAAATACTTTTGTTTAACCAGCCTTCTAAGATAAGCTTTGTCGTAAGATAATAATATTTTGTTCTCATGAAGATTCTTATGAAATATTTTGAAAATAAATTTTCCACATAACGTAACTGGATGGACGGAACGTAAGTCGATTTACAAACTGCTTTTTGAACGAGAAATTTATTCAAATGCGACCACCACGTAGTGAAAGACCCAACTTACAATCAAACATTTCAAGATAACGTAATGATTTGAACAAGGTCTTTAAAATATAGTGATTTTTTCTATCACAGTAAGCTTCTTCAAAAGTTCTTCGCATCTTGAGTTTCAGTGTACATTAAACAACGATTTTTTTTACAATTATGTACTAATGTTTTTTAACTTTTAAATAATACAGACTTTTGAGAAGGTTTTAGTACAAAATATACTACATGGTCGATCAATAGTTCTGTGCGAGGCTATACACTCAATAAGCAGATGGAAATTTGTGAAGGCTGCATTACCTCATGTACTTCATTGTGGTGCTATAATGCTTCGAGAAAAGTTACGGGACAAATCTGATGCAGACCTACCTCATCAAAAACATGCATTAAACAGTTGCGGATTGTCTCATGATCGAACACGACTGAATTTCAGTCAGACAGAAACAAAGTTGCTCTACACACTTCACTGGATTCTATTAGATGCCGCTTCAGAGTGTGAGGATGCAGAAATAGAGGCTTCTAATCATCCAGGTAAAGTTTTGTTTTATCTAGATCAAAGTAAGCTAAACTAAATCTCAATAATACCTCGGTATTATTCCCAACAAAACAATACTAAATGTATTTTCCATGACAGTGATATAATGATGGAAAATTCGCATCTAGATCTTGTTTTTGATCATAATTATGTTACTATATGAGATGATGTCCATCTAGCAGGTCGGAGAAGAAAAGAGTTGATTTTTGTAATTAATTTCATAATCCAACTTAAATCTTGTTTCGCATAATTAGTAGTTCTTTTCACCTTCAGCATGAAGTATAATTCAAATACCTATATTTTACAGTTTTAATTATCTTCAATATTTATTGAAAGCTGAAAATTAGGTTTATCCAAACGTCACCAATTTTTTATGATACTCGAATATTACTGCAATTAAATCTATGTCGGGTAATGATGCAGTTTAGTGTTTGTTTTGAATAAAGTTGAGAATGATTCTGTTATTGATGAATGGAGTCACTATTAAAAGGTTTTTTAATTGTAAAGCCACTTTGGATAGAGCTAACTGAATCTACTTGTTTTCGCGAAATATCTGCACTTTCTTACGTCGTGATTCAAAGCAAAAAAGAAGTTGAACTTAAGAGTGAATGAATTAAATCAGCGTTCCAGGTAAATACAATTCACTTGCAAATGGTGTAAAATTTTATGAGACGTGGTTCAGTATTTCTTACACTTATTTAAATTTAGATCGAAATATGTTTCAGGTCGAAAAGTGAATAAAAATATTTACTGTTATATAAGTTAATGAAGTTGTTCAACAATATTCTCGTCGATCTTTTTGATACTTGCTTCATTTGAATATAGCTTTCGTTTGCCGATATCAAAGGTTAATTACACGGATGAAATCAAGTCATCGAATACAATATGCTGTATGATCACTTGAACTACATTTTTACCTAGTGTTCATTGAAAACGTCAGATTTCCGACATTCAAAACCGGATTTATGCCAAGTTACTGTTTTGTTTTACTGATGAGTCCCATCAAACAAGAAATTCTGGTATACGTGGTTTTACATCTTAGCGACTACTACCAGTGTTTATAAATAGACAAAGTACAGGCTAAACACATAACTAACATATTTTGGAAATGTTTCATCCAGTTCAGCTAAGTCATTGATGTCCAATCATAATTGTGTTACTTGGACTTTCATGCTTGCTCCACATAGCAGTAAAAATATATAGTAATCAAAGTGTTGTATTGACTTTATTTGTTCACATATAAATAAACCACATTTTAAAAAATTACGAATGAATCTTACCTTATTGTTGGTTCTGAAATTCGTTAACTTAGTCAGTAGTCTACGGTGGCCGTTCTTTGAAACTATACTATAATCCCTGTAATCTGCTTATATTTCCGAAGCTGATTAAAGGGAAAATGATTTGACGTTTTGAATAAAAATTAACTGTGAATTACATTATCTAAAACTGGTTTCACATCTGTGTAGTAAGGACAGAAGGCTTACGGTCTATGTTATTCCTGTTCTAGTATGCTTCTGTGAGTGTCTAGTCTTCTCTTGAATGAGTCAATTGAAGGTGCGGATACCACTGCCTTGGGTAACAGGTTCCAAGAATTGATGACTCGGTGTGCAAACCTGTATGCCATGGGTATTTTGTTCGTTCTTGGATTTTCTACTCGCCTGCTATGTCCTCTGAGATGTCCCGATCTAGTGAGATGAAAAAGAGAGGATATATTAGGTCCGGAAATGCCTAGTTTTCTAGCTTCAAGAGAAGTCTAACTGTTGGTATCTTATCGAATGCTTTGATGAAGTCTTTGTAGACAACATCTACTGATTGTCCATTGTCTAGAGCCTTTATCCATTTCCCCCTTGCTACAACGAGGTTTTTTGTGCACGATAAACATTTTCTGAAACCATGTTGTTCATTGTTTAACAAGTTGGTTTCCACGAGTGTCTTTTTGGCTATTCTTCCCAGCATTTTAACTACGACACTTATGAGGCTGATAAGTCTGTAGTTTGGTGGAAGTTATCTTGATTCTGTTTTATGTATTGAAGTAATGATTGCATCTTTCCAGTCCGTAGGTAACACACCTTAGGTAGGTGACATGTTGAGTATCACAGTTAGTGAGGCTGCAATATATTATGCAAGTTGTCTCAGGATTTCGGGGTTTATTTCATCAGGTCCTGTTGATTTTTCCGTGCCTGTAGTACTAATGGTCTTAAGCACGTCATCTCGACTAAAGTTCACGGTGAGCAGACGGTTTGTTGACTTTGTATTTGCATCTAGTTCTTCGTCTAGAAGAGGCTCTTGAGTGAAAACTGTCCTGAAGTAGTTTGTCATAGCCTCTGCTTTTTCCTGATCATCTTCTATCATTTTAGATCCACTCCCTTCCGTAATTAGGTTGGGAATCCAATGCTACATCCTCGTTCTATAATTTATATTCGAGAATAGTATCTTAGGATGCGTGATTGCAGATTGTGCCGACCGCATTTCATATTTTCTCTGAGCTTCCCAGATTTTAATTATAAACTTATTTCTTACCAACCTGTAACGTTCCATCGTACTTGCTGTGCCAAACTGATGGCAACGTTTTAGTAAACGTCGAATATCCCGGCCTATCCAGGGATGACCGTGCTTCTTCTTCTTTGGGACTGTCCAGGGTATATACGCTTGATTTAACTGATTATCTAACTCCCTGCAAAGAGTCCATGCCTCTTCTACTGATGCCCTTGAGTCAATTATCCAGTTTTCAGCCGATGCTGAAGAGTTTATCATCATGTTGTTGTGCATGCTCTAACATATGAGCTGAGTAATGCAAAATAACGTGTCTCAAAGTGGTGAGGTTAGATTACATGCTTGATTTTATGTGCTTGTAAGCTTGCTCTAAAGGAACTATCCCGGTTCAGTGGTTTTTTCGTCTTTCTTCAAGGAATATACTTTTTTAAGCTATAGAAATATATGGAGATTTTTCCTATTTCAAATTATATATCCAGAGAATTAAGTTACAATTCAATCTCTTTTTGACATCAAATCTTAACCTTTAAAGATAGAGAAAAGAGATTTAAAAAAATCTATCCAATTCATGAAAAGGAATGAACAAGTGATTAAATGAATTGGAAGTACGTTTGCTCACATATTTCGCTACCAGCGGTTACAAGGAACACATCATTTACTAAGCAAATTTAGGAAAATCTAACCTAATTGTTTTTTGAAATATTGATCTTAAATTATTCGTCTTTTTTTATGCATCCAGTTAGATCAATTTCTAGGCATATAGACGTATGGATATATGTTGAGACAGGGTGATAAATGAGCCACCTTTCAAGTCCATAAACAAGGTTTTTGGATGAAAATATTTAAAAATCCCCGCAGAGTATTTAAAAGCAAAGAGTATTAGAGCGGACTATCGTTTTCCGAAACTTCATCAGGCTCTACCGTCACTGTTCGTTGACCGAATAGTCAGATATGTTTGTATATAAGTTTATCATCTATGTAATTAGAGGTTAAACTGAAAATGAACATTTTCTTACAAAAATGTCTCACTCCTGATGTTTAACTGTGAATAGAGTGATAAAATATTTTATAGTGAGTTCGCAGATATCGGTGCAAAGGTTGGACTTGATAGTCTCAAATAAACTGAGCGCTGGTTAGAAAGTAAATGATAAATATACTATTTGTGATATCCCAATGAGTAGAGAATGGCTTATTTACTCTCACGAAACGTCTAAAATGCAATTTTCAACTCACTGAAATATCACAAATAGTATATATTTTATTAAAAGATTTTATGATTTATATCTAGTATCCTGACAGGATCACATTTCTAATCAGCTTATCTTAAAAACTACCGTACATATTAGTTCACTTACATTAATAAAGACAAGTAAACCACACTATCCTTCTGTATATAATAGTCAAACTTGAAACTTTTAATGAAAATAACCTCTCCGAATTGAGTTTGATTTGAAGTTGTTTTGTTTGCTTGCTTTCTCAAGAGTGGTAGCAATATTCATTGTACGCAAACTATTCGCTAGGTATGACACAACTTAACCTGTAAATTTTGTTCTTCGATCCCAGTATGTTTGTCGAGGCGTTTGACCTTCCTTCAGCAATTCTAATTAACTTTCTCCAATGACTACGTTCAAGTCTGTAAACGAAGCAAAAGGAAATCTGAAATGAACTATTTTTGATTGATTTAGTGAGAAGTTAGTATTGTACACTGTAACCGGTTTGTCTAAGCGGAAGCTTCTTTTTTAAGACTCTTATCAATATTTTTTTTTATTTCTTTTATAGCGTCCTCCATTCACATAAGTTAGCGAAAACAACCTCTTCAAATGATATTTGAAATAAATTATAGTTAGTAAAAGAAATTTTCAAGGTTTTAGGTTTTACCTAATTCTGGATCTGTTTAATATTTATGACTCGGTGATTCTCTCAAATATGTATCGGTATAAAAGAATTAACATTATTTTCTTCTTATTCTCTCTCACAAAAAAGCTTCCATACCCAAACATTCAACTGATCGTTATGTTCACGACTTGGCGTCACTTCAGTTATTCATCTATTTATATGCTCCAATTATTGAGCAACTTAAGCCAACCGATTTCGATACTCTCAAGTTAGAAGCAGGATTACGCTTATGGATTCCATTAATGGAATATTGTCAACCGAATCGTGGGACATTATCATCACCTGTTAAATTTTTTACTCATGATTCAAATATACTATCTCGACCAGTTGTAACAAATATAGATGGAATAGAAAGTCCTAAAACGTCATCCATTTTAAACGGTTATATTAAGAGGAAATCTTTGAGTTTGGAAACTTCTGAAGAAATACCTTCGGATGTTCATACTGTTAATATATCGGATAAGGGTTCCGAAATCAATCATAAATTACCATTAGCTGTGAAATCATTCGAGTTCTTAGTTGACAGTGCTTCCATCCCCCATGTTGAAGCCAATTCAGATGTGAGTTTTTCACTGTTTGCCGTAATTGCTCATATTTCATTTTCTAAATAAAAGTACAATCTGGTGATCATAAATAGATGGTTAAAATTTTGATAGTAAAAGAACTACACATTGGCTTAAACTCTTATCAACTCCAATATCTCTTGTCTGAAAACACTATATACATAGCGCTCAAATTACTAGTCTGTCAATCGAGACGAATATTTACTAAATACTACGATACGTTTAGCATCATTCATTTAAACTAGCTAGCAGTTTGTTTTTAACCTTTAGGTTACTTTGAAAACCGTGCTCTAACATATACTTTATTTCAGAGGTTTTAGGCCATATTATAAAAGAGCTGTTTCAAAAGAATATCATCGTGGTTCGTAGAAACCATTTATTGGTTGATACTTTAGCAGTAGTCGAAATTGTTTTGTTTCATTGTGATCAGATTTCATTAGAAATGAAAATAAACTCCAAGTTTTTACTCAGTTTGGAACTCACGTTATCATGAATATTGGGTGTACAACATTGTAGAACATTGGCGACAGAAAACGCTCGGATACACATGATCGTACACATAATCAGCTGTGGACCAAATGGTGAATACGTTTCTATTTGACGAAGTAGCGTAGATGTTTTCACTTCTTATGATAATGCTTAATCTAAATTCCATTTCATTTTCTGTGTTTAATTCTGAGAAGTCCCCTTGTTATGTATTCATAAATTTTATTTTTCACAGGCTAAAATATGTATCAGTTTTAACTCTTAATGTGCTCATCGGTTTATGTTTATATAAATTTTACTAACTGTTGTTTCGTTGATATCATGAACTAACTATTGTCTTCGATGGATAACAGCCTCACATCCGACATATTTGAACGCCATTTGTCAAGGCTTATCACTAGTCCCAAAATTACAATTTGAAATTAGTCATTAGCTGGTATATGCTAATTATCAGAATAGAGGTTTGTACAGGTTATTGAATATTATTTCTGGAAGATGGTCACGCAATATCGCGAATCGACTAAAGTTAGAAGGATATCTGCGGACTTGGATTATGGTTCAGTGGTTTAAAGGCTTAGCCCTGTATTCTAGTTCTGCGCGGATGCACACTGATGGAGAGTCCCGTACTAGGACGAAATAGCTGTCAAGTGATCCCTGATTTCCGATGGATGTTTAGTTTAGGTTATTTCGTGATATTAGTAACATTTAATAATGTCCACGAACTTCTACGCTGATAAGGATTATTTTGGTTTTGAATTCAGTATGACCTGGGAAGAGTAGTACTCATAGATTGTAAATATACTTAAAACATAACTTCATATGGAGTATAAGGCTAAAAATGTTTTAGGTCATGACTGCTGCATAGAAACTATAGAAATTATTTTGATAATGAAACCATGTCTTGAAATAAAAAAACCTTGCTAATAATGAAACTTCGATCAATGGTTATTGAATTCCGTTGTGGTTTTATATATGGTTAAGATGAAAAAGAAATTCAGTTATTTGAAGATCTCTGAGTCAAATTATCCTTCGATTTTTGTTTTCTTTTAAATTCAATTGTTATTATGATTATATTGATAAGTTGACCTGCTAGCCAAAATTATCTGGAATAGTCTTTCATAATTTTTTGAAAAAGGTATACAGTATCTATTGTTGATTTATGCGTTTGAACGAAAACGGGTAAAAGTTCGTTACTGAAAACTTCATTTTTAGAATCCATTACGGAAGTGTGATGACAAAGAGTTGTAGAACGGACTGATAAAATTATGTTGGTCACCTGTTTGTTTATTATGTTTCTCTCTTCATTGCTTGTTATCATTTTTCCGAAATACCGAACTGTTTCCACGAATAAGCACTTTTTTCGATATATCGTCAATGAATTCGTTAAAGGCAACATTGATATATGTCAATAATTTACATGTGGTTCTCAAATTCCAACTGAACCGGCGAATTTCAGTGTCATGTGTTAATAAGGTTTCCCTGTGATTCTTTTCATTGGCCAACTTTTATATGTAGATTAGTAGCTCCATTGTTTCAACGAATGCTGTGCTAGAAAGGAATACTTTATGAGTGAAAAACCCAGGGTTGAAACAAATACGTTTTGTAATAAACGATTCTCAACATTATCCTTTTCGCATTGAAATTTATTGTATTGGTACGAAACCACACTTGCAAAAACACTATTATGTTTTAATCCCATTATACAATTACTTAGAACTCATAAGTCATGTATTCTAATCACAGGTCTCATATAACCTTACAATATTCATTATTATACTGGTTGGTAATCTAATGAACAGTTATCCTTCATGCTTCAAGGGATACCTGAAATATTGAGAGGAGAGATGATCGAATCGGGACCCAAGACAGGCCACTTAGACGTTTGTTTTTTAGCGAAAAGCCTAGATTCACGGCTTCTTATCTTCTACTTACAACCACACAACACAAAGATATTCGATGTCCAGTTACTTACGCTAATACATACATTTAAGCATTATCGATAGAGTTTCATTAGCTGTAAGTACTAGACGAACGTGATGTTGATAACTAGTCAGTGTGCAATCAATCTATCCATGATGATGAAGTTTTCGTAATCATCTCACATTCTATCTCTTAAAATCCCTTTGACAAAACAGATAATTTATTCATTTAAATATTTATATTTTACATAGGAGTCAGTAAGCAGTGCAATAAATATTCCAGATAACTATCAGCCTTCACTGACTCATGCGCATAACTCAACTGGGCATATCTTACATTTACAACCCCCCAAAGCTACACCTGAATACCTGGATGATGAGGAAGAATTCAGCGAAAAATCCATTTCAGAAGCTGCAGTCACAGGAACGACGGCTACAGCGGCAGTTGTGCCAGATGTCTTTCCACCAAAGCAAGTAAGTATGCACGCAATATAGAATGTTATGGGTTTGTAAAGGGAAGAAAACTGTCGTGGAAAATTGATATATTCAGACATACAATAAACTGTGTTGTTAACGAGATATTAGTTACATACATTCATTTCACTAGCGCATGTAGTTTACACTGAATCGAAGTTTGAAGCATTATTGTTATTAGTCAGTGGAATGTCTAACAGCAGTAGCTTGATAGTCTCACTCGACCACTCGTGATATAGCCGACTCATCTAATTATCACCAACAGAACCTTAATTTCTTAAAGATAGGTCACACAATGGTTTGTTTGTGATACAAACATTTTCATGCACGCATTGTTTGGATGCACAAGTTGGCAAGGTTTCTAGATTCTAGTCACTAGCTTAAGATTAATAAGATGATCGGTAGGCTAAATATTTCGCAAAACAAAGAACATAGTGCTTTTAAATAATCGATATTAAACTAAACCGCTATGAATTTCGAAGTGCATTCGTGGATATCATCGGAAAATCTCATACAAGAAATCAGTGTTTAATATGTTACTGAACTTTTTGAATCTATGCACCTTTTTTTGAGATTCACTTTTGTCCAACTAAACCATAGACAGAATGATTTTTATTGAAGGAGGATCATAAAGGGTTGATTTCTTTGAAACATGTTTGGGATGTTGGTCAATCCTGTCGTGGAATCTGTTTGATTTTCGAAAGCAATGGGGAAGCTTGAGTGATGGATTTCTTTCAGCACCAAGGACGAAACAATATGAAATTATTTATTATTCAGTTGCTTGTTGTCATGATCGTGCTATTCCAACATAATATCATTTACGACCAGATTGGGTTTGTCGTAACTTTATGACTACATTAGCGTGTGATGTGAGTTCAGAATTTTAATGGTACATTGGTTCTCCTAAGATTCTGAATAAAACTTTCTGATGAGAACAAACCCGCATATGACTTACGCACATGAATTTTTGGCAATTAACTTTCATAATCTAACATTGGGTTTCCATATATTCGTCACTACTAAATATATCAATTTCGTGAACTATGTAAGGCTGTTAATTTCATTTCATTGATTCTTATGAATGACTAAACTTTGATTGATTTGTCTGTGTCTTGAGAACCATTCCGAATTAAAATAAACATAGTTTGTTATGGCAAGAGTCCTAATTAAAAAAGAGTTAGTGCTTTTTGTGAAACGTAAAATATTTTGGTAAAGCACGTAAATGTTTAGTTGTAAAGTCATTTTTAATAATGTAATGAAGAATTTTAGTTAAAGAAACGATCATGTTATGGTGTGTGAAAAAGAAACTTATTCTTGAGTAAGGAAGTACGCTGAGCCTCTAATTTTACTCTTACTAAAAAAGATATTTTTAGTTTTCGTGGAAATACATTCTTACTTGTACTTGTGACACAGGATAACATTTTATTCAGTGAAATTATTTAACTGTACGTAAATAAATATCTTTTTGGAAGTTCCCATCATATATGCGCTTCAAATAAATGAATACACAAATCCAGATTGAAAAACTAAACATGTAAATTAATTTAGTAGATTAACAATAATTCATTTTATTTATTTACTAGGAACAAGAACATGTAACTCCAGGATTCGAACGCATTCAAAAATTTTTAAATTCATTCACGGATCCGTATAAACAATTATCTGAAAAGTTAAAATATTCTGTGGCCGACAGTGAATTCATTCAACCATCTGTTGGAACTTATTGTATGCTTGCTACACATTGTGACCTGGCTGTAATACGGTGCTTATTCTGTCCTGAATGGTGTGAATCCGGTATCTACTGGTCGCTATGCTATTTATTCAATCGTTTATTGCAAATACGCTCAGAATGGATCAAAATTAAACCGAATAACCGTAAATTACTAAGGTTACGCAGAGGCAATCTTCCGCCTGAACACTTGTTTAAATGGATACCAGGATTGTGGTCAGCAGCATCGTCACATCAAGCAAGGATAAATCATATCACTGGAGAAATGGTGAAGGAAATTCGGAGTCTATCATTACCTAATATATCGTCAAGGTGTATGTCAAGTATTTGTCAGCATAATCCAACTGAACAGTGCAACAGAGAATTTGAACAAGACAGTAAAAACAGTAAATTTAGCCAATATTTTTGAGGTTTGATTTTAGGACGACTGTTACTTGTTTCATGCGTTCAAGTCTGGGTGGTAACATTATCAATTACTAGACACAAAAAAGATATAACGTCAGGCAACTTCAAGAATCCCATAATATGTTTATACTATTCATTATTGTCTGTTCTATATATTTATATGTGACTATAACGTATAAAATTTACATGTTCGGAACAGTAAAAAACGTTCTTATTGCTGTATTAATAATTGTGACCATTGTAATTTTTATTTATTCTTATGAATGAAAAGTCACACAGGTTTAAACTTTTATAATATCCAGATGTGTTTACTACCTTTTATCCCTAGTTTATTTAAAAAGAAAGGATTATTTCCACTAGGGTATTTTTGTTTGAATGTCTTTCTTAGCACAAGCAGATAAGTTTTAGAAGATATGTCCAATCAGCTAGAAATGAGGACATACATCATATTTTATAATCTAAGTTCCTTAAAACCCATCTACGACTTTTCAGTCAAACTTGGTATTTTAAATGTCCGTGTACTTATGAAGTATTTAAATATTTGGTTGACACTCAGTCGTCAACAGGTAGTTGGATGGCTGGCCTTTATAACATGTGAAGCAACTGTGAAATTGCTGGTCATTGAACTGCGAATCACCCTGAAAACTCAGAATCCAGAGTTTCGTCTCATACCAAATATTAAAATTAACTGATCCTCAGGGGAAATTATCGGCAGACAATTAATGTTCATTATTCTTTAAAATTTGCTCTCGTTGACAGTTCTAAAAATGATGCTTCATGATATGTATTAGATTGTACTTTCCAATAGAAGTTAGTGTATTTATATTTCTTATGAAAGAATTCGATAAATGCTTACATTCTTTACCAGATTTAAACCTCGCAAACATGTGAATCTACTTCATTGTATAAAAATATTTGAAGATATATTGTGCATAAATTTTTGGATGAAAATAATTACATCTCGGAGACTATGATCTTTATAAATATCAAAATATAAATAATTTCATGCGATTTAAAATAAATAAATTTTAGTATCTTAGATGAGGTATATACTCAATATTGTAACATCATGTAGTTACTGTGGGTAATAAGATTTTTCTCATCCAAAGATTATAAACTATAGTGTTTTTCTAATCGCAGATGACTTAACTCAATATAAGCATACGAAACAACAGGAAGAACTTTGTGAAGCTCCGTCGAACAGTACCAGTAACATCATCCAGTCATACTCTGGGAACAGTGGTACCCCTTCCTCGATCAAACATTCCACTATATCAAGTCATTTGGATGGATCGTTAAATCGTAAAGGTATATCTTGCGTAATTGGATCATCTTCACCTTTATTGAATATTGATAAGTCTGAATCTAACCTTATGAAATTAGAATGCCCAAAAGATAGAGAGCAACAACAATGGCAGCCACAGCAACTTAATACTAGTCCTTTGCTAACTGATATTGGTCTCAGTGATTCATCATTTACGCTCCCACTGCCCATTGTTAACTTTGGAGTTCAGCAACAGCAAAACCAACAGCAGCAACCCGCATGGAGAGGTTCTAAACGTTCAAGAATTACTGATATTAAGGTGATTTAATTACTAATTATTATTTACAATTTCTACCGAAGTTTACAATTTGTTGTTTTCTTCCACATTTTTTGGGCGAAAATGGCGAGAACAATATAGATACTAAGATATCATTTGTGAACTCTCCACATAAACATTCATTGGGTTTACTAAGAGATGGAAACATTCCATTCATTCATACTGCCACATAAATTCTGCAATATCAGTACCACTGAATACTCATAAAAATGTAAGGTCTTTATGTAAAAAATCGATATCAGTTACATAAGCCTTAGAACGTAGAGAGTATTTTGAACAATTTTTTAAAAACCCAGTTGTTAGGACCGTTTACTCACGAGTAGTCTTTTGATGAAACCTAAGTATATTGTGATTCTCAAGAAGCACCGAAATAGCATATACGTAAATCTATAAAAATGTATAATTTTATCTTGTAGATGATAATAAGTAAGAAAAATGAATCTAAAGTACTCTGACATGACTGCTTGCTTCAGATACTTCGGAATATCCTCTCAATTACTGCAAAGTTTAGGGCTCGCTATGTTGCGTACTCACTTGGTTTACAGAAATAGATGAGTTAGTATGTGCACTTTCAGTAACCCATTGGTTTGCATTCTAAAACGTGAAAATATTGTTCTTCTTCACGAATAAATATAACACATGAAAAATGAAAATTATCTTCTTTATTGATACTTTAGGAACGTTTTACTCGGGCGTCAAAGTTCAAATCTGGGGATGCAAGTATGAAATTTCAACCTTTATCTTCTATTGAAGCACCAGGCATGACTAGCATAAACACCCTGATCGGTATGTTTTCATATCCATACAATAATAATGCATGTTGAATTGAAGATTGACAAACTATGAAAACAAGACCAAAACAAAAGCGATTTTGCAGGTTGATTCAATAATTGAGTTATATGTTCTTACAAAATACTGAGTAGCTGTTTACCTTATTTCAAGTTTTTAGTCAGAGGCAGTACAGTTCAGGGTTATTTTTCACAAAGATTTTAAACAGTAAATAAAAGTCAAACTTAAACTCTGTTGGAATTTTCTTCACTGAATAACCTCATCAGTAAGGCGTATTTGAAGACTAATGAAACACATTTTTCAAGGGATTCTAACTAACTTGGCTCAGATAAAGTAAATCTGAGTTCTATCAGTAATGAATGATTCTTTTTATTATTACAGAATGTAAACTGATCTTTTACCTTAATTACTATGTCACTAACAATTTCTTATGTGCACCACGCGTAAAAGTATGTTAGCGTTTAGATGGTGGTTGGAGGTAGTCAACAGGGTTTCCTGTTGACTACCTCCAACCACCATCTAATCTCAATACATAGTGCCCGCAGTGTCGAGTCACCTAGACTGGTGGCCACATTGCAACATGATCGATAGCATTCGATCTGCACTAATAAGGACTAGACAAGCATGAGATTGATCACCACCCAGTGATCAATCAATTGTGATTATGTTAGCGTTTAAATATTATTTCGGAAATATTAAAGGTCAGCCGTTAATTTGCTTGGGTTTTCGTTACAAACTAAAAGCCATACTACTGATCTGGTTTAAAGTAACAAAACAATGTTTTTGATGTTGAATGGAGGTTTTTTCCTACTGACTGTAGTTTAGGAGTGGAATTTATCATTTAAACTTTGTATTTTCATTTGTAATGTTAACCGTTACTGAGGTAGAAATACTGTTTTACTTTTTTGCTTGCGAATTCTAGCGGTAAGTGTTTTCGATTCTCCTACAATAAGTACTTTTTGTAATAATAACTTCTTGTTGGTTTTCTTTGTTGCTGCAGAATGTGATCAGCCGTCGGTAATGACTGGGGAAAAACAAGTCTCCTACACGCCGACAAAACGATCGGCTCAAACAGGAAGTGAAAAGCTACGGCTGGCGCCAAATGAAAAACCGTTTCAAGGATTCGACACGACAAGTAATGATTCTGAAGCTAATAAACGTGATCCACCTGTTTCGTGCAATGCTTCTTCCCTTCATAGTGGACTTAAACTTGGTTTACCACCTTGTACACCTTCAATAGCAGTGGCTATTAAGCCAGTTGATAACACAGATACAGTTTCGAATGATGAACAGTTATTTGCTAAGACACTTCCTCGCAGTCTTACTGATTCAGATATAATATATCATAGCTCAGAGAAGGTAATTTTATATTTTGGATGATTATTTTTAGCTTCTTAATTTCATAAATGTGAATATCTTTGACAATTACTAAGTAAAGCTGAAGTGAGATTTAGGGAAAAGTTAATTTACATCAATGACGGATAAATTGAATTTCTTAAGAAAAAAGTATTTTTATTACAAATTCACTAAAACTACTACATAGACTGATATGGAATTATTAATTGTTGGAATTTTAACAAAACTACTGCAAATTACTGCCCTGATTTATTATAAACAATCATCTTATGTGAAAAATCACTTGTTATCAGATAAATCTGCTTTAAAATTCTAACCATCAACAATTTTATCTAAATATTTTTATACTTTTATAAACAAAATAATGAAATCACTTATTGAAATAAGTAAATAATACTAGCACTGAATTACATATTGATGATAGATAGGGAAACTAGCTGAAATATTTTCATAGTTAATTGTCACAGGCACATATGTCTGGAAGTTTTCGATGTTACGAAATACGCAACGTGCTTACTAACGTTGCTCATTAAGTAAGAAATGATTTTTGATATGAACTATTCTCTTTTTGTGGATATAAGGCTGAGGTACTAAGGGGTTAAAGTAAAATTGAAAAAACGCATGCAATTTGAAGAATGTAAAAAGTTGTCTTACCGATTTCCCTTTGAGATTTTACGGAAAATAAATAACTTGAACATTGGAAAACCTAACTCAGTGGGCCTGTTTTGCGGATTTTAGAACCCATTTACTTTTTAAGCCATCATTAATAGTTTAATGGCTCTTGAGCATCTGGTTATTACTTTTATTCAATCTGCAGGTAGATGAAGTTCCAGGAGCTGCATACTACATTACACCTAATGGTCATTTAGATTATTCTGTTATTTTGAGAAGTCTTTATTGGTGTAGCACAGTACACACATCAAGTCGTGTTTGTTTCAATTTGGTTTGCTGTTTGAGTGCTTTATTTGATTTGGGAATCTTCGACATGAAGCCCGGAGCCTGCTCGTTAAAAAATGTTTCTTTTGAAAAACCTGGTCATCTCAGACGATTTCGAAAAAAAAATCAATGTGAGAGAAACAAGTGTTCGAAATCCTCTAAGACACCTATTCTCAATAAACTTGTGGCAAGAGAAAGTCACACTAACCCAAATTTCAACAATCGAGGTGGATATGATAGCTCAAATTTACATTCAGGCAGTAGAGTGAGACTACATGACCAGAGTGTAGGATTTTCTTCCTCAAACTTAAGTTCCTCTAGAGTTTCTGTCGGAATTTGCAGCGAGTCTTATGGAAGTGAAAATGGGGATGATGGAGACGCTGATGTAGGATCAAAAAGGCAGTTTTCTAATAGAGCTGATAACGAATCACTGATAAGCGAAGACGGCATCGGGGCTTCTGTTTGCACAAAAAACTTCAGCCCACTTGGGAGTCCTCAATCATCTATAGATCTCGAAAAAGATCCTTGTTCAATGCCACGTTGGATAAAATCGTCAGGAAATATTCAATCTAGGCTACGTAATAACGAAAAATTAGTGTCTAAAAGTGCATATCGATTGAAGTCTCGTGCTCAACAGAAACGAGGAATGAGCTGTGATATCTCTAATCATCTGGTCCGTACGCATTTTACTTTAGCAGCTGAAATGTTGATAAGGTAAACTTGATGCATTTGTTACTTTACATATTTTACCTTCATTTAAACTTTTTTGACAAAATCCAATGTTGTAGTGTCAGTTATTATGCCAAGCCCATATACCTTATTCGAGCTTTCGGACATCCCATTCTATTCATTTTACTTGAGCCATACATTGACCTTGTTATTTATTCGCTTATCAATCTAGACTGTTTTTATATGAGCGTATATGTGTGTGCCCTTCTTATTCCATTAATTACATGTCTGTAGCTGTATTTTGTCTGACTATAAATATTGAGTAACGCTTGACAAAGATGGAGTTGGCTTCCCATCCATCTTCCATACAATCTAAAATGGAGTCAGATCAAACGGGCCACTAAAATGTACATACCGCCTGAATATGTAGACGTGTATTCTAGTTGAAAACGTTGTGAATGATGCTATAAATATGTCTTTTACTCCTTTGAACGTTCATACCTGGGTGTATAAACAACTTAGATAAAAATGACCATTTCAAGATTCACAGATGGACTTTCACAACGAATACCAAGATGTTTAGGACAAGCATTTAGTGTTCACTGTTTAAACAAACCAAAAATTTTATTGTTAGTGAAAAGTTTGCCACTCCAACTTTTAGAAGTGTTCATTAAAGTAGAAATTAAATATTTCTGGCAAGCTAAACGGAATCACATTGTTGTTATTCGATATTTATTGGACTCATCAGGTCCTACAGAATGAAGACTATTCCGATACGTTTATTAGAATGGGCAGAAATAGTCTATTTCCCTGTATTCATTGACTATACAGTCAAGATATCAGTATTTTATACATTTATCACATATTTTTATGTGGTTTAGATATGAAAATAGCCCTTGGAGTTGAAAACTATCGATGGTACCATTTGATTTTTATCCATAGACTACTTGTTAGAGTTTTACCACAAAATCATAATGTTTGGTTGTTTTCCATTGTTGACGCAGTTTTATTTGACTTTTTTCGTGTGTGTAAACTGGACTTTCATGTATTTTGTTGTACATTAGAATTATTCGTTCAGTTGGATGTAGACATGGGCACAATAATTCATCGAATTTCACAAATTCCCATTATCACCATCAACAAGAGCAGCACGAAAACTCTGTAGATCCAAGCAACCATTTCCGGTCACTTGCACATGACTGTCTTATTTATCTACACCGATTAAATCCTAATTTGTTTAAACGTGTGATAATACGAATTGTATCTTCAAGTACTGTTGCCGATCTAGTTGAAATACTTCATTCATTCACCGGGTTTTGTTTAGATCCAGTCACACGTTGTTATGAACGTTCAAGTAAATCATTTTGTTCCTAGTTTTCTTTTGTTATAATAATAAATTTAGTTAAAGTCTTGGCTGAAAAATTCGGGTACTTGTCCTGTTGATGGTCAAATAGTGGACTCAAATTAAAAATACCAACGTATATTATTTTATTGAGTAATAGAAAAATTGTTCAAATGTCTTAATTACTACGAAGATGATACACTAATTTTCATAACTTGTAGCCTTGCTCCCTATTAATATATAACGTAATGATACCATCAGTTAGAGAACAGTGATTTATCGACCGGACCAATGATGCATAAAAACCGTACGAGCATTCTGGGGTGTTTATCGGTCCTTCTTCCAACATAGCCCTGCCTATTAAGTTCAGAACACCAATCTCAGCCACTGCTATATGAATCATGTATTTCGAACATACTGGGTTTATATACAAATCAAACAGACCACATTGTACCACAAAATAGGAAATAACATTTGTACAAAATCTAGCCAAATGTGGCTGTGAATGTGGAAGACTGGGCATAACCCAAGATCGGTAAATCGTATAATAATAGTCTATGGGTCAAAATAGAGCTTATGATAAGAGAAGTATGAATATGCATCATTTAGTTACTTAATAATTATACAACAAAAATATATATATCGTATTGTTCCATAAACAGATTCCAACAGTTACCATTCATTATTCTCACCAGGATATAACACTAATATATTACTGTATAAGGAAAGATATATAAAGTTATAATCACTTCCAAATTAAAACAGTATGTAATGGGTAGTCACTGGCACCATGCAATAAACCATGAATGAAGCCAAATGGAAAATTTCGATTTGAGTTGTATATTCAATAGTTCGTTATCTAAGAAAGCGATCAGACTATTGACATGGCTTCAGTTTCTTGTAAATAGACGATTCATCTACCCACGCGTTCATTATAGACAGAAATAAATCACGTTAGCCTTGAACAGCACGTAAAGCCTTAATAATTGGTATAGTATAAAGTTACATTTTATATGAATGTTATCATATCTCAGACCTAATTATTCAATTGAGAAGTTGCTAATTTTTCTTCTGAAGCGTCCACACGTTTTCCCAGTCTACAAAAGGTTACACTGGGTGTGTTGTTGATATTCACATCCATATGTTTCTTTTGAACAAGATCGATTTGATGTTATTTTACAATCAAACATTCCTCATATGTACTCTTCGTTTAACAGTTGTTAAAGATTCCTATTTTATTGAGTTTCGTATTGTTTTGCTATGATAAGCATATTTAATTGTAGATCATAATCAAATAAACTAACCTTGAATATATGGGTAATTTAAAAGTTATGGTGTATGTGGTGAGTTGTTATCTCTTCTTTTTGTTTTTTGCACAGATCAAAACAGAAAATCTTATTTAAATTATGGAAATAGTTTTGGGCAGAATGATACTGGCCAAGATACACGTGGAGCTGAAGGTTTGATTGTATCTTATTTGTTCGGCCCTTTTGTCCGGCGCTTAGTCAGGTGCAAACGTGAACTGAGCAGTCAAGAGAATGTTTCTTTATTTTCTGACATACGACAAGTATTCACATATATTCGTGAAATTCACGGCAGTACATTTCGGAAAAACATGTTAGTTGCTTTACTGTGTCCAGTACAGAGAATATGTGAGATTACTACTCCTAAACCTTCAACTCCATTGCCGAGAATGTAAGTGCATTAAAGTTTTATTAACAGCACTCTTATTGCGCAAAAAGGAATGATTTGATTGCACAATTATCAGCTTGGGCCCCTATGTGTAAACGTTAAACATACTGATTAATTAGGTCATACTGTTGTTGATCATCGTACTTAATTGAATGCATTTGTGGCTCGTCAGGTAGATGTTATAATGATCATTTAGGTTCGTTCTCTGCACAAAATCAATTATTCCAAAAAGTTTTGCTTGTAAATAAATAACAAGTACATCATAAATGTAAATCTGCAAGTAATTTGTGGAGCGCAATAAATTCAAAGCGGTCTATAATTCTCATGGTCCTGTGGAATAACCTCGTGAACAAGTGAAAAATCAAACAGCATTCTAAAATGTAAACAAATAGTTTTGTTATGGTCTGCAAATCCTCATTATTTTGTAGACAATCTTTCTTCCTTACCTTTACAATCATAAATTGAAATGCAAATCCGATTTTTGTTGTTTCGGCTTTCTGACTTCAGGGGTGTTCATTAAAAAATTCATTACTTATTTTCAACTTACAACTGACAAGAAACGAACTGATCTTTCCTCGTCAGTATTGAATACGAAAAACGAAAGTTCTCATTTTGTTTATTACATACATTCTTTACTATTGTCCGTTTTCCTGTTTCAATATTTCTTTTTACTGATTCAACGATATTTGAAAAATATCCAATCAACAAGTGATTTAGTCATTTGTGTTCTTAATTGTGGGAGTTGATGTGTGCGTCTTTATTTATCAATTGTTGATTTTAAAACTTCACTCTCCTGTGAAAATTTGTTGGCGGAACGTTATTAATCATACTTAAAGGAAGATTAGTATCTATGAGGGAAAAGGTTTTTTGTAAAACGACGCCAGTCGAGAATAACCCAGCAGCTACTGCTCTTAGTGATGGAATTTTCACTAGGTAATTTTTACAATGAATGATACTGATAGAGTCAGTTGTAAAATTTCCGTTAGGACTTGTAAGTCGGTAATGTTCAATAGTAACAGGTATCAGAAGATTAAAGCTAAATTGTCATCTAATAAGAGAGCTTACACAATCAATTTCAGTTGACATATTCAAATCTTTTGCTGAAATACAAAAAATAAATAAGTTCATTCAATTAGGAAACCGAAATTTGCAAAACATTTATGTAGGTCTAGTCAGAAATCAAAACTATCCAAAGAGTTTAATTCACTTGGTATTGTTTTACTTGAATCTTCCCATTGATGTTTTAAGACTGAAATTGATCAGTTTCTTATTGGCATATGTGCATACTGTGCGTATGCCTCGATATTGCCTTAATTTACAAGCATTATAAGCAAAGATGGATAGTGGCTAGCAGTGGAATCCAGGACGCGCGTGATTAAACTTGAAAGTTCACATTTTTTCACGATAAAAACGGATGAAATCTTCCTTGTGGTAACAAATAATGAAAATCTGTCAAAACACTGGCCGGTTTTTCACATTAGAAGTGTTGAAAATTATCATTTGTAAGAATATTTCTACATGACTAATAACTTGCCAATCTATTGAATTAACATTAAATATTGTTTAGTTTATTATGTCTTTATTTTTATCAGAAACAAAGTTCACAAAGGTTCAGAGACTCGGGATTCAGTCGATAAGGAAAAAGCAGGATGTATGTAACCTTTCCAGACACAGTTTTGGTTCTTTGAGTTGATTCTGACAACTTTCTGTACCTAAAAGGAGTACAATCGTCAATCGTCTAGTAAATTATTGAATGTCAAAAAAGTTTCCTTTTGCTGATATGTTCACTATTTGGCGCATGAGAAAGCACAGTTCTAGTTGTAGATTTAGTCACTTTTCCAAACAGTGCAGATACAGGTTTACGAATATTCATGAATAGGTTTTTCTGAGTAGATCCTATGTAATCACACCTTTACTAGGTCTTAAATTGGTAGCTGATGTGAAATGCACTTCTATCAATGTATAACACTGATTAGTTCAAACAAAAATTTTACGCATATGCTTTATACTGTCTGTTATGATACGGTATTTATGAATTTGTAACTACAGGATTCGAAAGTGTAATAGTTTCCTAAGGTAATTTTTGTGTTTTTCTTAAAGGTCAGCAAGAAACTCTATGTGGCTTGTGCCTCGTCACGACAAAAGGCGTTCAACTTTCAATGTGTTTATTGATCCTTTGGCAGAAACAGAAAGCTATTCAAGTGGTCACAGGGAAAGTTCATTGTACAATGTGTTATGTAGACCGTCGACTGCAGGAAGAAGTGTAAGAATACATAGTAATGGAAGTTCATCAATAATAGCAGCGTCATTCGAAAATGGTAATTTATCCAACAGTCATTATTTGTTGTCCCCCTAAGATTTTACTTTAAAAATGTATAATCGTTGAATAATGTAACGTTTATTGTTAGTATAAGTTTGCGTTTCGCCATTGCTGAGATTCAAAATTGAGTTTTGTTTAATTTCTGTCAACATTAATTTTGCTAAATGGAAGCATTGATAACGCATATATTTATACCTTTATTAGATATCTTGAAATTTGATCACGAGTGGAATTCAAGACTTCTAGCTAAGACAAAGAATTCTAGTTCTACATTGGAATACCATTAAGTCTGGAAGCCAGTAAATTCCATGCTCTCTGGAAGTATTAATGTCTATCAGGGCTCAGTTACTTTGTGAATAATACGTTGGCATTTGTGACTGTCGATACTGAGTTTAAGTCTCACCAAGAATATCAAAACGAGATTCCATTATGTGCATCTGATGAGCCGAGGAAATGACTAAATATGACTCCTGAGATTCATTGATAGGGAAAATCAAAATAATCTGATGTGAAGTTTATCATGGAATTACTTGAAATTATAAGTCAACACTAATGGTTGAGAAGCGACTCATCATTAAGGTGTATGGATTTGCAAACTGTTATTTTTGGGATTGAAACAAAATAATTTGTAAATGGTTTCCATATTGCATATAGTAGTGGATTTTATTTGTTATCGATTGATTACAATAGATAACAATGACTTGTTTAGCATCGATGCACTGACTATCCATAGTAAGGTGATTTTTAGAAATGTGCTCAATGGAATTAAAAAGCACTAGATGAATAAACTTTCCTGGTTAGTATGTGACTGGTATACATCCATGACCTCATGTATAATCGACAAGACAGTCTATCAACCTCTCTGCAAGCACTACATTATTCAACTGCTGGTTACCAACCACCTAGATAAATACAATACGGTAAGTTTTCGGAAGTATAGTTTGAATCTATAACTTGTGCATTTATTGTCCATAGTGATAACTAGTGTTATATATATACCTTCTTCTTAGTGAATTTGTCTACTTATTAAGGCAGTAACTTAACATGCATCACTTCAGGTATCCCAGCGATATTCAATGTCCTAATGAGTACTTTTTCATTAATAGAGCTCGGGTATTTTCACTGTCGATTTACAAAATGGAATTTGTCAATTTTTGTTGATACACACGCTTTTTGTATGGAGTCAGGGGATTGCTTACTGTTAACAATTGATAAATTTAGGTGACGTCTTGGGAATGAAGTTAAAATAACTTCCTGAATTCAGTTTCTGCTCCCTACCAATAGTTAATTAATGAAGTTACTAGTGCGAACATTCTCGAGAAATTTGCATGAAGAGGCTATATTTCAACAGGCACCACTTAATTCACTACTGCAAGCTAACTATTAGTAGACTTTTAGTGTTTGGAAATACGGGGTACAAAGAAAATGTTATAAACTTTCAATGTTTTTATGACTAGGGTAAATTTCAGTGTTTTTATTTGCAAACCATTTAACATTATCTTTTGGTTAATAGCATTATTTAAACAAGCATATTTCTGTTTTCTTTCATATAAAACCTATTACCAATAATTTAATTATCTCAGAATGTGTTTTGTGGAGATTTTTAGAAATTTTCACAGATTGAACTCATGAGTCAGTTGAAGCTAGACCACCATTGAAAACCTGGAAGCACTGGACGGCCGTTTCGTCCTAGTATGGGACTCCTCAGCAGTGCGCATCCACGACCCCGCACCACCCGGGGCTCGAACCCAGGACCTACTGGCTTCGCGCGCGAGCACTTAACCATTAGACCACTGAGCCGGCATCCAACGGTGTTAATGTCTAACTTCAACCAATCCACGAAGTTGCGCTACCGTACACCATTGTCTTCAGTGAGTTCCTATCTCACAACAGACCTGGTTGAACTCCACTGGTAACGACTTCTCACTAGAACTCCAGAAGTGTCTCCCGAAGTCAGTCTTATTTTTGTTTGCCTATGTCACATAAGTTCTCTTATTATCTTTACTGTGAGCTGGAACTGTTTTTATTTTGATGACCTTATTGGTTATCGCTGACTGTATATCAGTATATGATAGGCTTTAAAATTGCTGCCTAGTTCGTTAATACAAAGTGATATTGTAATTTAGACTAACACAGACCATCAAGCCTCCTGTCCTTTCCAAAGTGAAACTGATATACAAGCGAACAATATTGTTTTCGATTAGATCATCATCAGGCTTTACTCTAAGGCTCTACTCCTTAAGAGTAGCAGAATCAAGAGCGTTGGGATAGATTAAAGGGATAAGGAACGACAGTAAATTAGTTAACGTATTTTGATCGAGGCCACAACAATCCTTTCTGACTAGACACTTAACAGTTTGACATGATATTGAGTAGACGAATGTTTTCACCATAGTGGTATCACTGACTAAAACATCGATGTAGCACTAGCTAGCTTTTTAGGAAAATCATATTTAACTTATATTGGAGTATTAAATTGTTGAATCAGAACTCAAACTATAAATGAAAAAGCTTACAAATACTGACAAACGACGATGTAGAAGAGATAGAAAATAATGATTCCTATACATACTACATATTGAATCGGATAGAATAAAATGGTACAAACTACTGCAGTGTTTGTGATAAAATCTTCAAGATATTGATTATCTCTACATGAATATGTAGTGTTTTTATTTCGTTCTATTTATTAATCTTGGCTTTAGCAGCTTTCTAATCCTCCAATTTCTAAATTTTTCCCTCACATATGCATGCTCATCGATTCATTTCCGATACAGCGAGTACGATATTTCGGCAACAGAGCAAACATAAAATAACAACTATATATATATATATATACACATGTATATACGCACAACAAACATAACATAGATTAAGCGAATCATGGGACAAAGAAATTCATTTCGCCAGTAAGACTATGTGATAGTAATAAACTTTACGGTCGACCTTGAATAGACTGTCAACCAATCAGAAAACTGTGTTTAGTTCTAAGAGGATTTATAATAGAGAAAATAGGGAACTGGGGTGGATAAGCCTTTTTGGTATGAATTCTCTCCAGGCTCTAAACTTTATTGTATATATATATCGTGAAACTATCAATGTTAGACCACCATTGAAAACGTGGGAGAGGTTAAGCGTCTGCAAAACTGAAGGTCCTGAGTTCATGTCCCTCATGCGGCACCATGGATACGCACTGCTGAAAAGTTTCATACTAGGACTAAATGTCAATCCAGTGCTTCCAGGTTTTCAATAGTGGTCTCAATAAAAAATTGCTTACATTGAGATGAATATTTATCTTGAATAAGCTTATACGTCAAATGAAATTGTAAGACCAATGATCAGAATAAATATGGGTCCTACAGGATAAGAGAAATGAAAATGAAGTTACAAATTCGATCAAATGTTTAGTGAATGGCTATATTGTGTAAAGTTGTATGAATCCAGTAAAAAATTATGAAATGGAGTGAGCGCTAAATAAATGGATCGTGTTTGAGTGAGTAATAGTAATGTTCAAAGAAAAAATCAATAGTAACCTTAATTAGAGAATGACCTAATTTAACTAGTGTACATACAACTTTTCGTTATCTTCGATATTTTTTCATATATCTTTGTACTTATTTATTATTGTTTTACTAGATTCATACAACTTTATAGATGTTACAGTCATTCACTAAATATTTGATCGAATTTGTAATTGCATTATTATTTCTTTTACCCTAATATGTATGTATAACTAACCGTAGAACCTGAAGGGAACTTCTTTCGTTCAATTTTTAGTGTTTTAATATAATGAGAATTTTCAATTCGTTTTGATATGACTGACGAATCTTTACAGGTTGAATCATTTAATACAATAAACGAAAAAGTGTCATGGTTGGGAGCTATAATCGGTAGTAAGGGTTTCGGGTTAGGATTTTGGTTCCAAGAAAGGGGATAGTTTGTAGTAGTGGTGTTGAATACTTATGCAGATAATCTAAATGTTAAAAGCTTTTAAATTATTCTGAGGAATTCATAAATTATGCTAACATACGTGCATTTTGATTTTTTTTATTTTACATTAATTTTCCCTGAAAAACTAATTGACCAAGTTCATTTCTAATGTTCAATCTTATCATATCTACTAATATTGAGGGCCGTAGTTGTTAAATAAAGGGGATATTAAATCCGTTCGTAAGGACTGCCCTATGAATGATGAAAAGTATACTTATTTAATGAAATGGTAAATCTCATCTAATTCGATTTTCTTATCAGGCACATCATATTACAGTTTTTTTTATTTAACTAATTGAATATAATTCTAATGAAACAATGCCCTGATTACATGAAATTTTAAACTAGCACTCAAGATTGATCTCATTTGAGGGACTTTAAGCATTGCTGTGTCACATCGTTAATATCCTCTAAGAGTATCTCTCGATTCCAGCTAATTGTCACCCAAAACACCACAAGTCAAGTAATTTAAGTTATAGGTGATGATGGGTTTGTAGCGAAAATGTGTTAATTCAAGGGATCTGAAATACCACAACTTATTTCTATGACACTCATCAAAAACTTTCAGATTATTCTGACTGAAATTTGTTAAAAACTGACTTCCTTGATCAGCGTTTTACCTCAAGTCTTAAGGATATTATTTCAAAGGATAACATAAAGTGAATCTTAGTCCAAATGAACAATCGTTATTCACTTAAATTATCATTAAAAGAAATTTATCGTGTCCTATCACAATGTAGCTTGCACATCTGACAATAGACTTAGTGGGTTTTAAATAATGTACCAGAGTATATTCGTAGTCGTTTCAAAATGTTATTCTGTGTATTAATATGTGTAGTTTCAGTACGAGATAGAGTTAACATTTTATTGGTTGTTCATGATAATAAAATAATCATACTTCAGTGATATGCCTATAAGAAAAAAATTGAATTTCAAAAGTTTGGAGACTTAGTGTATCTTCATCAAAGAATAAATAACCGAATGAAATTAAAACAAGTTTAAATGTCACACAGAAAAAATTGAAATATTCAGTATAATCAACACAAATCTGATCACGCTAATGTTATGTAATTCAGGTCAAATAGTGAAACAAAATATGTGTAACCTTTTATGAATCTGAGGAAACTGCGATATTTGCAGTGTGAAGGAGTACAGTTAATACGCGTGTCACTGGTGTCAAATTTGAACAATTTAGATCTGGTTTTTATGATTTACATCATCGATTAAGCTTATTTAAAACCATGAAGCATTAGGCTGTTTCGTCTCAGTATGAAATAATTTAGTTGTACTTATCTACAAGTGTAATACCTTCTGTCTCGAGCGTTTAAGATACTGTTCCGCGAACTTCTGTTACGTACGATGTATAACTCCTTCACACCTGACAACCTTGAACTCCTGGAATTACCTCTCGATATTCGTCACTAGTGAGCACATGGTGATAAAGTTTATGGAAGTGATAAAAGCAAAGACGTAAACTGTCGATCAAATGTCGAAATGGAACAAAACTTTTTGGATGATGGTATGCTCGAAAAACTATTACTATCTTATTTTTGTAATACTGAGTTAGTTTGTGTATTTCCACTTTTCAAGAGACGGACTTGGGTAGTTATCCTATTAAAAAAATATAACCGTACGTGATGGGTAAAGCTGTTAAGTATTATTATGAAATACGCTGTACATCTATTCAATACAGTAAGTAAGAAAATTAATTAATCAAAAGACAAATTATTATAAGGTGTAAACGGAATGGAAGAGTGTATGTAATATTCATAAAACTGCATATTCAGTTGTCAAAACAGTAGTAAAATGTAACGACAGTCTTTCTGAACAGAAATTCGGCTGTATAGGATGCCTGATATGGACAGAACGACCCTATTCTGCCAAACACTCAAAATACTAAAACAACCCTGAAAAACTCAATTCCTTTAAACTTGGATTGCAATTGTTATTGCAGAATCAAATGCAGATTACCAAATTGTGTGAATTCAGATGAATTACTCAATGTGATGAGAATGAAAGAAATATATTATGGTTTTTCATGTGACCATCTTTACGTTCACTGATTTAAAGGAATACCGCAACCTTCAGTCAAAAATCTTTCCGGTTTTTTTAATAACTAAATGGTTATATTTTGCTAACTGAAATTCAAATTTGTTACTCGTCATAAAACGGAAGTCATTCTTATTTTAATTCTAAAATTTTTTTCGATTTTTGAAGACCTACAAAATTAGCGTAACTAGATGGGCTATTCGTATAATAGTCTGTTTAATTAGTGTAAACAAAAGGTTCTAGTTTTTTTGTCAGTTTAAGAGATGCAGTATGAACTGGGAAAAATTTAGCGTTATTCTTCATCGAACGTAACCGGTGTATGTTTTTTAATCATATTGTTATCTCAGCGTCAGTTAATCCAACTGGAGAAAGTTGCCCGTATGCTTTACTAACTGTCGGTGTTCAATTGTTGTTTGAGATAACAACTTATCTTAGAGAAACACACCAACGTTTACCACAAGACAATCCAAACTACGATGGGAAATGTGGTCAATCAGCACAACATTCATCCAGAAACTCAGTAATCAAACGTTCATTAACACGTGAAGCAAGCGGTGATAAGAAAACTGATACGTTTAAACACACCTATTCTTCAGGTAGCAGTGGAGCATCCTTTAAAGGTGCTAAAAGACGTCTCAGTATATTAATGCCGATATTTGGAAGTGCAGGTAACAACAGCCCTGAAGATGGTATTGCAAACGAAATAGAAAAACATTCATTTTCCACTGTAAAACCTATAATAACCACCAGTAAGTTTACATTGACAACAGTAACTTCTATGTGATCGTGAAACTAATTCAATGAATGAAAACTCTTTCATTTGAAATAATGTTAGAAATCTGTTATTTGTAATTACAGACATTTAATTTATTGAACAAAAATTTTAACCTCGTCTTATCATTAACCTACACAAGTAACTTGTATGTCATATGGGCTATTTTATAAGAGATAGAAATATTCATGGGATTAGTGATTCACTGTTTGTTTTTATCATTTAGCACAAAGATTTATTAATTTTTTAACAAACGAAAATATCTACAAGGAACGAATACAACAACAACACAAAATTTAACTACATAACTATATTCATGATAAATATTTAAGTTATTTAGCTAAACACATCTTGGCCTTCATCTTGTTTACTGTTGTTTGTTGGTTTTGCTTCAAATACTCTCGTATCTATGTGTGTATCTCAACAAACTCTGATTAGCCTAGATAAATTATGTATTGTCTTGTTTAAACAATACTGATTAGAATAGATGAATTGTCATATCACTCTGTAAATTCGTTTACGAGCGACTCTCTTCACCGCGAAAAGCCACCATCGATTATGCTTTTTGCTATTCTCTGTTTTAACTAACTAAGGAACTGACCAAATCAATAAATGTTTGTTTCGATAAGGTAAAGCTTGATAGAGCAGTGATGAACGAATTAAATTATTTAGAAAGACATCTAGAGTGACCAGACTCTTAACGAAATATGTTAGAAAATGCTTTATGTGTTTCTGTATGTATGTAAACTTATATATGACACCAAAATAGGATATTAGTTTTATTAAATATCAAAAGTTTTTTTATCATTCAGTGATAGAACAAGTACTGATCTAAGTTAAGCACAACATAATACCATTCAAAATAGAAAATTGATCATAGGGATCACCATATTAAATTTCCCACTTAACGTTTTGACTCATATATCTCATGAGAATATATTGTTATTGAGCGTCCACTTAAGGAAGATAAAATTTGATAAAGAGAAGCTTTAATTCCTGTATGATTGCTTTAAGCACAAATGGACATTTTAAACATACGATAAAAGGAATGCTGGTAAAATAACAGAGGACTTATATCCGGGCGTTCTTTTTTACGAGTAGTCTATTTTTTAAATTAATTTAAACAATAAAACTAATTTTTTAGCTAAAGAGTTTTACGGATTCAAAATTATTGTTTCATCAATCACTTACTTTTCAATATCAAGGTACGTAACAGCATTATTGTTTTACAGAGAATATTTCTAATGAACTATTTTAGAAGAATCACATTAGTTTTATTTCATAGTGAAGCGCTTTTTCAGGAGCTTGGGAAGTTAAAAGCGTTTTCAATGTGGTTTAGGATCATATCAAAAGTCATGTGCTTACACTGTAACTCTAAAACGTTATCAGATTGACATAGATTGTTGAAAATCGTACTTGATATATTCCTGTTTAGATACAAGATTTCATGATATCTACATTAGTTATTTTTTACTAATCCCTCACAGATATCGCTGTTGTCCGATTTTTATAACTCATTAAAGAAACGGAATGTCCAATAAAAATCAAACTTGAAGTTTTTTACTTGACAAATTGTCGTATTTGATGTTGCTTAACACATCCATGTGGAATCCCAAAAATAAAACTAAAGAATCGACAATACATTATTCAAGATTTACAGATACATAAGTCAAATTCAACCTAGGAGTTTGACAAAACTCAAGAGTCGAGTATATAGAAGATATTATATTTGAAAATTAAATTTGAAGTAATCTCAAAGTTTTTCTTGGGAAACTGACGCAAACTACTTCAGAGAAATAATAGTAATCAAAATTATCAAAAATAAAAATATGGTTTGCAAAACGAAATTTACTGAAATTATATCCAATCATTTTTAAATGTTGATTTTGTTTTTAGTAATCTAATTAGCCATTAGGTGTAAAATATATTCAGAATGTGAGATATGATTGTGCGTGTGTAGATCGGTATTCTATTGCTGATTAAGAATTCAGTAAATAAATGAATCCTGCGGCCATTATCAAGGAAGTATTATAAATATAGAAGTACATACAATTGGATTTAGGTAGAATGAAAAAAATCATATAGTTAGTTATAATAGTGAACGTGAAAACTAGTCGAAGATATATCTAAATCGTAATATTTAACAATATGATTCAGCGTCAATGTTTTGAAATCCAGCTACGGGTGGACGGATGGGATGGATGACAAAATAAGGTTCAAATGTTCTTGGTTAATTACCGATATTTATCGTTTAGCTAACTCTATTTATAGTTTTTTGTTCCCTTCTTCCAATAGTCCTGGCACAGTTAGCAAGAGCTCAAGAATAAGCCTCTCCGATTGTGACCACTGTGACCAGCTCCACAAGAACATTTAAATATATATATATACAAATGAAGGAACCTATCATGAGTGTCATAATATGAGAACTCATTAGCTTGGGTTGATTTATAGCTTGGTTGTATTTAGTATCTTTTCAAATGATCCATATAGGGCGCAAATTAGAGTGACGCTACCTATGCCACTTTCAAAATTGAAGTTTTTGAAAGAGAGAAATAGTTTTCTTATCTGCAATGATTGTGTTTGGTTTTTAATTTTGAACATATTCGTTTTATCAAGCCAAATTTGTTAAAGACGATTAATAATATTGGAAACAATGAACAGTTTATGATAATCTGTCCAACTCAGATATACTTTGAATTTTTAATTAACTAAACTCTTTAGGTACAGATAAATCTTTCAGTGGACGTCGGAGCACTTCATCCAGACGTATCAGTTTCGCCGTAATGGACGATTCCAAGGATATAACTGATTCTACAAATGCAAGTGCGAACTATCTTGATCAGTCATTAGAAGCAAATGAATCGCAACGTAAATTCTAAAGTTTTTCTCTAAATTTTTGTATATCTACTCTATGTGACAGATAGTTTAATTAATTTAGTATCTAAAACTAATAAGAGATTTTAAGAAACATTTCAACTAACTGAGAAGTTTATGTTAATATTTAATAGTCTTTTTAAGTTTCTCGAAATTATTTCAATTTATCATCATTTTGTGATGCTCATATAATTTAATTGATTTCACAACATTTACTTCTGTGAAATACTTCTTCATTGATAGCGATTTTCCATTTTTGAGCACTTTATATTATGTTTTGGTTAATAATCTTATTGAACATTCAGAGTCGTAACTCTATCTTCATATAACAAGTTCGTGCATAGGGACTATCTTCCGCGTTTCCACCTTAGATATAAATACACATTCATTAGTAATGTCAGTCACTAAATTATAGTTGAATTGGCTAAGATGATCTCTTTTTTTAAATATAAGTTTCTATCAGGATTAGGTATTATGAGCTATAAGCAAGTTTAGATTTGTCTGGTGCAGAAATACTGGGTTTGTTTAGTTTTATAGTTATTCGGGTTTCAAGTGTGATTATTGTATTTTGTTTCCTTATTGTTTTGGCAGATCGTTTATCAGTGAGCAAAGGCCATCTTCAGAAACATCGAGGTTCTGGGAGTTTTAGATATTTTACTGCTCACGGGTCCGATTTATCTAATGGTTAGTCATTTCGTTAATTTACAAGTCGGTTCAATCTTCAAAGTTTCATTCACTTCGATTTTTTATTCACAACCTATGTTTTAAATCATGATTTATTTCAACTGTTCTGGTTTCGGAAAAATCCCACAGTAACAATATGTGGTAGGTAGATTTTTCAGGATGAACATACAAAATCAGTTTGACGTAGCTATTTGTATTTCACGCCAATTAATCTACTACGTTTTTCTGTAGACTAATGCTATCATTTGTACCTTTTGTGACTTTTAGTGTTTGAACAACGCCCTAGTCTTATGGGGCAAATGAATCGAACTAGTAGCGGTGATATCTGTACTGACGTTTTTGACGATTCAACCGATAATCCTGGAACTCCAGTTTCTGAGGATGATAATCAAGACGTTTATCGTGAAGAACAAAATTTGCTGCAAATGAATCATGTCAATAAAAGTCTAATTCACTCGAATCCCTTACGTTTAAAACCAAGACAAGGTCATCATTCCAGATACGATGAAACGATCAAGTCCCATACATCTGTACGACGATCTGTATCAGCTGCCCTTTCTGCGAAGAAGTCTTTGAAATCTAATACAATTCATCATGCCTTAGCTTTTGGGGATAATGAGACTTATCATGTAGATGATTACATATCTCATATGCCGTGGGTTGATGCTGTTATAGAATTTGCAAATTAGTGAGTTATTGTGTATAATTTGATGATATATATTTTCACAAAGTTAGTATTTGACTTGATTAATATATTGACAAGATTAGTTAGAGTTTCCATAAATCTTTCAAAAGTGTACCGTGATAATAAATTGTTATGAGTTTCCCAGAGTATAATTACTGCATATATAAATGTCATTTCGTCGTTTACGGTATAATAACATAAAGAGTACTAGAGAATTCATATAAATCCCTTACATGACTTTTCAGTTATCTGTCATTGGTGTTTCATTGAATATATATCGCTATCAATCTGTAATTTCTTGTTGATTTCTGATTGACCCGAGTGGTAAGCTTCTTTTAGTAATCCTTCTATTCAAGATCTCGACATTTCTCAGTCGTTTTTGTGTCCACGGTTTTCGACCGCTAATTGATATTCATGCTAACGAAGGTAACGGGGGAGTCCACTTTGTTCGTTGTAGTGTTTTTCTCAATTGGGGCAGTTTATTTTGTAGATGATGTTCGGTTTTTACTCTTTTTTCACTTCATCCTTTAGTTTGCATGGTATTGATTGAAATGATCTTGCCTGTTTGCGTGCTACAACTATTCCAAACGGCTTCAATAATCTCGTTGTAATCTCTTTTATGACCTTTATACATGGCGTGATCACTGGTAAGATCAAGGCTTCCAGTCTCTGCATCACTGCTTCTGCAGTAAATCCTGATATTGGTGATCCCATCGGTGTTTCTCTCGTTAGTCCATAAATTGTGTTATTAAATTGAAAATGTGTTGTTATGCATAAATCGACGAGTTCTAGAAAACTCTGATTGTGAAGCTTCGTGTACGTTGAGCGATTTGTATCGTTGATGATGAATAAGGATAAAATTTCCTTTGCTAAGCTTAGTTCAATTGAGATGAATAAGGTTGTTACATCGAAGGATATCATCCGTTGGTCTTTGTTGATTTGAATGTCCTTAACCTTATCCAAGAACAGTATGGTAGATTTGATAGGGTCATTCTATGAGTCCATTAAATGCTTAAATATTCTTGAAATTTCTCTCGATAAATTGTACGTTGAGGTTCCGGAAAGTGATACAGTTAGACGTAGTGGGATGTTTGTTTTGTGTATTTTCGGCCCAACGTAGAATCGAGGGACTACTGGTCCACTGGATTTTATTCTCTATTGAACCTTCTTTGATATTTTTCCTGGTTTGACAAGCTTGATTAAAGTCTTTGAGATTTGGTTGTCTAACATTTTGATTAGATTTGCTTCTATTGATTAAGGTGGATAGGACAAGCTGTGAGTCATATTTGAAGAAATCCCAACACTTCAATTCTACTCGATGTTTGTACTGATGATGTAGTTAAGAAGAATAATAAAAGTTTCACGATCAAACCATCCAGTACATTGAACAAAACTCCACCTAAATCAGATTAGGTTTTAAATTAATTTCTCATAATCTAGGATTTGGTATTTTTGGTGGACTATACATGTTGGCTTGAAAGTAAAGTGTTTAGTCGTATAGCTTGTGCGTTACGCATTTCAGTCCAATGTAATTCCAATGGGCTTCTTTCATTTGTGAATTTGTACCAAATAAAGATTAAGTAGCATATTAATTTAAATTTACTGCCGAGTGACAAATAATGTTTCTATAAATTGTTTATTTATTCCAATATTTTACAGTACCAGTTTTGATTGTGATCATCAAAATTCATGTGCTTCAAATTGCTTTGAATATCAACAGCACCAATGCCGAAATTTGTTAAATGCAATGAAACAGGTGTATGAATCAGAAACTGAGAGTAAATTTGTTATATCTGTTGATCGTCAGTATTTATATTCTCTAAGTACTGTTAGTAATACGCCTACCGCTACAAATACAAGTGCAACACTTAATCGTGGTTTAAATGTAACTTGTGATACAGGTACAACTTCACCAGCATCGTCTAATGTAATTCGCCAACATAGACCAAATGATTCACGCTCAGAAAACTCTTCCGATCAAGATTCCTCACATTTAGACTCTACTGACGATTTATCCGGTTCAGATGTCACACATCAACAACAAGTTAATCCAGGACATGTAAAGCATAAAATTAGCACACTAAAAAGTTTACCAAATATTGTTCAATCTAACGACAGTTTAACTGGTTTAAGCAAATCAGTTGATAACGATCTTGATGTCAATAATTTTCTATTAATGCAACAGGGTGCACTGGCAGCAAGTAGCGGTAGTGAATTTTGGAAAGCCAGATCAAAACTGTTTATAAAATCTGCAAAAAGAAAAGTAAATTAATCTTATTTTATTATCAGTTCTCAATTGTTTCTGTTGCTTTCGATTCGTCCGTTTGAACTTCATTATGTTATATTTGATAAAGTGAACATAATCGCTGAATGTTTAAATACTTTTTGAAATATTTTAACATTTAACAAACTTTATCCAATCGAAATACTTTCTGACAACTAGTTTGTACAATTACTTACACAATAACGATATCGTTAAAATATTCGAGTATGTATTATCACCAGTTATTGGAAGGTGGTGGCCTATAGATAGAAACTTTAAAAAATCTATGTTTCTAATGATGATCCTCTTAAATTGAAGTATGATCAGGCGATTATTAATTATTATTCTGTACAGAGTACTTATTTTAAGAACGACTTGCTTACTTGGTTCCACGTTAGTTCGTTCATTGAGTATTTTGTACAATAAACATGATAACATCTTAGATATCATATGGTTTTCTGGTCCTTTTTTTCTTTATGTAGAAATGTTAACCGATCTGAATAAATATTTCAGACGGCATTTTTCAAGCATTTCACTTTCACTTATTAATATTTTTCTACACGTTTGGTGACTATTTCTCCGAGGACAATATCGCGTCGGCCTGGTGAGGCATTTGGGCCAACTGTTCTTCGAGTGTGCAAATGTTCCAGTAAACCTTCCTGTTCTAGATTTTTTGAACTTAGTTGTTTCTACTCGCGCGGTAATTTGAAAGCCACATATTTATTCATAACTCTTTGTACCGAAAATCTCAGGCTGAAACGTTAGTACTTTTATTTGTCTATCTTTTGAAAAAAAGAACAAGTGACTCCTATATTTAAATTAACGCATTTAATCCCTGATGAATGAAAAAAGTAATTGTAACAACTGAACTGATGGAAGAGCTTTCACCATTAAAGATGAGTAAAAGAAACTGACTGTTGAAAAAAAATTTGTAAATTATAATTTTTGACTAGTTACAATTCGATTGTATGTTAAAGAAAAATTCATTGCCATATCTCACAACTGGGGCTGGAAATCCATAACAGTAACAAAATTTGTACTCACAATAAAGCATTATTATTATTATATCACACAATTTTATATTTATCAATATTAGGATTGTCATGTAGTGAAATAGAAATTAGAAACCAAAGTACATTGAGTGAACAAAATCCATTGAAATTAATTTGTTAGCAAAATAGTTTATACTCCCCAATACGTTCAGTTTGCAATCGATAGTAACTCAATGACAATAAAATTTTACCTTGTCTAAAATGTTTTACATTTACAGATTACTACTTGCTAGTAGTAAGGTGCATTTATGATTAGTTTTATAGCATTTAATCATCGGAAAGTTCCCATAAAGCCTTCCTGTACTTTTTTTCACTGATTTTTATCACAAGGAATCTAATATATTTGGACCAAGTTCAAGCCGTGAAAACATGAATCTACTGACCAAGATTCGAATGAAATCATTTAACCGTTCAATCAATCCAAGCTCGTTTGAGAATGATACACCGGGTTTGACAGGATTAATTAACCTGAGTATGTTGGCTGGAGCAGGTGCGGGTTTGCTGAAGAGTTCTCGCCAAAGTATTAGTCTGAATCCACCACTGCTTGGGATTGAGGCTGACGAAGCAAGTGAAACTTTACCAGGTTTTGAAGATGATGATGGTGTTAAAAGTCAGATTAGGAAACCTGTTAGATTTCGTAAACATCATTTAGGTGAATTACCTATTCAGTGTTATTTGGATACTCATGTAAGTGTTGATTTGTGATGTATCTTGTCATAATATCCGTTCTATTATTGTCTTAAAACTCATGAAAAGATGACAGTTTAACAATATTTTACCATAGATATGAATGATTAAACTTAATGCTCAACTAGGTACGTAACATTTAGTTCACATACAATTGATTTGAAACGCAAACCTTATAAGAAATCGCTTAATTGCTGCGACTTATTTTCAATTTTTTACTAAGAGGATTCACATTTTTTGTTGTCTTTACTTACGTTTTCAGGTAAAAAATCTTTGTAGCAGTGGTTTCAATCTTTTGAATAAAGCAGCTTTACTACTTACAAATAATCAACTAGCAAAGATGCTTCCGTTGGCTTGGGAGTTGCTGCTAGAAACGGATACAGAATTGTCATCAAGTGCAGGTATGTCCTTGAATATTTTTGGAATTATCTCTATATACTTTGATTGGATAAAGTAAAGCTTTTCGTTTAGTGTTGGTATAGGAATAATTTTATGAAATTCGATTCAGGAATATGTGGAGATAAACTATAAAACCTTAGTCATTAGAACTTAAATAAGTTTCGGAAAGTTAGGGACATTTTCATGGTAACTTTTGAACACTTAATTCGCCTGAAAGATTTTCTTTTCTAACAGTCAATTCAGTTACGTTTACTTCAGATTCATTCGTACTACTTAGGTTTTGGCTATTTTAATTTTAGGATAGTTGAAGGAATTCTCATGTTTTTTTTCAAAACAATTATCCATTCATCTTTTACGAAAAGAGTCCGGGTAAAGTATAACACTTTTATTGTATGTGCTTTTCGTTTTTGTTGTTTTCACTGCAATATAATATTATTTATTGTTCCTTTTTGATAAAATCAGGATTTCGTTATCTTGATATAATTACAACAATTAAATTGAATTTCAAGTCCATTTATCTGACATTTCAAGACAAAAGGGTCTTGATATGTTCCAAAGGTTATTTTAAATCAACTATTCAATTAAATTCTAATCCTCGTAAACAAATTGATTGAATAAAATATGGTTTAAATGTCGATCAAAGTAACTCTACGACAGAAAATAAATTTTTAGCTAGAAGTGAACTGGCGGTGTTGTTTCCTACAGCCATATGTTTTTCTGATGGGTGCTAGATTCAGTCTTATAAAAAGTCACTAGTAGGCACTATTGAAAAGTTATATCTTGATGCTTCTTAATTTCGAGTCTTTTTCCATAATGGAATCTGCTCATTTTTGTTTAAATAACGACTAGCATATATATACAAGGACAAATAAAAGATATTTTCTATATATTATTCCTGATTTAACGCTTTTTATATTTGAACAGCATGTTTCATACTTTTCTGTGGTGTACGTTGCCCTCAAATCGTTCAAGAAATGATTCTAGACGAAATGCGACATGAGAAACCTTCTCAGAGATTTAATGCTATTCTACGGTGAGTTCTACATATCCTATTATATTTGACAATCAATCAATTTACTAAAACTAGTGTTATCTTTTTAAGTAAGCATAGCCATCAGGCTGACTACATATCATTTGAGTATTGAGGTCATGTTCATAAACCAAAAATATGCTCTATGCAGTAAAAATGAAGTTGAAGATAAAGATCACTAGATTTTATTTTTAAGTGTTTCAAGTTTAACTGACAACCGAACGTAGTTAATTATCTAACCGTCTAATATTTCCAAATACCACCTAAATTCAACTGCAACTCAGAATAAATAATCAATAGTATTTTCCGAAGTATTGTTTGATAAATATAACACTAACAAACACTGATATTTTGTATCTATTTTATGATAACCTATCAACAATTATTTTCATTTGAATCTTCATAAACGGTAGTTGAAGTCAGAATTTTAATGATCACTTTGAGATATTATTATTTATGTTTCTGTACGTTGAATTGACATAAGGCTTGGAATACCTTAAAGTTGGAGTTGATTTTCACAGTTGGAAACAGTAAAAACCGTAATGATAATCATAATATCACTTTTCTATATGAAAATCCTGTGTTTCACCAAAATTAGATGCTTGGTCAGAGGCAGTCAAAATTCTGATAATCAGCGTTGCTTATTCTAAACAATAAAAAAAGTGATAACTAGATGACATACTTGGGTTTGTTAGCACTATATAATTGCGGTATCAAATAACAGGTGGCTTTGGGATTCAAACTTTTCGTTGTTCCTTATTATCTGTCGTGATTTTATATATGTATAACTCACAAGAATAAATATGTGGTCCATCACAAGTATCGTTTTAACTTAAACAGTTAGGAACTTATACCTGTTTATTAATGAAACCCGTCACTAAGAGGCAATGTGTACTAATTTGTAACCTCAAATGAAATGCACTCATCTGAGGCAAGATAAAAATAGGATCACTTAGTTCGATAAAATGAAGACATAATCACATTTTTTAATTATTGGATTAGGTGCTCCTAGTAGGGAAACATAACAAGAAACCGACGTCTGATGCAGCTGTCTTCATTATGATGCTTGATTCATTTTCTGTTCATTCGTGGGCAGGTACTGCAATAATTTCATGAGCATTTAATAAGACATCGTCTTTCTGTGAGCTGAACAAGTCCGTGTTTGTATATTGTGTTTCGGGGACAATGGGCTTTGAACCCGCTACTGGGCATGTCTCAAATGGACGTTTCTGGACCACTGAGCAGATCATGAATGGCTGCTACTGCTTCGCTTACAATGCTGCTTGTCAAGGATTCATGGAGGCTTTCACTGACACATTCAGACATTTTGCAATCATTTTCCAACTCTGTACGCAATTTAGGTATTAGTTCATTAACTCTGGTCACATCTCCAAAGCATGGATGATTCAGAAGCAATGTGTGTAATTTGTCTATAAATTTCAACTGATTCTTTTTAAAACGCTGCTGTTGTCGCTGAAATAGCAACTGTAATTAATCGGAAGGGAGAGCCATTTTCTGTTTGTGTATGAATCAGCACGGTAATAGAAAATACAGTAGGACAAATTAACGATCAATGTCGTTCAAGGACACCAACGACAATTGTGTATGCTGAATGTCTTGGCGATCCCCGTCGCTACTGTTATGTCTTGTGGTTTGGCTGCTACTTGATATATCTAGTCGTTGCTGATTGTTGTGTTGGAAACGTTTACCACTTATACTTGGAAAGAGGGACCTCTGCAATTCCCATGACGCGAAAGTAAGAACACAAAGACTGGTGTAAGTGAAGATTTATTAATCCCAAAGCACGACGACGACGACTCTAGTAGAAAATACACTCGTTTATATATTGATTGTACACCCATTTTGATTAATAATTAGGATGAAATCACATATATGAAAAATACTTGAAGTTATAACAAATCACATACTGAGCATAGTTCATGTCAATGGAATACAAGAATATCGTATATTATACAGAATAAAATATCATTCGAGAAAACAAAGCCAAATACTACATTAAGTAACCATTACATTGAACTAGAACGGAAGTAAAGTTGAACAAACTCGTAATGAGCAAACCAATCGAATTTTGACTTTTCTTTCCGTCATATCAATATGTCCTTCCGATTTGACAAGAAATGTCTACTATTCTGAGATAGTATTATAATATGGGTGTGAAATAGATTAAATGTTTACATCCACTAGGTTTAAATTAACAAAGCAAGTGTTTTAACAACTTTCGTGATGAAACATTGGGTGTTTGATTTAAAAATTACCATTACTTTTTGTTTTTGAAATGATCGAGTGGGACCAAATTTTAGTTTATGCATATTTTTTTGGTAATGAACAAATAATGTCTTCGAGAATTAGTTTATAAAAGCATAATTAATCTGCAATTTCTCTGTTTTTTCCTAGATTTAGAACATTGTGGTGTCATCGTTTTCATGTTTGGTCGCGACTTGAAGAAAATGCACCTAGTCAATTAAGAGTACCTCCATCTTTTATTGAATTTGTTTTGCCTTCACCTACACTCGGTTATCCTGGATTCGAGGCACCAGATCCTGTTTGGCAGATTCGTAAAGGAACATCGGCTGAAGAGGTTCAGCTAAAACAAAACGAAGCTACGGTATATTTATTTTGTTTTAATTTATCACCTAAACATTATGTTGTTTCTCCATAAATTTTTAACTTATTTTACCAAAGTTTTCAGTGGAAACATTTAGTTAACACTATACATTTTTCTGAATAAAATCTGTTGATAAAATTTTTTTATTCGAATGGTTGGTAAAAAACTGATGTCAGGCGTTTTGAAAGGGAATACAGAATACAAATCATCTGTCAAAGAAAGCATGACATTTCTCAAAGACAACTTTAAGAATACTTAGTTTTTTACGCAACAGTGATGGAGAAACATGATTAAGGTTTAGGCGCCTCTCCTGATTACTTCCATTTATCACCATTAGGAATGTGTTTGTAAACTATTTTGTTACACACTTTCTAAAACCTAATGTGCTCTAGCTTTTATATAATTGTTGTTTAATAAAATCAAAGTTAGTACTTACTTTTTTTACTTACTTACACCTGTTACTCCTCGTGAAGGAGCATAGGCCGCTCACCAGCATTCTCCATCCAACCCTGTCCTGGGCAATCCTTTCCAGCTCCTTCCAGTTGTAATTCATCCTTTTCATATCTGCTTCTATTATCCGACGTAATGTGTTCTTTGGCCTTCCTCTTTTCCGCTTCCCTTCAGGATTCCAAGTTAGGGCTTGTCTCGTGATACAGTTTGACGATTTGCGTAATGTATGTCCTATCCATTTCCATCGTCTTCTCCTAATTTCCTCTTCAGCTGGAAGTTGGTTTGTTCTCTCCCACAGAAGGCTATTGCTGATGGTATCTGGCCAATGGATGTTGAGTATCTTGTATAGACAGCTATTTATAAATACTTGTACTTTCTTGATTGTGGTTGTTGTAGTTCTCCAAGTTTCAGCTCCATACAGTAGAACTGCCTTGACGTTCGTATTGAAGATTCTCACTTTGATATTGGTTGAAAGTTGTTTTGAATTCCATATGTTCTTCAATTGTAGGAATGCGGCCCTTGCTTTGCCAATCCTCGCCTTTACGTCTGCATCTGAACCTCCTTGTCCATCGACGATGCTTCCCAGGTATGTGAAGGATTCTACATCTTCCAGAGTTTCGCCATCAAGAGTGATTGGATTGCTGTTTTCCGCTTTGAATTTGAGGACCTTCGTTTTCCCTTTGTGTATACTGAGGCCTACTGATGCAGAGACTGCTGCTACACTGGCTGTCTTCATCTGCATCTGTTCGTGTGTACGTGATATAAGAGCTAGGTCATCTGCGAAGTCCAGATCGTCTAATTGGTTCTGAGCTGTCCATTGTATTCCGTGTTTTCCTTCAGATGTTGAGGTCTTCATAATCCAGTCGACCACCAGAAGAAAGAGAAAGGGAGAGAGTAAACAGCCTTGTCTGACCCCGGTCCTTACTTGGAATGCATCTGTCAGCTGTTCTCCATGCACGACCTTGCACTGTAGTCCGTCGTATGAGTTCCGGATAATATTGACAATCTTCTCAGGAATTCCGTAGTGTCGAAGAAGTTTCCATAATGTCCTCCTATCTACACTGTCAAATGCCTTTTCATAATCAATGAAGTTGATGTATAGTGACGAGTTCCACTCAACCGATTGTTCGACGATGATCCGTAGTGTTGCAATTTGGTCTGTGCACGACCGATCCTTACGGAATCCAGCTTGTTGATCTCGAAGTTGAGCGTCTACTGCATCCTTCATCCGGTTCAGCAAAACTCTGTTGAAGACCTTCCCTGGTATTGACAGTAGTGTTATGCCTCTGTAGTTTTCACATTTGCTCAGATCTCCTTTCTTTGGAATCTTGACGAGGTGCCCTTCTTTCCAGTCCATTGGCACTTGTTCCTCCTCCCAAATCTTTTTGAATAGAGGGTAAAGCATGCTTGTGGTTACTTCGACGTCTGATTTCAGTGCTTCAGCTGGTATGTTGTCGGGTCCTGCTGCTTTCCCGTTCTTGATTTGTCTGACGGCCGCTCTAATTTCTTCCGTCGTTGGTGGGTTGACATCTATAGGAAGATCTGTGTGTGCTGCTTCGATGTTCGGTGGATTCATAGGAGCCGGCCTATTCAGGAGTTCCTCAAAGTATTCTACCCATCTGTTACGCTGTTGTTGAATTTCGGTGATTGGCTTGCCTTCCTTGTCTTTGACCGGCCTCTCTGGTTTATTGTATTTCCCTGGTATCATCCGTATGACTGAGCTTTCGATCTGAGTTCATTGAAAAAGAAGTCTATATTTCCTCTAGTTGAGTGAAAGTCCCTGAAAACATACAAAAAACGTTTTCACATCACATGGCTTTTTTGTTTAAATGTCTGTTTGTGTTAACGTAAAGTGATAATGCTGTGGACGAAAACACTGGTGACAACCAATGTATTTTAATACAAACTAACAGAGATTTTGGTCAAACGTGAAAAACAATACGTTCAATATTTAATTTGCGAATCTCCCATCAATTGTCTCAAACTTTATCATTACTTCATTGCCATAACAATTACTCACTGTTTCCGTCCTCTTCAACTCTATCTTCCCAACCTATATTGCCAAACACCCCACTTCTGATTGGTGCTGTATACTACTTATATCAGTAAAAGTAGCATACGTCACATGAATGTATAAAATCTATTTCCATTAAACTTGTTTCCTCATTGCAAGCATCTATAAGGCAGTTAACATATGTATTTCAAACGCTTATAATAAAATTAGGAGTACAGTTTGTCTAATGGTTCATAAAATTTACTGTGGACCTATTGATGCTAGGAATAAAATGCTTTAGATATTTTATCATAATGATTGTATATTTCAGACTATCTTGAATTAATTTTGTTCTTTCGTTGTTTATTTTAATTTACCGAAACACTGTCTCCGTAAATTAGTTGATTTTAGTTTATTTTCAGTTTTTGTGTTAACTTGGTATAATCTTACAGATATATAACTAGATTTCCTCACTATTTATTTTATAGAAAACATTTGTAACAGCTTCAACATCTAGGCGTAAACAGCAACAGGAACTTTTGGCTCGTGCAATAGCAACAGAAACCATGCGAAGAAAAGAGGCCAGACAGTCTTTTCATTTAACAACATGCCCAGTTCTGGAACGTGCAACCATTGAACCAGCTTTCAGCAAAGAACACAGGGATGAAGGCAACATTGATGATAGTGAGTTATGTTTGTTTACCATATTGAAATTAAACATTGTTATGCACGTCAGATTTCGTGTAAAATAAGTACACTCTGCCTTAGCTGTGATTGGGTTTAGTTTTTAGCATGAATTGATATCAGGTGGATAATTATTGTAAACCATGTGTAGCAGTAAATACGATAGACAAATAAATGCATTGGATATTTGACGTAAATGAAAACACATTTTTGTTATTTGTTAACCATTATTAACCGGATATATTTATTATTTCTATTATTCAACTTCGCGTTGTATATTCCCTCGAGAAACCATTACAGTAAACCTATCTCAACCCAAAAATACGAATTTCAAAATACTAAAGTCGACTAAATTAGTTATCTAACATCCGTATAAATTGTTTCTGTTTCTGTCCATGCGTTTTCCTCCCAGATATCGCAAATTCTGCAGGATTCAATAGTGGAGCAGGTGGTGGACAAATAGGAGTATCCAATTCAACACAAGATGAATATACTGCTGCTGTTCGGAGACTAAGTCTTGCACCAATTAATCGTACAGTTCTCAGTCAAGCTCGCAATTTATCGTGGCGTCAGAGCTCAATACCTTGGTTACGGAACAGTGTTATAGCCCATGACGGTAAGCCAACATTAAAGTATCAGAAAATATATGATCTCCAAACTAAATTTTTCAACTACTCTTGGTTTTAATTGTCTAAAAAGTTGGAATTCGAAATTGTATTTCATGTTAACACATTATGCAAATGGTTTATGTAGGTACCTTATGGAAGGGAAAAAACCCATGTTTGTTGTATACCAATAATAGGATAAATAGTTTTAAATAAAAAAGATAAAGAATTGGGACTTATGCCAAAGGAAACATGTGTGGCATCTGTTGAGGCATTGTTAGAAAATTAATTTCCAATATTTTAGCGAGTTATCTGACTGCAGAATAAATTTCAACGACACTCATAAGTTGATCTGCAGATCAAGGTGATGTTAAAACTAGTCAACACTGTTGCTTATGTCAGATGAGTGTCAATAGGAAAGGACCCGAATACATTTTTAGCACCTGATTTATTGCCATCGGTCTGTTTTATCTCCAAAGATTTAGAGGTCAGCGGCATCTTCACTATTCTTGTACTCTCTCAAACTGCATATCTACCATATGCCAGATAATGTTGTATAAGTATAGAACATGAGATTTAGAAACTGTATCTTGGATTATAGGCAATTTCATGAGAGGAAGCGAAATAAGAAGGCGAACACAGTTTATAATTTGAGAAGAGTCAATCAGTCATCGGACAGAAGAAACCTACATCTTTTAATTAATGGCAAATAAAACTCCCAAATGTTTGTCACGCTCAGTTGAATTGTTTAGTTTGTCCAAATCTGAACAAATGACTTAAACGATTTTTTTAGTATATCGCCTAAAAAATCGTTTTAAATCTGAATTGACAACCACTGGAAATCGTAATGTAGCTTGCTATTATAATGTAGCATTATTCTAGTGCATCTGTTGTTGATAACTACTGCATTGGATCTAGTAGCAAGTGCATAAAGTAGATTACATATTCTGTTTCAAGGCGTACACACTTCTTTCGTTAGTTACTATAGAAATATAAGTATTACTCTGATTGTTTTCTGCCAATCATCTTTTGATAAGTCTAGTTAACAATTATAATGCGTGAACAGACTTTCAATGCGTCATTCACTTACTTCTTTGATCAATGTATTTTAGCTTTATTACTTAAGCAGTGAATTCAATAATGACATTTACTGAAAAGTGAGATATAGTAATTTATAAGTAAAACAGATTCATTGTTTGTAAAACTTACTTTTTACTCTATTTGTCATATAGATGAAGACCGTTGGTTAAGTGGATCTCATTCTTTATTCCCATCACAACCATTGCAACAAGCTCAGTTGGTCTTCCCATCTGCTCTATGCTCTGCATCAGTTTTACTGATTAATCTTTTAGATGATACGGCGATAAATGAGCATGGAACAGCAGGTAATTCATATAACTTTCATGATACTTGTCTTGAAATAATTCGAATTATGCTGACTTAAAAGTTACTTTATTTTCCTTCAACTTTTAATGAACACTGACAACTAGGTGCAATTTTATACATACTTCATTTTAAATTTTTTTCAATCCTCAGTAGTTTATCATTCTAAGCCTTTAAATTAGGATTATCAGTATTGTTTTGGATCAATACGATCTCTGTCTTTTCTACAATATTCTTCTGCCAAAATCTGAAAAGAAGGTTACTCTGACAATTAACTTGTATATTTTTCCCAGACTTAATTGACCATGGAATTTAAAAATGACCTGTGAAACCGGTAATGGTTTTTCAAAGAGGTGACAAGCTGCATAATCATTGAAATGCTATACACGGGCAAAATTATAAATCCTTTTCTTTCAATGTGTTTGAATATACTGCTTACGTAACATTTTATGAATTACGCATAAATTTATACACAGAAACAACTTTCATTGATTTACTAAAATGAAAGAACAGTGATTACTGTATTTCAAATCTTTTTTTGGTATAACATTGTCTTCCACGAAACCTGCCTTTGTTCATAGGCGTTTCAAAATACTCCAAACCAAAACGTAACTCAGAGCTTTGTAGCGAACACATGCGCTCATATAAGAACAGTCAAGGATGATAAGTGAGTAATTGACATGGTCAATATGTGGCTTGAAAAGAACGAATAGATTCATCTAGCCAGAAGCTAAAATAACCTATGTGCGCTTGACATGGTACCAGCCTCTACAAGCTACTGTAAATTATTTAAATGAAATCCGTCATCATAGGGTTCCGAAACGAATTATTAAAATTGATAGATTTCCTTTATATTTATACAGACCACGCAACTCATATATGTATCGTTGGTTTTCTATTACGGTAAAGGAAAATATATCTAATATTTGAAAGATATTCGCATATTTAACACATATATATGTATGTGTAGTCATGAAAAAGACTAGAGGTTGTCATTGAGTAGAATGCGTTGACAATCGTCACTGAATCTTCATGATTTCATAAACGAAAAACGTAAACCTTTAAGAACAACAGGTATTCCTCGTGAGCAACTGCATTTGTAATTGACAGCATTTCTATACTGAACTCAGTAACTCTCATTAAATTTTATTCCTTCAAATATATTTATATCCTTTTTTGAGTACAATCAATTTCAAACTGTACCAATTCCATTAATCGGTTCCAAATTTTAAGAAGTTGTACAATCTAACAATCTAGTTATGTGCAAAATGAAAGCCTAAAATGCGTGGTTTAGTTAAGTTTATCTTATTACTGATATAGTTATTAAAATGTTTGGTGTTTTAAGAAATTATGGGATCACTTAAACCAAGGAAAAGAACGAAGGATCACCAACACAACGACAAGCTAAACTCTTTCGATGCGTTCCAGCCCTGATAACTAAAGAGAGAAGACCAGGTTCAGATGAGGAAAATATATATTCCACAAGCAGCCAGAAGCATGAACAAACCATGCACACAACTCAAGCATATATATAGCATAAAAAGCTCCTTGGAAAACGTCACGAAATAGCGTATTAAAAGATGCAACAAACTAATGACATTTAGGGTCTTTCTAAGTGAGGAATGCAATCTGAAGGTAAAACTGGGTGCTATTGGCGCGGAAACGAGAAATTCAAATTTCAAAAATAATATTACACAAATAAGACGTTTACGAAGTGATTTCTGGAGATCTCGCATTACCAACAATGCTCACCTTGTAAAATATTGTTTAAGAATTTACACAAATTGTAGTAAATAATCGTTCAATTTTAATCCAGTGACCACTCTCCAATATTTTTTAGGTTTCTGGTTAGTATGTTAAACTGTAGTTACTGTCAATATATTTCCCTGTACATTACGTGTTTCTCCAAATGATATAAATTTCACTTTAAATAGTTATAAATCTGAGCACATAATTGGAATACCCTTATTTCGTTTAATTTCAGTAAATACAATAGCTGAGTATGTGATATTTAATTGTTTGCTAGAAGATACACCATTATTTTTACGCTTTATATTCGAGCGTCTCACACGCATAAAAAATAAAGATGAACTTATATTTATTTTACGTAAAATGATTCAACGGTTACCTGAATTACCAATGCAAACAGCACATGCTCTGTTCAATAACTTAGTAAGTTCATGTACTCACCATTTATAAGTTTAATAAGGTCTATTTAAAATGATATGAATTGATAAGCTAAGATATATAGATATAAAGAATAATATTTTTAAATTATATTTTAACAAGAGTGTTTGTATTTTTTCGAACTTTTTTATCACCAAGTGTTGAAAAACCTCTGACTAGTTTTTATTATACTTAACAAAAAAGCGAGTCACGTAACTGTTGAGAGTTGAGAATTTTTGGAGGCCACCAACTGTCGTAAATTCCAACTAAATTCGAAGAATGAGAATCGTGATGATATTCGTTTTTCTGTTTTTTTTTATTTTTTCATCCTATATTCTGAAGTTTTAACGACTAGTGGTTTACTAAAAATTTAATATACTTCTGTTTCTGGATAGTGTGTGTGTGTAAACCCATTCCGTAACATAATGTCTTTAGTAGGTAAAAATATACACGTAAACAGTAGAATCGATAAATGATGGCAGCCATATTTTCGTAGGTAACCATGTACGTTACAGAATGTTGAGTTAATGTGAACGGTAAAGAATGACGGTCCTCTTTTCAATTAGTCAAATCTAGTTTTTATGTAATGTAACCTATCACGATAATTTCCACTTGAAATGTAATTTTATTCACTAACAAAATTAAACCTACTGAATAAATCGATGATCTATCAAGTAACGGCCCTTAAAACTATTTTCTTTAAATAATATATAGATTTGGGATTTAGTATCACATTGGATTTAAGTAGATTGGTTATGAAACTAATCATAAGACTTTCGACTCCAGAAAGTAATAGAGTCGATATGAAAATGTTTGACTCTGCCAAAACAGAACTAAATAAAAAGGTTTGTGGATTGAGTAGACCATAGTGATGAAAGCATTGATGCCGCCTAACAGATCCAGTCGATGTTTACTTTAGTAACTATACACTGCTTTCAAATCTGAAGTAAATCACACACAATTATTGTTGTAACAGATTCCTCTTAATACTTGTTTTTTAAAAGAAAATTATTATCTACTTTTCATAAAAATACTTACAACATAACAAGTATATACATTTGAACGTTTGAAATATTTTAAAATCTCCGTTATCAAAGTCCTATAATGTTTTGAAAGTCAGTTTCCTTACTACGACGTGCTACACAGTGTTCATTAGTTATCAAGTGTACCTAAATATTAAGATTTGTCATGTATTTAAAGCGTTTTCCATATTCATTATAGTCATCCGTCGTGAAGATATTTACTCTAAACAACAAAACTTGAAACTATTGAAGTATGGGTTATTTAATAATAAAGTTGAAGAAAAAAATCATTCTATCTGAGTCGTTTAAGTCATTTTAGTGCAATTTCAGCTGAGTCCAATGCTACGTTGTAGGCATTCATATGTTTTTTAGAAGTTCGATAAATAACATTGGTCAACAAACGACTTGAGAATTAACTATAGACAAGCAGAGAACCATTTAAAATATATTACTGAATGCTGTTATAATTGTAGTTCTTGAATAGAGATGCCTCATTTTGTTTTAATCCATGTTCAATTACATAAATTATAGATAATTCCATACAAATAGATTATTATCGTGACTTTGTCATCATCGTCACTAATTCTTTTTTTCATAACAGGTCGGTTATATTATGTTTCATATTCGTACACCAAGTTTCAATGCACCTCAGTCAATTGCCAGTGCGTTATCAGTTCTTCATTTGGTAAGTAAAAATTTAACCCCCTATAAAAGTATGGTCTCTAAGGATAACATCAAGACAAGTCTATTTTTAAATTTTCTCCATTTAATTAGTTTTATTTTATGAAGTATTATATTAGTTTATTGATCGCTATAAGAGATATTTCAAGAATGATATAAAAATCCACAAGTATATCTAAGAAATTCATCACTTGAATAAATTCATTAGATTACTTTAGATAAAATTTAACTTTATTTTCCATAATAGAATTCCAGGTTTTAATTCCTAATTTTTGAGTGTCAAAGTAAATATTTCATTATGCCCTCGTATTCCGGAAATTCTACGAAAACAATGGTATGTACATGAATGTAATATACTTATTACACATCCTGTCAACAAAGTGCTTTATCACCATATAGTTTTCTAGACATGCATTCATAGCATTATGTCTAAAACACGGTATTTCATTTCATCCACAACGTTAAAGTTAATTCATATTTATTAACTTACAAAAGTCTTTGATATAAATTAGTGGAAGGACTTTTGAATGTGAGTGTAAATTACAAACCTTAGGTTGTGAATTATTACAGAATCCTGAAAATAGGAAACAACAAAGTTTAAGATTAGCAATGCAACAATTGAAAACTATGAAGCAACAAACAGTTGTTTCATCTTCGTTTGAGTCTATTCAGTATGCAATGTTTAGAACCCTCCAGAGATTGAGATTATGAGCTTTTGGCCTTAGTATGAGGCATAACAATCAGTGGGAGTTGATGACTAACAATATAGTTGAACCTGACCAATAACCAATTTTCGTTTAGTGTTTTATATTTTACTAATATGATCAGAATTAGTTCTTATTAAAGGTCAATACCTCTATGAAACATCTGTAGCCTTAGATCTGACGATTTCAGAAATGTGTTGAGAGACTAACTCATTTCTTGAAGTTGAAGTAAAGATTCTGATTTCCTACGATGAACATATCATCATTCTAACTATTAAAACTTTTCATAATCTATTTATATCGAACCTAAAAACTTTTCAACATCGAAGTACCTTACGGATTTCCCTAAATACTAAGAACTAACTTGACAGAGATCGCTACTAGTAATGAAGAGTCAACTATAATTTGCAATCACCAACCTGGTATTTTTACTGATTCTTCAGATTATTCCATACGTTCAAAATATCTACTTTAAGGATTTGAAACAGACAATGAGAAGAGAACAAATCGACGTAAGTTCTTTGTAAAGTATGGATAGAGCGGATACTTGTTTAAATACTTTTTGGCATGTTATTGATCATTCACTTATATTTAACTTTGCTAAATGAATAATTGCCACCACAGGTGATAATAGACACTACAAAAAACACAAAACATAAATACTGTAAACGCTTACGGAGAAAAAGGAACGTAAATGTTCCATGAATGTATTCAAAAAAATTTCCGCCAAACCTTTGATCCTGCAATGATTTTTTGTATCCAGGAGATCATTAGAACGTTATCCTTTATTTCGATTCAAGATTATTTCAAATAATGATTAGCTCCATATATTTATCTGCATATCATCCGAGTATTTTCTGAAACGTGAAAATATGCAATCAACGTTTAGGTATAGAAAGTCAACTTTTGATCAAGTAAACGATTTTATCTCCAAAATGAAAATATTATTCAACCATAAATAGATTTTCTGTACTTTGTAAATTTCAAGTTATGACAATTAAAAGTATACGGTTCAATCGTTTTAATTATTGGATTTGCAAGTCAACTTGCATCGATCATTTTCATTAAGGCTTGAGTTCATTTTGATAAATTTTTAATGGTCTAAACAATTTATTATAGGAAAGAAATTTCAATTCATATTCATTGAGCTTACCTGCAGAAGTAAAGAAAACGTTTGTTACAAATTCTGGGATTGACTTCTATAATAAATAGTCTTGATCGCTGTCTCAACTGCAAACTTAGAAAATAAACAATGCTTGTTATGCTTCACGGCTTCAAATAGTTAAAACTAATTATAAATTATTTAATGACATCAATTACAACATAATATATAGGTGACTTATGAAATCAGATTACTATCAATTACACAAAAGGATGAAAGACTTAGGGAATAAGTGATGAAACTAGCATCAACATTATCATATGGTTACAAGCCATATGTGACAATGCTCAATGACTTGTTTATTGATTTAACATATTCTTCTTCCATTAAAGTCACGATATACCCAGCGTAATAATTGTTTATTGATCCGAAATAGTTTAAAGTACTTGGGTGTCGTTTTATTACAGGTATAACTAACCTAGCGAATAGTTTCTATTTCAATAATTTTTGATACTGTATGTTGGCGGTATTAATATAGGGTTTGAATCATTGTATTAACCGATCATCTAACAGACTGTACAGAAATACAGTTGAACAGAATCTCATATTTACTCTATCAATGGGATAATTAGTCTTGTTACTTTTTTTCTGATCATTGATTAAGACTCAATGAGAATATATTTCTATTCTCCCCACTCAAATGGAGGACGTTAACCTGAAAATTGAAATCATGGTACCAAAACATTATACCATGGGATGGCATCATTTGTACTGACGGTCGCATTGTATTTTGTGGCCTCTGACTAAACGCTTGGAAGCAATATGTATCACTAATGATCATGCAAGTGCATAACAAAGTATAAAACAGGGTAGAATGGTTTGATTGAATGTTTAAACCAATGTAAATAAATATAGGAAATGTATCTTTAGCTTCATGAATAATTAAGATATGAAAGCTTATCGAGAGGAAAACGAAACAATTTTTACTTTAATAGAAACGATTCGTAAAATGTTTTTATTTCTATCTGTAACTAACCAAACAATAAACCATCTTATCCAATATACGTGGATGTTTATATCTAATTCTTTTCCTTTTTTTCTAGTCTACACTTCTACTAACAGCTAACTTACCTTGTGCTAAACAATTCAACGTGTTTGATAATAGTATTGGTGTCGCTCAACTAGTTCGTTTACAAGACGAAAACAAGGTGAGGAACGATCAGTAAACAAAAAATATGTATTGATGCATTGCAAACAGTGGAAAGAGATCAATTTTATTTTCTACAGAAACATACATACAAATGATATACGAATTCGTTTACTAGGCCATTATGTCACCGACATATTCTAACTGTATCAGGTGCATCAGGGTTTGAACTTATTATTCTTTGATTAACAATTCAATATATAAACCAACGAACCACTGATTTCTTATTTCAGAAACCCAAATATAAAATCAATTCAGGATTTATAACATTCTTTCCTATCATCTGATGGCATTTTATTTCTTATCAAATAGGAAATCACTTATCGGGTTATAAAAGGTTACCCTCTTATTATATGGTAACTAACTTTTTATCTCACCCCAATCATCACTTAAGATATTTTAATCTCAATAATAATCAAATAATATCTTTTATCATTCACCCTGTCTTTTAGTCTAACTTTCAGTAAACAGTTTTTTATAATTTTCAGAGACTATTAGAAGATAGGTTGAAATAGTCGTAATTATATCACATAAACGTTTCACTACTGCCTACAAGTAATTGAGGTTTGTGATGACGATTGGTTCCAGGAAATATATTTCTCAACAGAATACTAAAATTAGTCTCGTAGATGTAGACTTACAGATCAACTTGTAAAAAAACCTATCTTCTTGACTCAATCTGTCTAATGTCTATGCTTCGAATATTCATAATAGTATAAATGCTTTCAAATATTATTTATTTGACGTTTGATAGTTATTTGATAAAAAGAATGTTCATGAACACTTTAACAGTGTCTTCGAATTATGCATTTTATTTATTTGTCACAAATACTTCATGAACACAATTTTTAACCCTTTTATTCAATGGACATCAACAGTTTACACAAGACAATCTTGTGATCTTGTGATTTTTTGATTTTGAGAACAGATTAATTAACGTGATATATTTTCTCTATTCTGGTTAAAATTAATAAGAAGCATGTTTATTTCACAAATGAACGAAGTTTTCGTGTTGTTTTAAATATTAACTCAGTCCAACTCAGGTTCTTTTTGAACTACTATATTCAGCAGATCCGACTAACAGAGTTTATCTATGAAGATCATCATTGTTAACCTGTTTCATACAAATGTTCTTTAAAAATTTTTAGGACTATCAGTTTGAAGACATTCTGAAAGATGCTCTGTCAGCGAGTGACATACTCGAAGATGAAAGAAGTTCTTACTACCTTTGTGACGAACGTTCTAGTAAGCACAATTTTTTTTAGACAGTTTCATAAATATCTATATTTGTATATTTCATTTTAAAAGGGGTTTAGAATCATATTTGTTTACTTGACTATCACCAGCCACCTAATATTTGGTATTTGCCTAATCGTCAAGTTCAACTGGAAAGTTGCTTGTTTCAAAAAATCAACAAACAACTTCACGATATTGTATACATGTATTTCCATATGATTTGATTATCTCATTATGATTCTGTTGATAACGGTATTATCATATGCAGCAAGTCAGAAACTTTCAACGCTCAATTTGAAAACACACAGAATAAACATCTGAGTCAAGATATTTCACAGTTTGTCTTAAAATAATTTATTTTTTAATTATCAGTAATCATCGTAAGTACGAATCTCCATACAGTATATATATGTACGTCTGCAAATAAAAAAACCAACAATGTAAGTCACTGACTAGGACCAAATAAGCCCGAAATATATATCAAGAAGCTCCTCACTATGTATTGAAGTCATCTCACACTAAACGTAAAGCCATAGCATCGATATGGTATATATTATTACAGTTAAAGGGCGAGACTATATTTTATGGAAGAACCAACCAGATTTAAAATAGTGAGTATTGGATCTGATGTCAGTTCGTGATCAAAACCTTTACTCCAATTTCAAACTCTAACTTCTAACATTAAATCCCGATTCTGAATTCTCAAATTAATTTGTAACCCTCATTTAATCCTAGTAGGTAGGTGAATCTTCTCAAGGTGACTCTGGTGTCTCTCAAAGGTCGTCCATAAATTATAGTCTCATCATATATATTAGTTGAATGAAAAGTATGTTTGTCTTCAGCTGAAAATTTCAATGATTCGAATCAAGTCGATTAATGATCTGATGAAGATTAGTAAAATAAGAAGTGGTGTATAGATGAGGTAATTGTACACCTGGTGAGCATGGAAAGGAGAAAAAGATTGGATATTATGATAAAAGTTTACTAATAATTCTGAAAAAAAGAATTAGAATAAATAACAACTGACTATTAAGTATTTAAAATACTAAGGTAACTAAAGATTGTGGTAGAACGAGAGGTTGGAATAATCCTTTTGTCTACAAAACACAGGTTTGAATCGGTGAATGGTTAAAACCTATTCAGTGCATGAGTTTATTATTCAATTTTTTTTAAGTATGTATGGTCTTAAAAGCGTGACTGGAATTTACAAGATATTCCGGATTTGAGTTACTGATTAATTCTATTACTCTTTTTGACAGCAAAGAAAATTAATGCTAGGAGACACTTTTCAAAATAGTACACTTTGTGTTGCCAATATAGCTCGCTTAACAACGGAAAGTAAACTTGTAAATCTAAATTATTGTGGCCCAAGGCAGATGTTTGTTGTTAGCTCATTTATGAGCCAATATGTATAATGATTACCCAAATGCGTTACATATATTAAGGGACATTTTTCATTTGAGCATAAAACGTAGTAGTACGTGGTTTACAGATGGAGTGATTATATAGTATGATGATTTATGTTATAACCAGTTAAGCCAAATTTTGCAAGCTTGGAAAATTTTAAGCTGGAGTAGTAACCGTAAACTGGTAAATAAGCTGGCTATTAGATATTTGACCGCTTTGGTAATTATTTGAATAAAAACATTATTGTAAGAGATAAGGGACCATTGATCTGTCAGGTCGGTAAATAAATGTTACGTCAATGAGAAACTTCCTTAACTCATTCTCGGTGGTATAAAAACTGCGAACTCATATGGTGCAAATGACAAGGATACTGGTAAATATCACAACTTAGGAAACATGAGACAATTTTCTGATAGTAATCTTTATTTGGATTTGTGCTATTGCTTTTTAAATGGTTTTGTATATGCTTTGATTGACTTCATTTTAACCATGTTGCAGATATTATACGAAACTCTTCCCATTACATTCGTGATTTCTATTCATTCAAACGTAATCATACTCCTAAATTACGCTTGCGTCAGTATGATAAGAAACACGGCATGTATCTACTGCAACAAAATGCTCTCAGTCTGAAATTTCAAGAAATTGGTAAAGTATCATTTACGCTGTCAGTACTTCGATGTACGCCAACTGCACAGGTATGTAGATAGAACAGCAATATTTCCAATATGAAATGAGCTATAACATATATAATAATTTATTTGACTGTTTTCTTTTACATTTTTCAGAATGTGATCATGAAATGTTCCAAGATCTAAGGCGTATATGAATTCGTCAGTGGTTTTTGTATTTATTGATTAGGAAAAGAAACTTATTCAAAATATCTGCCATTAATAATCAGCAAATATAGAATGTCAACAAATTTGTAATTCTATAGCTACTTACTTAGCCACTAAATAATGCTTCTGCATAAGAGATGGTTGGTGATATAATTAGGTTTACAATGGGAACGTTAACATTAATTAGAATTCCCATGTGGCTGCAATCGATCAAATCAGATGAGAGCGTATCAACTGTCTTTACTCCCACTTCTAGCCACTACCAAACTAGCTAATGCGAATTCAGCGACAATCAGATCCATTTAAATTGATCTTCAACTCAGTCATTAACTTAGTTATAAATATAGATATGAGAGATATATAACTTGTCTTATTAATACTGCAAATTTATTCGGAATAACCAACAGACTTTCACTACTGGCGTATGGGAAAGAAATGTAATTCCAGATTAAGCAAAGAAAAGTAGTCATCATCATTACATTATTATGAATTGCCATGTCATATTTGAACTATTCGAATGTCAAATACCAGCAAACAGATATTTTACATGAAGTTGGATTCAGTTATACCTAAGTTAATTCATGAGAGAAAGACATTATTTGTCGTTTAATTTAAATAACCTACACTAAAGCACTTAATTGAGAAATATCTTGTAAACAACCTATTTATACAACAAAGCAACCGATTTTGTGATTACTGCCATAAAATGCCGAGCGTTTTATTCATTGACCGCAAATTCAGCTTGATCTTTTATGTGTCTTACTAACATTAGCGTATATTTCCGAAAGAAAATTTCCAATGTATCATAACGTCCAACAAATACCTAAGTTAGTTTTTATGGTATTGTGATTTAAATGAGTTCGACATAAAGAAAAAAACTCACGAATAATATTTGAAAATGTTAACAAAGCACTATGAATATTGTTATTGGATCTCCAGAAAAAATTCTTGAAAATCTATATTTTTTGATATGTTATTTGTGTTGTACTTTATCTGTCCTTATCTCAAGTTTAACCATGAAATGCTGAAGATTTGACTTGATTCTTTTATCTCCACCTCTCATAATTTAGATTCCCAATCACGTTTTTTTCTTACATGAAGAGTTAACTAAACTACCATCATTTCCACGTAAAGCATTAGAATCGGACTTCAATCTTTACGACTGGCCTACATATGGACGTCCACTATTTGCATTAGATACAATACACAAGTTATCTTGGTGTCATTTAATATCCAGTTTATTCATGATGATGCCTAAAACTTATCCATGGTCATCGGATTTACAAATATTTTTGAATGTATACAATGGTACACTGATATTACATGCAGAAGACTCATCAGTTTTACGACAGTGTCTAGCATTCTTCATACAGGTCAGTTTCAAATAAATAACAAATCTTATTTATGAGTTAATATTTCATTAAGTCAGTGAACTTCTATTTCAAGAGAAGATATAGTCAAGCAAATTAAGTTTCATTCGTCTGTCCAGTTACACAAACATAGAACATTACCGAATGTCCTCTTCAGTATCCAATTTAGTCTAATTAAATAGTCCCATCGCAAACATCTGTCTCAATATTAGATATCAAAGCTGTGTTGAATGTAAAAGGCTTTAAGTTTCACTTTAGGAATTAATTTCAACCATCAAAACCCATTGAGCGCTTGATAACTCCACCTAATTATAAGACCTCAGTAGCCAGTTTTATCTTATTACAGTGAGATTAAAACCAGTGTTGAAAATGCGCTACAGTTTACAAATATGACTGAAGATCATGGGTTAATCAGCAAAAACGAAACTCCTCTTACTGATCAAAGGATATACATGTGTGCATGAGAAAAGAGAAGGATATAGGCAAAAGTGTTGCTGAACTTCCAAGTCCTCAGTGGCTCTCTGTAAAGGCTTTACAATAATATATGTGCGTAATTTTAACCTATGTGAGGATGACACAGTTAGCCTAAAACAAATATTCCACATTCCAAATGATTAAATACATTATTCGCTGAAAGAAATGTGGAGTAATACAACTGTCTAGTGCTGTCTGGTTTGCGATAATCATCTAACTAAGATCAGTCCGTGCAATGTGAAAATTCAAATCAAATACTCTCTACAACAAGCTATTAACAAGAAATCCTTTATGGTTAAAAATTTCGTTAACATCTTTAGGAAAATCAGTGCTGTGATATTATTACTCCATAACTGCCGTTGAGGATAGGAGATTTCGGATGACACTGTCAAACCCATCTCCAGTTTTTCGTCACGGAAACTAGACATTAGAAAATAACGAGAGGTTTTTTCATAAAAAAAATGACCAATCAACTGGAAATTTATTTCAATAATTAACACTGGCTTTCTCAAAGTTACAACGCAGAATAATTTCAACTTAACACTTTGACTTTGTTTATCGTCTAAGTAACTAATTAGACACACTTAAATTTAAAGTGTTATTACGCCGTCTATTATTGGTTTGGATTGCCTGCAGAGATTAATTTTTTGCTCAAAAATAACGGTGTACTGTATCAGTTACTACTAAATAGTCATTTTAAAAAATACTTGTAATTCCACCCAAACTTATTTCAAACAAAGTTATACTGCTCAGCCAAAGCGTAATATTGTAATTTAATGAAATCCTTTTTGGCCAACCATCAAGATCCATACTCCATTAACAATCCTTACTAGATAATTGTGATGATAATAATACTCATATTAAATACAAAGTTATTTTGAAAATGGACTATATGTTATCTTCAAATCAATTGCCATCAATAGTTTCAATTCTTACCAATCTATTTCTATTGTTAGTAGAGCGATAATTGGTTATCATCATGTTTTACAAATAGTCTCAAAATACTCTTTCCTAAAATGTTTTCGTTACTCTTACTCTACTACAATTTCTCTTTTGATCGACAAATCTGTAATGACTTTATAAACTATATTTCGTTCATAACAATGTATAACTTATTTTATTTTATTAGTGCTGTTATCAATTCAAAACAGTATTTGCAACCACAGGCTACTCTGGTATTGTACCGACATTGGTACGTGTTTATAACCAAAATACACATAATCCAGTACTTACACAAGCTATTGAATTTACATTTAGACAATTTTATGTAATGCATAGAACACCATTTATATTACAACTGCTAGGATGCATCGCCAATTATGTAACGACTAATAATGAAATAATTGGTGTGGGAGATGAATTTTACCGAGTAAGTGAGTATATAGTGTTTCTTTTCACACTATTTTCCACCATTGTGGTTTCATCACAATAATGCTACACATGATAAGAATTTTTGTGATTATTCTATAGTAATGTATAAAGACTTCTAATTGTTATTCGCCAAAGTACATCGACCATTATTTATTGTTAGGTTACTTGAACGAATACCATATATCTCACATCAAATTAAGGTATATTAATGAAACCTTGTGAAAATTCATTCATCTATATGATCAGAATAAACTCATGATATTGCTAGTATTTAATAATTACAATAGTCTGATATGACTATTCACTTATGGTATGCTTATATCAGATCATGTACATTTACAATAAAATAATATCTGTCAGAATCCGATATTCCTAATCACTTTCAAGATTGAATATTCATCTTAAATATCATATGCAATGATCGATACTATGTTCTTCATTGGTCGGTTCACCATAACAGACAAGTAAAATTGGACTAATAGCATATCGATCATATGAATTTATCTGAATTGATCAAAAAGCATTCGTCTAACAAAACTGATAATAGAAACTTATCAGTGTGCTGGACATTATTACTTGTTACACGAGCCTCTACGAAAAAACATTTTTGTTGAGAAAGATTGACAATCCAGTGTTGGGGAATTTATTGATTCTTATTATTGAGAATCTTTATAATTTAAATTTGATATTCTGTCTTCGTTTATATCAAAATGTATTCTATTATTAGTGAATTTCTTCACTTTAGTTACCAAAATAGGAAATTGTCTATGTCTCCCTGGTTCTTTGTGCTTTGTATGGTAATGTGTGTTTGAAAACGAAACCTCTCTTCAGTTAATTTGTATTACAGAAAGATTGTTGTAACAAAATTTGACCTTTCGGTTAGTAGTTTACCTGCTCCTTTCTACCTACTTAGTGAAACATGAAAATTGTTTCCTATGGTTGATGCATATGAAGTTAATCAATATCGAGAATCTTTACGGTCGCTTAGATGAGGAGAGTAAATTGAGTAACCTACTATGTAGAAAATTGATAAACATTGACTATTTATTACTCTTTGATGAATTATTTCATTTTACCACAGATTCAACCAGGGGCTGTATACAGATTATTACGTGTTATAAGCCGTCCTTTAGATGATAACCTTCGTATTTTGGAGTTATGTAATATTCAGAAGCCGTTGGAAGCTTTGGTAAGTTTGTTTTTCATACTGACATCATGAACATTTTCGACTTATCTCTTTTCATCTACCCTCTAAATCGTTTCACAACCAAGATGCCTTTAAGTTCTAATTGACCGAAAAACTAAAAACTGTACAATAAGTGATGGATTTTTAATTACAAATTAATAACTCGAAAGCAATCAATGGATATTATTATTTAAAAATCCTGTGTTCCTACTGTTAATATAGGAATGTCCCTTTAATATATCACTTAAACTCTCTAGAATAGCTTTTGCTTTTATTTGTTCTAAATTCACGTTAACTTGCCTTATTAAGACCACTTTTGTTGAATTATTTTATTTTCAACTGAATCAACTGACATTTGGATTGTTTACATAAAGATTATGAACATTTTTATTGTAATCATAATGCATACAGAGTAGTTATTTAGATCTTTTTCACATAAATGAAAAACTGTTAGTTGTATAGAGTAATAACACTGAACATATTGTGTTATTACCAAATTTGCATACTCCAATAATTTTCTTGCTTAAAATCAACCTTACTTATCATGACAATGACGCAAAAAATTAAAGACTAAAAGCTACAGAAAAAATATTATAGCATCAATGTTATATATATATATATATATATATATATATATATATATATATATTGTAGCACGTACTATTAGCGTTTATCTGCAAGCAGGAGCGATCTGTAACACAACACAACAGTCAGGACCGACAGATGCAACTCAAGTGAGAACGCAGCGTACGAGCACAACAGTGATATATTTAAAAATTGAATTACGCGGTTTAAATACAAAAAAGGGAAGTCTATTACAAAATGGTTTTACTCATTATCCCGTAGGTTTAACTTGCGCAAGGTTTGTTCTTCTTCTTTTAGTACGTTCACTTTCTGTTGCCCTGAAACAAGGAAAACAAACTTGCATTAGTCAAGTCACACGTAATGGTTTTTGATACTGCTACAATATATTCCGTTTGAATAATTGTGATAGCGTTTTTCCTACAGTTTGATATTCTAAAGCGATTCAGACTGAATACGTTTCTGTTTTTCAAGGATAAACCTAAATATTGTCTGCTTACATTTCACGTATTTTGCAAACAATGAATCGGATTCTGTAATCACTCAGGGCAAATATATCTAGATCCGTAGATGTACACTGAAAAATCTTGCAACATTTTCTAGTTTACTTAATCACAGTAGATAAGACAAACTGATATGAAAGTTGTAATTCTATTAAATCTATAGGTATATATAAATCATTATTTCATAGAACTTGGAATGGCTGAAACTACATAGACCTTTGTTTAAATAATGCTTAGTTTCACTTTCTGTGTACCATAAAATGTCATACTTTTTAGTCAATGAATAATAATTTGTTTAACTTTTATATGTAAATAACAGTTGGTTGAAATTGTGATAAATCATGAATTTCGAAGTGTTTCTGATTGATTTGTAAGCAGTGTTTAGTTTTACAATTAATCGGTTTGCAAGAGTTAATCTTAGAAATTTAAATTGACCGACATTTCTAAAGTCATCAAGTTTGAAAAGGGACATTTATTCATTAGACGTTTCAAACGATCTTTTCACAGGATTTTTGTTATGACGATGAAGAGGCTAACTGGTCTATTTTGGAAGTAATCAATCTCTGTGTAGCTGTCATAGTCTATGCTCCTGATTCATATAGATCCAGGCAAATGTTGGTAAGTAATTAGATGTTTTCGTATATGTGATTGTTTGTTTGGAAGGGAGTGCTCAGGATCTTCTGCAGTGAAGATAAGATCATTAAAAGTGAAGATATTCGACGTTAATTATGAAATCATCAATTGATGTTCTATTTCTAGTAATATGTGATCACATTTACCTTATGCTACAATTACGAAATAATTATTGAACAGCAGCGATAGTCGTATTTATTGAGAATACGATTTATCAGAGAACGTTTTGTTTAACTGCTAAACATTTTAGTTAATGAATTTTTATCGCGATATTTAGTGCAATATTTATATCTCAGCATCACATTTCACTATCATTAAATGTAAAACAAAGCTAATTACAGCCAAAAAATTTTTAACTCGAACGTTGGGAAAAAAAGCAGGTTGATGCCTACCATTTGGTCGGATATTTCTTGGAACTTTTATTTAAATCTAAAACCACATCGACAGAAGTATAATTAAAACAAGAAATGTGACTTGGAAGCCTAAAACTAATTTCATTTTTATTCACTTAGCTTCACATTCATCACATATATATAAAAAAGAATCTTTTCAGCAAATGAATTATAATAATTCATATTTAACTCTTTTAAATTCAGATTATTCTCCAAGCTCTGGTGCCACTAATTCTTAAAGACTTGCCATACATATGTGCAGAAGAAGGCAATGGTACTGATCCAAAAAAGGCAGAGTTAACAGCTATTCAGAAAATTTCAATAGCAATGCGTCAGCTTACTTCAACAGCCGAGTTCATGAGCAGGTGTGTTAGTTCCATGAAACTGTAATTATTTAACATTTGCTATTATTATGATAAAAAATATGAAAGATTTCATTAGATTTATTTATCAATACATCCAATACCCTAGTAATGTTCCAAATTAATGTGTTAAACATCGTTAAAACTATCGCACTGATGACTTACTTGAGTTTAGTCCTAATTTAAAATACAATATTTCTCAGTGCAATACAATAGTTATAGATTTTCCTCTTCACGTGATTAGACACAAACACGATAAGAACTGTACCTCCGAATTAGCGAATTGTTTTCAGGGGACAGTGGTGTAGTTGAGTTTTGGAAACGTTTCTGCTGATGCGAATTTTTTTATAATATGACCGATTAGATTACTTGTAGAATGATTGATCTTTAATAGGCTCACCCATATTTCACCTGCAGTTTATTTTGAGTATGTTTTTAAGCCGGTTCTTTTAAGCAATTGTGTACTCATATTATTCGCTCCTTGTCTCTGAATTAAGTACTAGTGTCACGCAATTTTACAACATTAGTTTATTGATTACTGGCAAGATATGGGCTCAGTTTTATCACGAAAACTTTATTTTGGCTGTTTTCATCTAGGACGTGCCTACTAAATAATTTATCTAGCGCCAGGAAATATAGTGTCAATGGACAGTAGTTGTATGACCAATAGCTTTAAAAACTTATCGTCAATGTTGTTGTGGGTTTATTAGTAATATATTTGATTGACAAACCTTAGTACTAGTAGTTATACAAAAACTTTCATACATACGATTGTACAGCTTGATAATAAATTCATTGAAAAGAGATTCCTTCGCTGAACTTCGTGTTTTTAAACCTTAGTAAGCCTAAGCTTGTGATGTTGATCACTAATTGTAACTTCCCCTACATCTTTCAAGTTGATTGATTTTGTTACTTCAGTAGGACTTTGACGTTTAGAAATCCGTACAGCGCGGAATATGGTGAAGCCCTCTTTGGTAATTAAGTCCCCACTCAAAAACCATGTTACCCAGAATAAACTTAAGGAGATTTTCACTAAACCTCAACTTTACATTCTAAATTATTTACTGATATCATCATAAATTTTACCATTTAGAAGAATTGAAGACATTCGTCAACTGAATTACCTTGCTCCGGGTGGTCCAACTGAATGTCGTAAGGAAACACCTGGTCTCTTGTTGACTGGAGTAGCCACCAGGCTAGTAAATTATGAAGTTGCAAAGAGTAACTTCAAGTCATTAGATAAAACAAAATATAACGAAACAGCTGAGAAAACAACAAGAAGTGGATTATGTGGTGAAATCAACACTTTGTCTGTAAATAAAGGTTTTCCTCTATCAGTAAGTTCAAATACATCACATGAAAGGGAGATTCAGTCGAATCAAATGCTGAGAAATCCTGCTGCAGTAACAAGTGGTCATCACCGTCCGACAGCTTATGAACCCAGAGAAGCAGTTTTACAGTTGGCTTGCGAATTTTTATCTACCTGTTCCGGGCGTCTTTTGGAAATGGAAGAAAAACAACGTATATCTGATCTTTTAGACGCTAAATCACACATGGTAAGCTACCGACAGTTTTCTTATTAAATATTTTATGAGTGCATGTATTAACCTCCAAATGTTACAGCCTTTAGACTAAGGTTAAAATGTTTATACATCCAAAATCAGAGATAAGGAATAACTTGTATTCAGAAAAAAGTAACAATGAATACCACGTATACAAAGCAAAGGAAATATCCATCGAAGACAGTGGAACATGTTCGCGCAATGGGTTGACTGAAGTTAGATATTAACGCCGTTGGTGCCTGCCTCAGCGGCCTAGAGGTTAAGCGTTCATGAGTTAGACCGAAGGTCTCGGGTCGTTCAGTGCTTCTGGGTTTTCAATAGTGCTCTAATATTGATCAATTCATGAGTTCGATGGAACAAATCTTGTAAGCGAATCTTATAAAGTAGTTTGCCTAACTAATTAACCTACTCCGTAAATTTTTAATATGACTTACTTGGTTGATCATTGATTTCATCTGTTCATACATATTAACTAAATATTTTAAGCTTATTTACACAAGCATTCATTTGTTTGTTCACCAAAGCTCAACGTTCGTCGATCAGTTGTTACATCATTATTCCGTTAACCATGTTTCTTAGCCTTACAAATAATTTATTACAATCAGAACTAAATAAAATTTCTACTATGCCATCATGGTTTACAAATATTTCTAATAGTTTTGATAGTTTATTAGATTTCAAAAGGTTTATCAGAATATCATTAATTAGAGTATTGTTATTCATTTAAAAGTAGTGCGCGTTTACGAAAACATACTGTGGATTGTTATTTGAAACTAGTGATTTTTCGAGTTAATATTTTATGTGAACTAAAGTTTAATTTTTGGATGGATGGAGAAGGATACGAAAAAGAATCTGTTGATTGCTTCGCATCTTTATTGCCAGTAACAGTATTGTATTAAGTCCAACAAGTCTTTGAATTGAAGTATATTGTTACTAGATCATCGAAATGACGTTTAAAAAAAAGCAAATATAGGTTGAGCAACAGTTTCAGAGACAACTTGTTACAAATAATTCAAGGTTCAAGCCAACATAGAGTGCGCAGTTCATAACACTTAAGAATCCTTAAATTAGTATTGCTTCCTAGTTTATTACTATTACTCAAGTGTTCCAAGTCTCTTACCATACAAATTGGACAGAGTTTGGACAACTAGACTCCCTTATTTGACTGAAATAAACAAGCTAGACTGTGCTTTCGTGCATATTCTACTAAATTTATTTATTTAAATATAATGTTTACCGATACATCTGACTAACTTGCTCATTATAACAACCAATGAACTACTTATCCATTTGACTGAAAATGAAAAAATATATGATTTCAGTTTCTCTTATTTACCAAATCAATAATTAAGTCAGTTTAGATATTGAAGATAAGCTGATAGCTTCTGCACATTATGAAATGCTTGAATCGCCAGGTGAGTGAATGTTGTAATCTGAAGTGTTTTGTTTCAGCTAAATATTACACTTGTATAACAAAGCAATATTGAGAAGTTATAAAGCAGTTACGTGATACATATACATAACCTTCAATCTTCCGTTTGCATTTTACGGTGTGTTCTGAAGTCTAAAACATCTCGTCTGGTCTCCACGTGTTATGCCAATGCCGTGCTTTCGATGCACTGAAAGTTTTCGCTTCGTCTAACAAGTGTAGCAACTACGATTCTACATTCCGTTACATACTACTTATCAATAGTCTTATGGGTATCGTTCTCTACACAACCACTAGATTTCCCATTGAAACTGCCTTTGCTTAATTTAAACAAAAAACCTTGAACTTTGATTGAGTGCTTATTGCTGGTACCTAGGTTACAGATAATTTGTTTTTAGAATAAGATTTATTGACTATTGATTTTTATCAGCTTAAGATTCGTCATGAAACTGACCAAATGAATTTTTGAAATTTATTTACACAGCGATTAGCCGATATAGCTCAATTCATGCTGAAACAAGTTTCTAACAGCCCAGATTTCCTAGTTAGTTCAGCTTTACAACGTTATTTTCTGGAAGTGCTGCCAGTTATCGATTGGAGCCATGAATCACTGAGATCATGTAAAGCATTGGAATGTCTTTTAGGTCGACTGAATAGGACGCTACCAAAGATGCTTGAATTCGCCATTAGATCCAAGGTATGTATTACTTAACATTTTAATTGCCTGTATCATTACCAAAGTTTGATTTGATAATTTCGAGTAAATTGAGCATTGGGTAGATTGTTATAAGTAAATAATATATTTTAATTGCCGCCTATTCAATTTTTATTTTGTATATTGATGTCAATCAGTTCTTAAAAATTATAAATGTCTGATCAGCTATGTGATTCTCATGTACACAAGAAATACACTTATCTAAAAGGGATTACTTCGTACGTTTTCATGGAGAAATAAACACCAGAATGATTATTATATCATGGTATCATGAATGATTGATGGTTTTACGTGGTCAAATATTCACCATTTATATAAATAAGTAGTAATGTAGTTTCCATTGAACACTTTACATTATATTAATATGAAGTACAAAAGTATTTGAGTTAACAGTAAAGCGATTTGCTTGCAATTTTTAAACTTTCAGCAATCGTTTCAATAAAATTGAAATGAATTTATATAAACTATCAAAGCTACTATTATCACCCTCAGAAAGCTGGAATTTTAAACAGAACTGTTTTCACAAATAATGCTTCCTCTCTCAGTGCTCAATTTCTGTTACACTATTCGTTCAAATATTGACGAATATTCAAATCGAATCAAATTTTCAAAGAATTATTTTGATTCCTCTTGTTATTTTTATCTACATCTTAAATAGTGATAAGCAGAAAACAATTAAATTTTATACACCAACTGGCATACCAAATCCATTTATCTCGAATTTAGTGTTCTGATCGACATATTATGTCATATACTGATTACTTAGTCTTTTTTTAATGAAATTTCTTTCCTCTTTTATTAATAGTAAGACATAAAATCTTACAAGCTTAATTATTCTTGTGAAAGTCATTATTAGACCTGTCTAATGCCTTATGATAACCAGCTATGTATGTAACTATTTTAAATGAATATTCATTTGTTGAAAAATATATTTGATGGTTGAATTTTGGGAATTTAAACGAGACAACTAACACCCTTTTATGGTTTGTTATGCTTACAAAGTTCATACTAAAAGAATGCTTAAAAAATGTTAGATTATGATGTTGATACTAATACTACTATTGAACATTTAATGAGTAGAAACAGATAGCAACCACTCTCAGCTTTATCATTAACATCTGATTTTTTAACTAATCAGTAGTCCAAAGTTCTACCTAAAAGTGAATATTTTGTAACGGTATTTTATTTATTATTCAGTACTGTTTTAATATTATTTGTATTTTATATGGATTGATATTACTTTTCACCGTATGTTCATGTTAGATGACTGCAGCGAATTAACGGGAACATCTGAATACAAGTTACTTATTTGTTAAATTCCGCCAAAATATTTTATATGCAGTATTGAAGAAAGAGATCCTTTAACCCAGTGCTGAGTAATATGCGTCTAAATCACGACTGCGGGTATATTTTTTTGATAGATTCAAACAAAGCAAAATCCACATCTCGGTCGTCCTGCAGTTTCCCCACAAACTACCAACAAATATATTTCGTTCGAAAAGAAAATTTTCCTCGCTGAATTCTCTTTTTCTTATACAAATATATTTGCTGAACAAAGCAAATACATAACCTCTAGGATGCGCTTAATCTCTGAGTTAAGAAAACACATAAGTTTACTAATAATAAATCCTTCAGATCTATCTTCAAAAATATTGTGCTTGGGCTTCCATTCTACCAAACGACGTCCCAGCTTACACTTTTTAACAGCTCAGTAAGCGAAACAACCATCAAAGAAATCACCTTTCTTGAGATAACACTGAACACTTTGTTTTAGGTTTTCATAGCTTCGTTTTAACATATATCTGAATAACTAATATCTTAAATAATAGTTTATCTTTCACTCATATTTCAAAGCAATGTATTATAAAATGTTTTTCAGTATTAAATTCACTTGATGTTGTGTTTGAATCTTCCCATTGTTGTTTAGGATTGTAATTGATCAGTCTCTTGTTGGAATATGTACATCCTGTGCGGATTGCCTCGATAAAGCCTTAAGTTATAAGCTTTATGAGCAAAGATGGATGGAGGCTAGCAATGGAACCGAGGACGCTCGTTTCGTTTTATTTGGTACTCGTCAGCTGCTTGTGCACAAGCAGGTGGCTAACAGGGCTCAGTAGGTAAGTGGATAACGCGATGGCATTCGAAGCGAACGATGCTGGGTTCGAGTCCCTAGGTGAACATCCAGCCGACGAGTCCCAAAAAAGACAAAACGTGCATCCTGGATTCCACTGCTAGCTACCCTTCATTTTTTGTTATAAAGCTCTTCAGTATTGTATGTATTTCAAAAAGCTTTACCTTTAAAATTGTAATGATTTTCAGTCAGAAATATTTATATCAAAATTCAGTATACACCCTACATAAAATAAAATGCGTATGAATCACCTTTATGGTTTATATTGCTTTAGATGCAAATTAATTACCCTTTTTAAATATACATACATCAGAAGGTAAAAAAATTATTTCGATCTTATTGACAAAGTCCATATCAATCCATATCAATTAATAATTCTCCAATTAATTATCTTGGAAACATTTCTTTTTTTTAGACGACTAATCATTGGGATGAATTTGTGAAGTTGATTCGATCAGTTTATTATATACTGAAAAGGAATCGATCTGTAGCACATATGAAAGAAATTCGCGTAAGTCATAACATTTATTATGCATCATTCACGCGTTCTGAAAGTCACTGTAAATATCAACTCGGTTTTTAATTACATTTGTTTGGTTTCTTAAAGTGATGCAGAAAAAATATGCAGTTTGACAGAAACACTATTTTTTGAGAGGAAAATTTCATTAGCACTTTGACATTTTAGTATTCTCAATCAGTGATAATGAAGCTCAATAGAAATGTATTCATTTGAGTCTGATATTGTATACAACAAAAGTTAATTCTCCAAAATATTTAGTTCGCTTCAGCAGCTTAGTGTAATAGCATAGACAATGCTCGACCCACCTATTGAAATGCTATTGTTATAACCCAGTGAAGATTAAATTACAGGTAACTCCCGAGGCCTATTAATGGACTATAAATATTCTTATTGTAAAACTAATGAATAATTAGATTATGAATATTTATATTCCTCTTATTATAAGCTTTATTTTGACCTATATTTTATTATTGTACGATTTACGGTTCTTAAGCTATGCCCAGTCTATTAATTACTGTCCCCCTCGTTCACAGCCACTTTTTGGCTTATTTGTGTACGCATGTTATTTTCTATTTTATGGTACGTTGTGGTCTGTCTGATTGATATATAAACAGAGTATGTCTGAAATAAACGATCTGATCTGATCTGATCTGATCTGATCTGATCTGATCTGATCTGATCTGATCTGATCTGATCTGATCTGATCTGATCTGATCTGATCTGATCTGATCTGATCTGATCTGATCTGATCTGATCTGATCTGATCTGATCTGATCTGATCTGATCTGATCTGATCTGATCTGATCTGATCTGATCTGATCTGATCTGATCTGATCTGATCTGATCTGATCTGATCTGATCTGATCTGATCTGATCTGATCTGATCTGATCTGATCTGATCTGATCTGATCTGATCTGATCTGATCTGATCTGATCTGATCTGATCTGATCTGATCTGATCTGATCTGATCTGATCTGATCTGATCTGATCTGATCTGATCTGATCTGATCTGATCTGATTCGATTCGATTCATATTACGGAGGCTGGTATTGTGTTCTGAACTTAAGTGGAAGGGCTTGGAGGAAATAGGGCCAATAAGGATGCTAAACTGCCCACACCGGTTGAACATCATTGGTTGGCCTAGTGTGAAGATTCGTATAAGTCGTATTCGAATTGGTAGATCATTCGTGTGATAGAAAAGCCAGACATCCAAGGTCATAACAGCTATACTTGTCAGTCTTGCTTGTATGAGAAGTATGAATACTTCTCTGACTAAAGGTCAATGCCGTAGTTGGTATGTTCCACCTTTACGAAAATAACCATTTTTAAAGATGATTTTTACCATAGATTAATTTGTTGTGAAGAACTATTGAAAATTAACTGTTTTAGTACCTAGATTACCTGAGGTTATCTGTGATTAGAAAAATTAATTTTTTGCTCGAAACATTTATTGCATTATAATTCTGAAATTTCTTATTGTACTCTTTGCCGCTAATTAGCTATAAACAAATAGTTTATCGAAATGTTTTCCATATGTTATCTTCTGTGTCTGTTATTTAGGTTTTAGCTGAAATTTTAAAGAAAGCTGTCGTTTTTGACATATCTAGATATTTATCTAGCTTTCCTAAATCACGTCTAGATATTCAACCTAATCATGCGACTAGTCATCATGGTAGACCAAGCTTTGGAGAAGTTTTGTTCGGAATTACATCGCAAGAATCAAGCAGTATAAGTGCTTCTGTAGGAGTTCCAAAACAATCCAACAAAATGAAACACACTCCTTTAAATGGCGATGCCGGATCGTATTGTTCACCTAGACACAGCAATCAAGAAAATTGGCCTGAAACTGACCTTGACGAGAGTGATAAATATCCCTACCAGTTCACTACTGAAGTGATTCGTCTGTTATCCCTTTTCTTACAGATTTTAGGAGTAAGTATATATTATCTGGTCCTTAAAATTTGTGAATGATACGGTCTAACTACTCAATATTAAATAGAAGTTTATACAAGAGATGTACTTTTAAAAAATAAAACAAGTAAATCTAGTTAAAATATACCATTGAACCTATTATCTCCATAGATTTCATTTCATCATTTTTCACAGTTCAACCTTGATTAACTCCAGGATTTCATGCAATATACAAACAAATCGAGTAAATGATGTCGAATGCTCTGTAGAATTAGGGGAGTTTCATGTAGTGTGTTTTGACAGATTTAAGTAATAAAGTTGATCTGTGCAAAATAAATCAGTCTAGCGATGAAAGATTATATCTTAAGTTGTCTGATCTTGTTTACACTCTGCTTAGTTCGCATCATGATTCTTCAAATCTTAGCTATATTTCTATCACTTAAAAATGATCCATACAGAATTTGTAAACAAGCAAATATTACTTTAGATTATTCATGTATTTCACGATTTAAGCTGTTTAAAGCTATGGTACCCATACACTAAATGTTAGTTACTTTGTGTGATTTTAAATATATATATATTCTCTACTGATGCTTTTTATTTTAGCCCCACTGCAGTTTAAAAGATTTATGTGAACGAATTTCACCAGAGTACAACATTCGTTTTCCAACATTACGCGAAGGTGGATTTCAGACGCTTGTAATTTACTTAAACAATCTAATACTACCAATGTTATTTCGAGGTTGTGCTGGACGCAAAGGTATATTTCATTTCTTTTCTTGCTTATCATGACTATAACTGAATAAAATTCAGAGATATTGTTATATTGTCAATTAATCGAGATATTAACAATCCTATCAGAGATATGAAGGAAGCTTTATTAAAATCCTTGTACTTATTGCAAATTTTATATTCCAGAATGAAATCATGTAAACAATCGTACACAAATTGATCTCTATTTAGAAACTATTGATTATGACGCTAAAAAAAGGTATTTTAAATTTCACAGAAACTATATGTACTTTAATACCTCAAGCGTAACTATTGCAGTGAACCTCCAATTATTTATAGACTCTATTCAGCCTGCAAGTGGGTTTTCATCACAAGACTGTTTATAAACAGAGTTTCAAACAAATTAATGATACCAGTCTTTTCAAATACTAAAGTAATCTATATTAAAAGACTAATATTTGAACGAAGAATATTCTTTTCGATAAATTCTCTTCAGGTTCTACAATTATATATCCAAATTATTAATCCGAAAAATGGCCAAGTTAAGGGTAAAGTACATCGTTTAGAGCATGTGAATTTAGGATTGTGATAAACAAAATACAATAAAATTGTTAATGTTAATATGACTCATATAAAATGTTAACTTGAATCTGCGTATATGTTAAATGAAATTTTAAGATCCATGATCAGAATAAATATGGGTCAAATAGGGTGAGAGAGAAATAATAGTGCAATTACAATTTTATTGTATTTTGTTTATCACAATCCTAAATTCACATGCTCTAAACGATGTACTTTACCCTTAACTTGGCCATTTTTCGGATTAATAATTTGGATATATAATTGTAGAACCTGAAGAGAATTTATCGAAAAGAATATTCTTCGTTCAAATATTAGTCTTTTAATATGACGGGGATCTTTAAACGATTAATCTATATTACAAAAAGCTGATTACAATGTTGATGGACTAGTCAGTAAATATATAAAACGGATTTAGATAATAAGAGAAATAAACTTAGGTTAATAGTGCACAAACGTGAATACAGGATCATCTAAAAGTTTAAATTGATCAAATGGATTTCTGAATACTTTATCAACAGGAGTCTACAGTAGATTTAATGATCCAAGTGATTATCGAGTCTTATAAACGGATGTATTTACTTTTTTGAATATCACTTGGTAGAAAACATTTGTGGTGAAAGTGGCTGGAGTTATTTACTTGAGCAATTCATGTTTAAATGTTTCACCAGTTTATGACATTCTCAAAATAAACTTAGTTTAAGTACTTAAATGTGGTTCATAACAAGTTCACGATGTTTCAAAAGCATTTTTTAACTTAGAGGTTTCTATTGACTAACTAGTTTAGCTTTATAAAATGATTTAATATTAATTAACTTAACAATGAAAAGCTAAAAACGTAGAAGTTTGGTGACATTTTGTCATTTGCGTTCAGAAAAACCAGAACTTTTTATTTCCATAGATTGGACCTCAGTGATCGCCTTTCATTATTAAATAGACTCTTTATACGGAAGTTTGTGTTTGCATGAGAAACACACAGATATATACACTTAAAATATTAACTTCAGATATATTAGCAGTGATACACAGAAGGCTTGTTTTGCTCCACCAAGATTCGTCAACCGGAAATACCTTACCTCTAGTATATGGTGCTTCATTCGAGAGTCAACCCAGGACTAACAGGAAATCGTAGCTCAGTGGCCTTCTCCATTACCTTAGCAATCGAACTTACGGACTCCAGGTCCAAGTTTTCGTGTCAACACCAACATGAAATCAATTATATTCGTCTGACGAGTGCCAGTCAGGCATTGCTTAATTGACGTTTTAGTCGTATCATACACTGTCATTTTCGTACTGGGTTCTCAATCGATAGAATTCAGAAGTTACTTGAATAGCTATTCGAATTGGTGTGAGTTTTTTAAAGAATCTAAGTAACAAATATTTACATAGTGGCCCATTTTATTTCTTAGTATGTATCGGCTTTCAGAAATTAGGTTCTTATGCAGATTCGTAAACTTTTGTTGGTATGAAACGACTCAAATTGGATAACTAACTTTTCTTAACTGATTATTCTTACTTCCTTAGACTCACCAACTCTTTCAAGAGATAATGTTTTCTATGCACTGGATGTATGTATAACGGCCTTGTTTGCAACAGATTATTCATCGAATACTGATGGACAAAGATCTATATACAATTTGACCACCATAAGTAACTCAACTCAACAACAGCAACAAACATGTGAATCGAGTCAATCAGGACCCCTGTCTGGTAAATTAAAGGATAAAAGTAATAAAAGTCAAACTACAGGATTTGAAGTACGCGCAAATCCAAGTATATCACTTAATAGACAAGCAACTGGATCCATTGCACAAGACAATATTTCCACTATTACCACTTCAAATAATAACTCTGCTTCAATAAAGCTAGTTAATTTATCGAATTTATCAACAGACTGTGAAGGTGGTTCGTATGCCAGTTTAATACGTTTACTTAGTCCATCGTTGGTTAAAATCCTGCCAGAGGAAAGCGGACCTTTGACTACTTCAGTACAAATTACCATTTCAAATAAATGTCAAGGAAAACAAGATAGTTTTCAGTTAAAATCACGTCCTTCTGTAATACCGAATTTAAACAAAACAAGTATATTAACTCAGAAAAGTCGTCCACAAGCATATTATTCTAAACTTTTAGATCCAACTTCAATTAATCTTGGGTTTCCCATAGATAAAATTAAAAGTTTTAAGGCTGAGTTTGCGCACCGGTAAGAAGAAAATGTATTCAATGTCTCGCATGCTTTTGAATGACTTAAAATACCGTTTAATATTTCTTTGTAGTGATTTCGTTTAAGCAAAAAGCTCAAGATGGTCAGATTGATTGGTTTATAATGATGTTTCTTTTGCAAGTTCAAATGGTTTAATCAATCACTAAGAGGCCACTAAGACTTTCATTTTATTCAGAGGCTCCACAGTAATCCAAATCTACCACATTTTCGTAATTTATTCCGTTAAAATCGGGCTTATATCTACGGGTGATAAAACTGACACTCCTACTATGGGTACTTTGGTATGCACAAATTACAACCCCTATCTGTTACTGAGCCCTTACTTATGACACTTATATCAGCTATGAAATGCTAATTTTAAGTCAACTGAAACCAACCTGTGAATGTAATAAAAAGAAAATCTAAGCTTAAAAATAGCAATCGGACAACTAACATTGATCAGAAATGAAGTAATAAAAGTATTTGTGGTTTTTAGCCTGAATATGATCAAGTAAAGCTTCAGAAATATTTAACTACAGTTATATAATCTTTTCTGAAAACGCTCACTGTCATACAATAAGAGTTTATTCGATAATGTGAATATGTTATTATTTATAGGACTATTATTTTGAATAGAAGGTCAACAATACCACAAATATCGGACGAAAAGAAATAATGAAATAGGACTATAAATTCATCTTGTAATATTCGTAGATACGTTGTTAATATGTACTGATGATATGAATGGTTTATTATCCTCATTATAAAGTCTGATTTCTGTAGGGATCTGTACCGTATTATAATCATAGTGGTCTCGGGTAGTTGATTTAAAGAATCTTTTTTATGTTTGTTATGATAAATTGTTTTGCAGTTTTGCCCTAATGCACGCTATTTATCGCATAACTATCATTAATCCTCTGATTTATTAGGCTTGGATTTTTGGGATTGAAATTAATTCTTGTGGGGTATACGCGTCATGCGGCTGTTCGAATGAAACTGCTAGTAGCTGCATTAACACAATTAGCTTTGAATGGTCAAAATGGTATCCAGCTGTGGAAATTTTTCGATTTCTTAGTCACTTATAGACCACCACTATTTGTACACTTACTGCCATTTATTCGATTCAAAGTAAGTGTATCTTATTCACTGCTTATTATTTTATGAATGGGTTTATGTATCTATCCTTTAGTTTGTAGTCAGTGTTGATAAAATAAAAAAATTCTAATCTCATCATATAGGAAATAACAAAGGTTCATCTTTTTAAGTGTAACTTACTTTAAAGATAGTTATATGACTGATAAACTAACCGACTACAGCGTTGTTTAGATTCTTAAAGTTTAATGCCTAAAGCGTTTCGACGAATGAAGAAATCCTGGTACACACCTATACGTTCATGTCAGCATATACTTCATCAACTTTTAATTTACTGCATTTAATTAAATTACACTTAAGGAATCGATTTATTGGTTCATTCATTTTCAATGTCATAGGGTTAGAATTATTTCCAATTGACTAGTCTTTCACTTTCATAGTAAAGTCAGCTGCATTTATCAAAATATTATACATGTTAATAAAAGTTTATGAGCACAAATTAAGTGTGCGGCACAAGTCCATGAAGTCACCGACAAGTGGACTGAGTCATGTTGGTAGGTGTAGACTACCTGGTTGGGGACCGCGAGATGATAGCAACCGATGGTTAGAGACCCTGAATGACATGGCTCAAAATCGTTTGCAATGGCGCAGGTGCATACACTCTTTGTGTTCTCCCAAATTTTGATCTCCTTATTCCTCCTTGTCTCTTTTTTTCTCTTCCCAAATTTATTTCACTGGATTATACTCTTTAAATAACATCTCCAAACACTAATTTTCCCGATTACTGCTTATACACTTATTACCTCTACCACTATGGGATTTGAATCGACCATTACATCTGTGTGCTAATGTGGTGTGGCAACTCGAACTGATGTAAGTACGTACGAAGTTCTACATTGTTACTGACTGACAAATTAGGTGTAAATAATATAGATAAAGCTTTTGTTTTACCGAAGTTCCTTACAACTAATAATCAAAGTAAAGAAAGCTTGTTTTTCGAGCAAGTGTGATTTATTTATTAAGCTAACAGCTAAAATGTCTTTTGTCGATTTTAATTTTCTTCACCTTTTCTAATTTTCATCAGAGACCTCGAATTTTTAAATTTTTCTAGATGGCTCTACTTCAGTGTGCAAGTCAAGGGGAACAAGCGTATCAACAAATTGTTAATCAAAAATTAATTGGATTACATTTACCTATCCCACAAACAGTCGCTTCAATTTTAAGAAGTTTGTCGAATGAACTGCAAATTATCAACTCTGATATAAAAGTACGCTACTACTCCTTGCTTATACGTATATTAAAATTTTAATAATTTCAAAAGACAGATGTAGGAACCACGAATATTCCGTTCAGTGAATAAGACTAATGGTGAAATAAAAGAAGTTGTAATTATTGAAATGAGTTCCTATAGGATTAATCGTTTCATACATACTTCATGAAATTTTCTATTGATCTTCAAGCTCCTTTAAACATCTGATAGAACCATACTCTATCGCATTACTGAGGTCTTTCTGGTAATTTAGTTTCTTATATGTTGATTTATCATTCAAGACTCTATTAGTTTTGTCAACACAGCTTTTTTATTGAGTAGAACAGTTTCTGTCCCCCTTACCAGGCTACGTACCAATCGAATTTTTGTCCTTAATATTTTCGCGGTTGGCTTCCTTTTTTTCATTAAATGATTATGTAGTTATATTTATTGTTATTATACTGATAGCAACAATCAACTAGGTTTGATTCAAATCGTTTGCGTTTCTAAACGAAGGTTGGAACGAAATGCAATATCTGGCTATAGAGGTTTTCAAAAGAAATGTCTGTAATCAGATGCGTCACAGAACTTTGAATGCAATGCCATCACTTCAAAGTTTTCTTCAATTACTCAATGGTTAGAAAATTATTAACATTCCTCTCAGATTCCTTCGAAAATCTGTTTCCACTGGTTGATATTTTATGATTTTAAGAAATCTGATAAGTTTTTCATGTGCATGTTGTTTAGTCACTTCTGTAACGTAATCCATAGACGGGAGCTTAAAGTCATTTGTTAGTTCATCAATGGCAAATTGTCAGTGATCAATAATCATTTCTATTCATTTATATAAGAACCAAATTAATCAATATGGTTTAGAACAACTTTTTAGTGTTTTCCTGTAAGCATACACGTGATTACAACGTAGTGGTTTATTGAGCGGTTTAGGATAATGACTTGTATCACGACGGTTCTTTGTATTTTTTCTGATAATTTCAATTGACCTAGAAGCTTGTTCGAGTTAACATCACACGCTATTCATTCCAATAATTACAATTTCTTTTATTTCACCAATAATCTTAATTTCATGTAGTGTGATTTTAAATGATGCTTCGCTTTAAACGTGACTATCCCTTTGGAATGTTAATATGGATTTGTAATTGTAAGACCAGATGAGAACTCACTGAACGGAATATTCTTTGTTTAGATATGTGTGTGTCTTTTGATATGATGGAAATTTTTAACGAAATTTAAGGGGCAAAACAAATTTCTCTGCAATTATTTAGTACAGTATAAATATTGAAATACAATTGAAGGAAAAACTTTGTAATAATCCTATAAATATCAGTAATAACCTGCTACTTCCAAAGAGCATGAGATAAATTTTACCAAACTTTTGTTCAATTTGTTCCCTAGGCGTTTAGTAAACGAATTTACAACGAAATAACTTCTCCTAGAACGTCAGGTTTACATGATTCATTGCGTCGTTTACGTTCATCAGATAATACAAGTTCCGTTTCCGCTCGTAGTAACAAGCATACTAAATTAACTAAAGTTGTGTCGAAAAATGCAAATGAATATACACATAAGTCTTCGCACAAAGTGTCCTCAAAAGATCAAGTAAATCAGAAAGTACAATCACATGTTCTGGCTTCAGTTACATCGAACTCTACATGTAGTGTAGATTACCGTGATGAAAATATCATTGGAATATCAAGTAAGCATGCAAAATTTGACATTTTTCTTCATTTCTTAAAGAGCCTCATGTTACTAAATATAATATAGTTCTTTCTAATGATTATTATGAAGCGTCTTTTAGTTTTATTATAAACAGAACAACGACCTAAGATGGAAATTTTTCTAAGAAAAAAACTGATCATGCTAATTTTTTGTTATATTTCAAGTTTATATCGCTTCGAAAGGAGTTTTCACATCAAACAAATTTTAACTTCAAAATGTGCATTACAATTATGCTTTAATAATCATCTGCTTTTTGTTTTAGAATTATGCTCTAGTGATCCAAACATACAACATTTTAAACCTTGAGCTTTATAGAAGTCCATCAACTGATATCATGTTGTGACAATATTTAAATCCAGTATAAACCTCAAAAAATAAGTTTTGTTACCTATTCACGATGCAGTTGCAACTTTTTAGGTTACAATCGGCGTTGAAAGTAATCAAAACAATGATTAGTAATAAATACACCGTACATTTGTACAGCTTATCATAGCAGTACTTCAGACTTTATTTAGTTACTCCAGTAAATATATCTGAATATGGTGTTGAGCGATTTGGGTTTAAATTTCGTTTGCGACATCACTAACCCAATATCTTTTGGTAACATATTTCTGCGAGCAATAACAAATAAAAACAAGTATTCAGAGTTTCTGTTTTAGAATATCGAATGTATTTTCACTAGTTAGCACAATGTATTACATAGTTTCACTTCTCAGATAAATCCATCCTTCTTCAGAATAGACAAAATAATCATAAGTTTTTGTAAAACTACAAAGTTTAGCTGAATCAAACACGAAAGAATAATCCAGTTTACTTCTGATTGACAAAGTTGTTCATTGCACACTCTCCTCACATTGAAAACTTTTTAATACGGATTACTATTATCCAAATATTAAATGGTTGTTCTTATTCAGAAGCTCGACATCAATGATATTTACCTCAGATGGAGGTGCTTAAGGGTGAATAGTGAGAGTATATTTCATTCTCCATAAGGATCAGTATATAGTTTGTGTATTTTACTTCTTCCATGTCCCAAATCCAATATCTCGAATTGTAACGTACTAGCATCTCAAGCATCTGACTAAAAGGCTATACTCCACTATATATATATATATATATATATATATATATATCATATTTGGATCTTGGTAAAGATTGACAATGTCTACTACTAAGGCATCACGAGTGAGAATAAAAATATATTTAACATTTCTTGGATTTAATTAACTGTATGGTCTGGTAAAGTACTCTAGACCATTAATTTAGAGATTGTGATTCAAAAACATTGACTGAAGTTAACCCAAGAGTAACTTGGGTGTATGAAAAATGAAAGTGAGCTGCACTTTATAGCTTTGTTATCTTTAGCTCGATGAATAATGGTGAACTGAAGGCATAAGAAGCCGAATAGCAATCTTCCTGAACGTATATTTAGGTAATTGAATTGATTGACATGTACAATAAAACCAAACAGAATTAAATCGTAATGAGAAATAACAATAGAGTTGAAACCAGAAATAAAAACACCATGGTAAGAGCATTGTATTTATATCGACACCGGCACTAGAATCACCAGCAATTGCGTTAGAATAAAAATAATATTAGGAATTGTATTATGCTGAAATAAATACAGGATCACATCAGTGAATCTAGCCCGCATCTTACTGAAATGCGTTCAAACGATCCAGGATACCAACGAATCTCAAACATTTACAGAGCAATAGAAAAACGGAGTGTGACTGACGGATAAATTGATCGATAAGCAAACAAACGGAGGCATATTATAAGGACACATATATAAAGCATTCCAGTTAGTCACAAAGTTTAGGAAAAGTTAATTAACATGGTCACATGTTCGATCAGATTTTGTATTTCAAAATGAGTGCAAAGTTGTGATTTAAACGTGTCTGCGTCGAGCATTACATATATTATACGACTGTTAGTTCGACTCATTAAATTAACTGATATGAAAAAGTCATAGACCAAGTCTACCATACTATGTTATTATTTCCTTAAACTCTGATGTTCATTATGTCACTTGTTCCGAACTCTTAAAACAGGCTACAACTTTTGCTTCTAACTACAAACTTATAAAAAATAGGTGAGAAAAGAAGGACATGTTTTGTCCGTGAAATGCCTAATTCAATATTTTTAGTTTATTTTCTTGCTTTTATACAACTGCCGGTAATAAATATGATCAGGTAGATTTTGCTTGCAAATAAATTTCAAGAATCTTATTCATAATCGCCAACCATCATCAGAATTAAGGTTCAACTGGGTAGATATAATGAAGAACCTAATTATTGCAGTCCATATTGCATTTTTGAAAACTTGTAAACAAAGTACCATTTTAGATTTGGACAGGCATTTACTTGGAAGAAAAAGCCTCAATCAGGAGTTTAGACGAACTACTGGAGTACGAGATCCTCGAAAACGTATCCATGCACATGAGGGCAGTTGTCTCCTAGTGAGAACTAGAGATTATGGTCAAGCGGATCCAATTTTAACTGGTAAGTGTGGTATTTAAAATCCAAGAGTTTCGCCTATTTCGTTCTTGTCAAAATACGGATTTTTATTTGTAATTTCTAGGTGTCAGTATTCCTCTTTGATAATAGATGCAATCACAATATCAAACAGTGCCATTAATTGTATAATCACCTAATTCTTTTTCAAGTTATAAGGTACATGCAGCAAGAATAACATAATTGCCCAATCTCCCAATTTTAGGGAAAATTTGACCAATTTTGGGGAAGCCGCCATAGTAAAGTTTGAGGAAATTTTGGCGAAGAACGTAAAATTTCCCGACTTCGAGGTTTTCCCCAAAGCTAATTAGCTCACTACTTATGTCTTGGATTCAGTTATAAAACCTATCAAGGACAAATAACCCTGTAGAATCTACAAGTAGTTTGATGCAACTTTCTTGCTAAAATCATAAAATGACTGACTACAGTAGATGAATTTAAGGTGCCACATTATTAACGGTTAGAAACGTTACTCTTGATTGTTGATAGATCTTCGATACAGAAGATCTATAATTTAACTTGTGTGTTACAGGAACACCCAATATATAAGACACATCCAATATTAGGCAATAATGAGACATATGGGTAATGTTATCGATAATCATATTATTCACTTCAATGATTTTATGGTTTTGTAGTCCTACATCTGACTCCATTTGGATCGTATGAATGATCGTTATCGAATGATTGTTGTTGAAATATACATGCATGCTATCCTCATATACAACCATCGACTCGAATCGTGTTGGTGAATAACGGAATCAAATACGAGGATGGATCTTTGAATACGTATATTTCATACAATCGTTGATCAGAAAGCGAAGCAAAACAAATAACGCGCAATGAGGGCGAGTGAGCCAAGTCAATTTAACCAAGCGTGAATCGATATTCATAGTCAGATCAAAAATAAGTTACAGATATGTGATGAGCATGATTAGAAGTGTGCACACATACGCTCATATAAAGACAGCCGAGTTGATAAGCGGTTAAGGGACAAGGCCAAAATGTGATTTAAGAATGAATAAATTGATCTGTCCAGAGGCTGCAATAACCTATGTGGGTTTGATATGGTAACCGACATTACAATGGACTAAATTGATCTTATTAACTCACATTATATATGGAACAGCTGAAAACCAGATAAAACACCAGTACCTAACACCGTCATCTACCTCACCCCACTACCCATCCATAAACCTAAAACTTGAAGTCTTCTGATACATTCGTTCAAAAATATGCAGTTCGGTTCAGAAAATCGTTCATTTACGACATTTAAGATAGCCATTATTTAGTCGGAACATGATTAGGATGTGTCATTTATGTTGATCGGTATTAAGAATAGTGACAATCCCTCGAAATTTTCATAATAAGGTTTTTAGACAGGTAGCTTTTTCACTCTTCGTCCCCATGGTGATTACGCTATACTGATTGGTCCATCTACAGACAATATTATCAGGATCCATTATGTCTGCATATGGTTAATTAGTTTATAAAGTATTATTTTAAAGTCAGACCAGTTTTATCGACTTTTTTCCTAACAGCTTCTGCAGAAAGTCTAGTAAGAAAAAGCCAAAAAACAGGACATAAAAGGATTAGAACTCAGTGAGTGCTATTTATGACAATATTTGAATACTTTAGAAAAATATTTTTTGCTATTTGGTCTATCATAACTGAATTATATATGTTAATTAATTATGTCGGTCGGATGTTTAGATAAGTGAGATTGAGGCTTGGTCACATTCCAGACATACATCAGACACAGTCTGATCAGCCCTAATGGATTGGTGTCTGACGAAATCTCAGCACGGATTCGAAAAGCTCGTTTGGCTTCTACCAATTTACGTCACCTATGTCGAAGGCGAGATATCCGTCTATCAATTAAGGGACGAGTATACTGTGCAGCAGTTCGTTCTGTTCTACTTTACGGCTGTGAAACGTGACCATTAAGAGCAGAAGATACTCGTAAGCTACTAGTATTTAACCACAGATGTCTTAGAAATATCGCTCGCATCTGCTGGGATCACCAGATAAGTAATAGTGAGGTTAGACGCAGGGTATTAGGGAATGATGGTGAATCAGTTGATGAGGTTGTAAATCTGCATCGACTGAGATAGTTGGCCCACATGTTACGTATGCCTGAACACCGTTTACCACGATGCACAATGCTGAGCAGTGTTGGAGACGGCTGGAAGAATGTTCGGGGTGACCAAACCAAAACATGGCATCAGTGCTTGAAGTCACTAACTTCTAGTCTGAGTCATGTTGGTAGATGCCCACTATTTGATTGGGGTCTGCGTGACTATCGTAACCAGTGGTTGGAGACTCTGGGTGACATGGTTCACACTCTTTGTCTTTCCTTAAACCGTGGGATTAAAATTACTTTATACATTTTTTTCTAATTCTTTCTTCCTATACTATATCTTCATATACAATCTTTCTTTTATATATTACTACCGTTGAAGTAATTACTTCTATGAACTTAGTGTTCACTTTGTTGTGCTAATGAGGTATGGCAACTTGGACCGATGCATACATGTGCCTGGTCCTACGTTGTAGATGACTGACTGGTTGATTAAATCTTACATATCTACTAGATTTACTAATTGTGTAGAATTTATAACACGTAAACAATAGTAATTCCCATTTTTTTAGTTTAAGTTTCATCTCAAGTGCTTCATTTTTTCTTACATTGATATATTTGAGACTTTCGTTCTTCTATCAACTTCTAGGGAGACAAAGATGACTGGGAATGCTCAGATGTATAAAAATCTTCGTACGGATACTTTGCAAGCCAGACTATCTAATGATTCAAATGCAGATAATCAAAGTGAAAATTCACTAGTTAGTGAAGGGTTAATAACACCAGTTGGACCAGCAGCAGCTGCCGCAATCGCCTCATCGCTTTATGGATCTGGTGAGATAATTTTTATGAACTCATTCAATGTAATAAGTTTTAGATGTACAAAATTAATCAAGTCAAGAAAGAAATGGATAGTATTTGATCAGTACCTTGTGAAATAAAAAAATACTTGTTATGTACTTGGACAGAACGAGTAAAGCGGTAAATAATTCTATAAGCATTCAGAAGCATATTTGACACATGAACAGCCGATTAACGGTGGTCTTATTACCATGTCAGTCGAATATATGATTTTAGATATCTTAAAGAATTTTCTCAATAGTACTTGGTATGCGCTAGCCGTGGTCCTGACAAAATTTGCTGAAAGGCTCTTTCGATTATTATATGAAAATAACAATTCGATTATTTGTATTTCATTAATGCTGTACAACACAAGTGTTGATATGGCTAGCATTAGCTAATCTAGTAAGTGTTTTAACGAAAGTGCTCTCTCTCGTTTAGACAATTTTAGGAAGCTTTCGAGTTCCAATATAGATATAGTTCTAAGCAATATATGAGTAGTAATCAGAGTTTTACATAAAATTTTGAGTTTATTACCGCTTCTATATACTGATTATACAAATCATGTACATGATCCTAATAATGAAAGCCTAAAACCGTTCAATCAGCAGCAAGCAAAAATTAACCCATAACTGAGGATCGTAGTTAGTACATTAACTTCATTCTATTATTATATTTCATCATACTAAAAACCAGATTATATATGGTACTTTGTAATTTTTCGAATTATCTGTTTCATCACTACTTAGGTGCTCCATATCTACATGCACGAGTACGAGCCCGGCAAGAATTAGCCTCCCTAGTCAAAATACCAGCACCCAAGCTGAATTCACGTGAAAAGCTAACCGAAATTGACTTTGCATTCGTACCAGAAGTAAGCGGTGACGACTATAAAAAATCACCTATTCAACAGAAATCCAAGTACCAATCGAATCAGACTAAAGTAGAGCATAAAGTTACAGGGAATTTTATGTTGAAACTCGAAGACTTAGAAGAAAAATCTCCAGATGAAAAGGATCAACTGAGGGATATTACAAAATCACTAATAACAACATCGATTGTGGTTGATACAACCAACATTCCAACTACCAAAACGACAACATTAGCAGAAGCTCCAAGGGTGGTACAAATGACTGGGGATAAAATTAGTTCAATGATTTCGGGAAAATCTAAAATTAATTACGTCTGATATACACTTATCTTTTTTTGAAATAAGATTCACTAAAAATTCATAAAACTAAGTAAGACTCACGAATGTCTTGTTTTTTAATGTGAGTAAACTATCAAGAAGTGAGCATCTAACATTTTCTTTAACATTATTAGATTTCTAAGCACTACCTCCGTTTCCTTTCTTTTTTGGATTTCCCCAGTTGATATTTTCATAAGAGTAATATTTAACCATTACTATCATATTCGCTTCCTTCTTGTCTGTGATTAGAATTGAGAAAAATACACAGAATCTTAATGACGATTCTAAATTTCGTTCACATCGACTTATTGGTTTCCGAGCTTAATTTTCTAGATTTAACGTGCATACTAGTTCAGACATGAAAAGAAACATCATGAAACCACTCAGCTACTTTAATATATTCCTTCTACCTAATAACCTGCTTTAAAATTAACTACTGTGACTAATCATTCGTTCGAGATCTTTTGTACACAAAGTGACAACCCTTCTTTGACCATTATTTCATTGGATGTAATCAGTACATAATTGAATAGATTCGAATATGAACTAATCGCCTTAAGAATAATTTCGTAAACTCGTTACCACCAATGAAGTACTTACCTATGTACTTGTATCAAGTGTAAGTGAATAAGCTTCCATCAAATAGTAATTCGGGGGAACTAAGCTGGTTTTAGGTATCAGCATGAACGTGTAGACCAAATGTTCTCCCTTCAACAGGCCCTGGAACATGAATATACCTACATACTCTCAGCTTTAGTTGTACTTCTTGATCTTAAGGTAGCATCTGATCCCGTAGATAGGCAGATTTTAAGGCATTGTCTATCACTGAAAGATGCATCAAAGAGTTACATCAACATTGCACAGGTTCTCTACTCGGAAGCTACTGGGGTCAAAGCTTATACCGAACTGCCAGGGAGATTGATAATTCAAAATGTTCATCAGGAGTGTTCCACCTAACTTTTCCAGACATTTTAGAGACTACACTCATTCCCTTATTTATCAAGAAGCGGTCTCCTATCAGGTGATTTATTTGCTGACTCCAAATAAGCAGATGAAGATGGTATTAGGACAGTGTTCTAACCGCCTTAAACAACAATCCTAGCATATATGGGATGATTTCTTTCTGAATGCAGGAGCTTGCTTCAGGACCGGTCTAGGTCAGCGCCTAAATTACTGATGATAAAAATAAATGAGTCAGTTACTTCACTTATTTTGTAAACCTCGTCAGCCCTGGTGGGTTGGTTTGACGAAGTCTCGACACTGATTTAGAAGGCTCAGTTGGCGTTTGTCAGCTTGCATCACTTGTCGGATAAGCGATATGTCTGTCTATCAACTGAAGGACGAGTGTACTGAGCAGCAGTTCGCTCAATCTTAGAAGTTAGAAGCAAGGCACTAAGTAAGGATGGCCAAACATGTATCACATATGCTCATTCACTACCTCCACCTTCGATTATGCCTGACAACGGATTTGGTTGAAAAGGAGAACAGGGAACTCAAATCAAGACATGGTGTCAGACGATGAAGACGCTAATTGAACTGAGCCATGTGGGTATGTACAGACTATCTGATCATTGCAACTAACGGTTGAATACTGGGTGACGTGGCTGAGGATCGTTTGCAATGGCATAGGAGCATTCGCCCTGTCTCATCTTAAGTTCTTGCCACCCCACTAATTTATGTTTTCCCCTAAAACTGCATCCTCGATAAATAGTCTTTTCCATCACAACTAATACTCTTATTATCTCCACAACTCTGGGATTCGCTGTAACAAGGTGACGTCTTGGACTGATGTACGCGTGCTAGATCCTACGTTACGCACGACTGACTGACTGACTGAGACAGTATATACTGAGGATCAGTGTGGTATATCAAAATTGACAAACAGACTGAGTAATCATGCCACTTTCGTTTACAAAGTCTGAAGTGGTAATTGGAATTATCAGTAAATGAGTGTTAATAATCCCAAGTACCACACCTGAGGACCGAGACCCTTGTTCTCATCAGTGGCTTTTCCAATTCTTGTTATTCACGACCTTAAATACATGACCAACTAATTAATATAGTGACAATGAAAATCTGTGGTAACATGGATGATCTCAAGCTAAGTGTGGGCAACCGAGCAAACGTCGAGTACTCTACACCATATTATATTTGTTACACTTTAATGCTAATACGGTTGTAAGCAGCCAATGAAAAACTAAGGAATAAAACAAATCTACGTTACGCCTCAATTGTCGTTTCTGCTTTATTTGAATTTATGAAGGAAACCACCTGTGTGAAATGTGAAGTAATCAGACAGTCATGCTGATTAAATAAAAAAACGTAGCGACCGCATGCGGAATGAACGATGCGAAAGAAGCCTTTAAATGGTTAGACTTGACAATAAAATAGACAACAGCACTAAAACATTTACAGCAGTCACATCTGTTTAGAATCGTAACTATCATTACTTACTAATTTATGAAAACGGGATTTTACTTCTCGATGTCCGAATGAAGACAAGGTAGCTCGAAGTAATCTTGAATCTGAAACTTGACCATCTACATGATATTACAGAGTATGACAAGGTATTTTATTCATACCTTTAGCTGTTAGTAGTAGGACACTATGCACACAGTGGGTAAGTAGCCGCTACTATAAGAGCTCAGCACCCTTATAAAATGAACATGCCACGTTAAAAACAATCCCACGGACATTATAGTAATCAGCTTGATAATTAGAATGAAATGTGGTCGAGTGTGACCATAAAGTAAATAGATAATTTTAAAAGCAATAAATAGCATAGAGATCCGTAAAAAAAACTGTAAACACAATACATACGAAGTACATAAATAAATATAAACAAAAAGCATAATTATAGAAAGCGTATGTATAAAAGAACTGGAATAAAACAAAATTAGTTTCAATACCTAATCAAGGAAGGTTATTTGAACTATCAATGACGTGACATATACGCCAGTGCATAAATAGTTGCTGACATAAAAAGAAAAGCAGTTCCAAAGTTAGTGTGGAATGAACGAAACGTAAGTTGGGAAGGATGATAAAAATCCTGCACTTAATATTACTATGAAAAAGTGAAAACTTCGCATAACTGGGTGGTAAATTACTGAGATTTGCGTGATGAGGGACAAAGGATTTGTACTAATGTGCTATCCAGTAGTTAAATGCAAAGGACGAGACAAACGGGAATCGAGACTATAAAATTGACTGGGCGAGCTTCATCAGAAATGCATTGAGTTGTTAAAACTAGGCCAGCACTAAAAATAATTCTAGCTACACGCGAAACGTGAATGAGATGCGTGAGTAGAATGAAATTCAGTACTGGACAAATAATGAGGTTCAAAAAAAGGAAGCGGCTTAGGACATACATTCAGATGTGATAAATTAGACGTCATCTTCGGTCCTGGAGAGTGTGAAATTATTAAATGAGACAACGGAATAGATTGATCTATTACTCCGCGACCGCAGTTTTCAAATACTGAGGAGTGGACAGTAGTGCGTGTGGATTCGTGTCCCGCTGTTGGAAGTAGCATAGCAACTGTTGGACCAGACAGGCAACGATGTCTCAAGTAATTCGACCGATATTTGTGACACCGACTGAGATCCGACTGACAAGCACCTACAAAGGTAAATAAATAATTGTATTAACATTTTTCATGACACTTTATGGGAAGTCTCCGTCACGACAACTGATTAGCCTGAGGAAATATGATAAACCGGAGAATTACGAGTAGAAAAACGATGTCTGGAAATCGACATACTAATTAATACGACACTCCTGTCTCACCAAGCAAGGATGGAACTTTGTTTCCTGGGGTCTGAAGGCTGAATAATAAAATGGGAAAACGAAAGTACAAATAAGTCTCGACAGCCTGTCGCTCAGTAAACATCCTATTATATATATACATATATATATATATCATCCACTGAAAACATGTGGTGTTTTTTAGGAGCTCGTTCGAACAAAAGCCCATATCTACCCGAAGTTGTAAAACATCAAATTGTTAACACAAGGCATCACCCAGAGGTGCATGGTTTCGGGACCAGGATAACAAAACAAAATGAAAGGTTAAGTCGTGTCTCGACATAAGGGAAACACATTTAATCGAAAGGAACTACCAACACATAGTTTCAGCAAAGAATCATAACTAAACAGGTTCAACAGGTCAGATGGAATGGCTTACCCTTATCCAAGTGAAAGTCGAGCACAACAACCTAGATGACTACTGATTTGCTCAATATATAGCGCTTACCATACTAGAAACCACATCATAGGACTTTGTTAGGTACCATCACCAAGGTTTGATTTGATAATTTCGAATAAATTGGGCGTTGGGTTGATTGTTATAAATAAAAATAATATATTTGTAATATCCTAATGAGTAAGAAATTAGATTTTTTGACGTTTCATGACTTAGTGTAAGTCACTTCTTCAGAGAATAAATAACCAAATTAATTTGGTTTTTATTTATAGGACTTGGACGTTTAGGTACATTTAGGTTGTCAGTCCAGCGATAGCAAGTGTCATGGTAGGCTTAGTAAGAATGGATTAAACCAAGCAGATTACTGACTTTAACCAAGCTAAAAAGCAACTTGTAAAAGCCAGATATATAATCGACTCTGCCTGACAGTAGCGTATCTATAAGTTTGGGCAAGACTATAATTTATGGACGAATCAATGTTTTAAGACTAGTCATGGCTTTTAGAGTGGAACTTGTACATCCATTCGGCCAAATAGCATTTTGTCATTATAACAGATGTCACCCCGTAATTAAAACCCTAAATCTAACCCTTAACCATAACGCCCAACCGTGAATTCTAATCCTGATCTCCCGCACTATTTTATATTCATCATTTGATACCAGTATACTGGTGTGGATATTTTTAAAGTCACTTCAGCGTTGCCCAAAGGACGTCCATAAATTGTATTTTCATGGCCTTTTGATACCCAGCTTACTTTGACTTCGTCATCCTATAAAGACAATATCAGAAACACTATGCATACATGTAGCGGAAACGACAACCACTAATCGCACATCGCTAGTGAAAAAGTAGTAAAACGATAATTCCGAAACATTTAAAGTACATCCAATGAGGCTCAACCTTATAAAATCTAAACTCACATGAATACACCGAGTAAGGATACATTTTTAGAGTGGAATTGCCAGAATTGGTGGTCACAGTGCACGGAACTATATTGTGTTTGCCAATAAATGCAGGAAAACCATGTGACCAGTCTGGAGTTTTCATAGTGGCTAGGAGACAAGTATCCTGAGCGATTTTACGGCCGTACTGGAGCTTTACATACTCCCGTTCTGAAATGCAAGGGCTATCAAAACCATCCAATTGTCGACGCATCGTAGATAACTGACAAGTATGTAGCCAATATGAAAATCAATAACAAGTATGGCGATTGGTAGTCCGCGAACTCAGCTCATTTCTGAAGGAAATACAAGTAGACAATCATTCTCGCCCCACCAATTCGAGCGGGGACATACGAAATACAAATTTCAACAACTAGAACACAGTATACAACATGATTTATGGTATGTTAAAAGTCTAGGTTGTCATTTGAGACTTATTTGCGGACAAAAAAAATTATTACGATCTTTATTTATGATGCGTGATGACATTTCGTAGTTGCTTTCACGTGAACTAGTCATATATTCTGTCACTGCCGTCAAGTTTTAGTCGAAATCATGTACATTTATGACTCGTTAGTCGACATACTGTGGTAAAACATATTGCATGTACACGAGCACGCTTAGTCCATGTCCCAAGTACACACGTTGTCGTACTTAATATGTCACTTAACGCTGGGTAATAAGCTCTTTGTATCAGCCTTTTACGAAATGGGCATGTTACCTGAACCCTCTAAACTTTAGTTACATTGGTGGTTACCATTTTAATTAATGTTTATTATACCTCTTGTATTTGCTATTAATTCACGCGGTAAATCATGGCTCGATTTCCTTATTACACGACAGTCATTTCAATTCTATTTTCGGTTTATTTACATGCGATACGGGTTTGGAAAATATCTAAACGTCCTCGAAAATTCTCCACGAACCCAACCATAGTTTTCGTATATGTTTTTATTCACACATCCAACTGTTACACTAATCATACCTAAGCGAACGTTCAGTGCAACTGTCAGTATACGTAAGAACGATATTATTTAGACTTGACATTGCAACACATCTGAACTATTGTAGTTGTTCTACTTCGATGTCGTACTTCATTTTATGAAGTATTGTTTCCTCGTGGCTGTTATTTAACAGATGATTCCGGTACATCAATCGGCTGTTCAACTTGTAGCGGTAAATAAATCCCCACAATAAATAGCACTAAGTTTTCGACATTGGATGCTGACCATATGTTTTAGTGGACTCACCTAGCTGAAGGCGCTCGGTCAGTCATCCGCACCAGATCACGTGTGGTAACGCCGTGCTCAACATCAACCACAATCGCTAGCCAGATTAGATCAGAGAATTCCGATATATTGGTCATCGCCAAATATACTCTTCCGATCTCCTCGACTCTGTCTTTTGATTTCTCTGGGCGGGAACGAAATATATTAGAAGGTGTTACTGGTAGAAGCGTTGTCAAACACTGAATACCTGTCACATCATCATTGGTGAAACCGACGTGATCTGGTACACCTAATTGCAACTGTGAGTCTGTTCCTTTTTGGGATTTTTATATATCATTGCCTTATTTTTTTTAACTTTTTTAAACATTGTGATTTTTTTTTCGTGTTTTTTCCTGGATATATATATTTTCCCCTTGTTCATTATCGTACTTCATACATCATCATGACTGAACAGACACCTAAAGTACTCAAGCTTAAGACTTTGTCCCCGCCTTCGTTTCAACTCATGCCTTTCTGGCCCGACAACATCGAAGCCTGGTTTTGCTACGCAGAAGCCGACTTCTCCGAGCACGGCGTGATCGACACACGTGCACAATTCCTCGCAGTAGTCAAGGCACTACCGCGCGAATTCAACAGGTACGTAACACCTAGTATGTTTACTAGTGATGTTTCCGATCCTTACGAAATCTTAAAACGCTCGATTCTTAAACGAGGAGACCTAACCGATCGACAAAGGTTAGATCAACTCTTCAACAATATCGACCTGCAACACGGTTCTGCGACAGACATGTTGCAACGGATGAGAGAGGTTATAGGCCCAAGAACTTTCGACGAAGGCCTATTCAAACAACTCTTCTTGTCAAAACTTCCCCAACAGGTGCAAGCAGTTCTGGTCTCGTTCCAGAACAACGCCTTAGACGAGCTAGCTGCATCTGCCGACCACATTTTAGAAATTACGAAATCTACTACCGAGGTATTTTCAGTCAAAGAAAAACCTCAAACGACTCAGAATGATATAAACGACTTATGTCACACACTCACGCGTTATCTTAGTCTTCGTAACGACCGTAAGAGATCGCGCACACCACGTAGAAGCATTTCTCGTAAGCGATCTGTCTCTAGACCACGAGAGACAGATAACCCCGACTGGTGCTGGTATCATAACCAGTATGGAAAGCTTTCCAGAAATTGCAGAAAACCCTGCAATTTTCCCAACACGAAACCGACTGATTCGAAAAGCAATTCGGGAAACTTCCAAGCCGGCACGCGTTAACGGCAACCGTAGCCGGCGAACAAAGCCGTCTGTTATTCGTCACAGATGTGACAACGAGAGTTCGTTACCTCGTCGACACTGGCGCAGAAGTTAGCGTTCTCCCAGCAAATCCTAACGACCGGCTTCAGGAGTCGGCTTTTAACTTACAGGCGGCAAATGGAAAACAGATCGCTACGTATGGCAAAAGGTACGTTTACCTTAACGTGGGTTTACGCAAACCCATCCACTGGATTTTCGTTGTTGCAGATGTTTCTATGCCAATCATTGGTATGGACCTTCTACAACACCACAATCTGATCATCGACACTCGCAAACGGAGGCTAGTAGACGGAAACACTAATTTGTCCGTTTGCGTAACTTCTTTTACTGGTTGTAGAGCATCCCCAGTCACAGTTAAACATATGATAGACCCACTCTATCAACCACAACTCGATAAGTACCCTGAGATACAACAAACTCAAACGAAACTACCGTGTGTAACCAGCAATGTTACACATCACATCACGACTACAGGACCACCTGTATTTTCTAAAGCACGCCGACTAGCTCCTGAAAAGCTAAGGTTAGCGAAAAACGAATTCGATCACATGATGGACTTAGGAATCATACGACCGTCAAGTAGCCCATATGCATCTCCGTTGCACATGGTCCCTAAAAAGGACAGCAACGATTGGCGTCCAACTGGTGACTATCGGCGATTGAACGCGAAAACCATTCCCGATCGTTACCCGTTGCCTCACATTCACGATTTGACAGCTACCTTGAAAGGTACAACTGTCTTTTCGAAAATCGACTTGGTTAAAGCGTATAACCAAATACCTATGGCTACTGACGACATACCGAAAACGGCTATCATAACTCCCTTCGGACTCTATGAATTTTTGCGAATGCCTTTCGGTCTAAGGAATGCTGCTCAAACATTCCAAAGATTCATAGACGACGTTTTTCGAGGTCTCAACTTCGTACACGCGTATGTTGACGACTGTCTAATCGCAAGTCCGGACAGAGAAACACATCTCAAGCATCTGGATCTTGTTTTCGAACGACTACAAAAACATGGCATAACTGTAAACGTTCAGAAATGCCAATTCGGAACCAACTCGTTAGACTTCCTAGGACACACTATCGATGCTCAAGGCATTCGACCTCTTAGGACCAAAGTGGCGGCCATTCTGGATTACCCAGAACCGACCACCGTCAAGCAATTACGCACGTTTAACGGCCTGGTAAGTTTCTATAGACGTTTCATACCCAAATGCGCAATACTTATGAAACCTCTGACCGACCAACTTCGTGGAAATGTGAAATCCATTAATTTGGACGACACCGCACGAAAAGCATTCTCCACAGTTAAGGAACTGATTGCTAAAGCAACAATGCTCGCACATCAGGACACCCGAGCACCCATTAGCATCGCAGTAGACGCATCCGACTCAGCAATCGGAGGAGTCTTACAACAATGGGTTAACAACTCCTGGCAACCCTTGGCATTTTTCTCTAGAAGGTTGCTAGACACCGAATCGAGGTACAGTACATTCGGTAGGGAACTCCTAGCTATGTATTGTGCTGTACGGCATTTCCAACACTACATCGAAGGTCGTGAATTCACTCTTTTCACGGACCATAAACCGCCCACTTTCTCGTTAAGCTCTCCTTCAGACAAGTACTCTCCTCGTGAGTCTCGACAACTGGACTACATTTCGCAGTTTACTTCAGACATTCAACACATCTCTGGAGCAAACAATGTAGTTGCAGACGCCTTATCTCGCATAACTTCCTTGAACAGTTTCCAAGGAATCGACCTTCTTAAACTCGCCGAGCTTCAAAAAGAAGACAGTGATCTTCAGCACGAGTTATCGTCCACAACACTTAAACTAAGCATCAAACAGATGGGAACAGGTAAGGAAACCTTACTTTGTGACACATCTACAGGTAGGGATCGCCCAATCGTGCCGAAACATTATCGACGCAATGTCTTCAACACATTGCACAAACTTTCGCATCCAGGTGTTCGTGCAGCCATCAAGCTTATAGCAGAAAGGTTTTGCTGGCCTGGAATGAATAAAGACGTGAGGGAGTGGGCACGCTCCTGTGTAAGCTGCCAAAAATCTAAGGTTATCAGACACAATAAATGTCCCTTAGGCTCGTTTAAAACTCCCGATGCTCGTTTCGACCATGTTCATCTGGATTTGGTAGGACCTTTACCAGATTCAAATGGATACTCTTATCTCTTAACCTGCGTAGACCGTTTCACTCGATGGCCAGAAGCAGTACCTATCAAGGACATCACTGCTGAAACAGTGGCTCGCACCTTCGTCGAACGATGGGTAGCAAACTTCGGCTGCCCTTCAACCATCACTACAGACCGCGGACGTCAATTTGAATCTGATCTTTTCCGTCGTCTGACCACTCTTTTAGGAAGCACTCGCTTCCGAACGACCGCCTACCATCCACAAGCAAACGGGTTGGTAGAACGTTTTCACCGACAACTGAAAGCTTCGCTATCAGCTACAAACGTTTCACAGAGGACCGACGCTCTTCCACTCGTCTTACTAGGTATCCGCAATGCAGTGAAAGCTGACATTGGATACACTGCGTCTCAACTCGTTTATGGTACGACACTTCGACTTCCAGGAGAATTCGTGGATCCTTCATCCTCTTCAATGAACATGGATCTAACCTCCTACACGAACAGGCTTACAAACGCAATGC